GTTCAGCAATGACAAAAGCATTACGCCATAAGCATATGCTGGAAAAGTGTTCCGACCGGTCAATGGGATGAGAGATAGGAAATGTACTTTGGTGTTTTTTTTATCATTTCCAGTTTCAGTTTACCCATTCTGCCGTTTCCCATGGGACAGGCAGGAATGATTGATTGGCAGCGGGAATCAGGTGACGATCCGATTTGACTGGGAGTCTGGGAAACAACCATGCGGTGTTTGAAGTTTGAACGATGTTTGTCTCCCAGGCAAACTCGGAGAGCGATCGACCACAGAGTGCCGACTCGGTCCACTTCCACACCACGCTATGACGTTATCGTCCGTTCGTCCCTGCTCCATCCCAACCTCAACTCTTGCCAACATTCTCCCGAGTCCCTTCGCAACTACCGTACGACCGCAGCAGCCATTCACGCGCTCCTTTCCCTCCCCCCATACCTACGCCACCACGTTTTGATCCGAATCTAAGGGATGGACAAAAAAGCATGGGTGCACGGCTCCATAGGTTCATGATTGGTTTGGGATTCCTAGCATTCTGACTGGGTGGAAAAAGGTACCTTTCTGTGGCTCGTCCCGGATCACCAAGCTAACCTGAATCAGGTAGTGAGAAAGGTACCCAGGTTCCCCAAAATCCCAGAATCCTCCTTCCCGAATCCCAAGAAATTATTGTTTCCAAATAACGAAAGGCTTGATGATGGCTGCTGGGACCCGCCCCTCCCCAACATTGTCCTCCGTGCACGCTTGGCCCCTCACAATTCCCCTTTCCAAACCAATCGTACATCGAAAAATGTGAGAGACTGACAATATTCCGGCCCCGAAAAGCCCAGTGGCGGCCGAAGACACTGAAGGGCCCCCCTCCCTTCTGTTCCCCCACCCCTTCCTCCTCTAGGCTCTCCGGCTCTCTATTCCCTTCTTTGTTTCTTTCCTGCCCCAAAACGAGGCTAATGCAAAGTCCAGGTCTGGTCTGGTCCAGGCCTTGATTGGGTGGGAGTTTCTGCCAACCATCAGCAATCCGCCGTCAGTCCGGCACGATCCCCCCTCCTCTTAGCCTGTCTTGTCCTCCTTCCTCCCCTTCCTTCCATCTTGTTGCTCCCCCGTCCCGGAAAGACCAGTCCTAGCTGATTAGGCCCGCGGAGATTCAGTTTGCAGCCCAAGATTCCAGAATGATCAGACGTCTTTCTTCTGATTGGTGAGGACTTTTAAGGTTCTTGTTCCGGTTGTGCCCTTGCTCTATTATAACTTACAGGGGGGAGGGAACAAAACGGGCAAGACACAAAATAATATTATTATTGCAATAGTTCCACATCGATAGTGACGAAACGTCGGTTACAGGCTATCCCTCGGCCTCATTCCTCATCCGACCTATATAACAGTATCGCCAACACGATTGCTGCAAGCTCCGTCTCTCCCCCCCCCCCCTTCCGCCCCGTCTCGTCTTTTGCCACCCGGTGCGCTTTTCATCCCAGGACAACCTCCTCCTGCTTGTTGTCTTGACCTGGTTGTCGTTCACTTGATTCAGTCTGTATTAATGTCCGATCCGCAGTCCGCCTCCCGTTCACTCGCTCCCGCTCCCGGCCTCCCGCAAAACTCGAAGAGTCCCGACAATGTAGTTCAGGGTCGGAAACATAAAACCACCGCCTGCACTGCGTGTAAGCAGAAGAAGCTCAAAGTAAGTGAATCAAAGGAGGGCATGACTAGGATAGAGTGTGAATCTGATTATGCTTCAGTGCAGGGGAGATCCACCATGTCAACACTGCGTGGCTAATGGCATCGAGTGCCATGTCGACGAGATGGCTGATATGCGTCGCAAATTCGCCATGAAACGGAAGCTGGAGCGACTTGAGCAAGCCGAAGAGACCCTGACGCGGCTGCTCGAAACGCTCCGGGATAGCGAAAGTAAAGATTTGGCCCAGGTGCTGAATCTCATCCGAAGCAACGCCTCATTCGACGAACTCCAGTTGTATCTCGATAAGCAGCTATCTGGAGATGGTTCTGAAATATCACCGGGTCTGCAGGAAGTTCGAAACCAACTGACTTGCCCATCCGAAGAAGTCGACGAGGTTGGTCGGCCTGCGCGGAGTGGCAGCCGCCGTATTCTAGATGTGCGCCGCCTCGCAGACACCCCGGTGTATCGAGTACCCGCGAAGCCGTGGACGAGGGTCACCGACGATGACGAATTGGTTTCTCATTTGGTTTCGCTCTGGTTAACGTGGACCTATCCGTTCTTTAACTGGCTGGACAAAGATGCGTTCATCCGGGATATGCAGGCAGGCCGACTCAACTGCCAATCCTGTACACCATTCCTCGTAAATGCCATCCTCGCGGAGGCTAGTGTATGTGCCTATCTTAACTTTTGTGCTTATAGCGTCGCTTGGGTGAGGTGACGGCTCATTCATGATTCTTATGCGTTGCACAGTACCTTTCCGACTACGCCGAAGTATTTACCGTCCCAAACGACATGTATTCTCGAGGTGATCACTTCTATGAAGAGGCGCGTCGGTTGTTGGAAGAAGAGGAAGGGCCAGCCAGTCTACCGACCATTCACGGCCTCCTCGTGCTATTTATCCGGTGAGTGTGTCGCGTACCATCTTGGTCATCCCACCTAACGCTGCGTCTTTTCAGTCTCACCCTTATGGGAAAGGATAGATTGGGTTGGATGTACCTCGATCTAGCCATTCGAGCGGCCCAAGAATATGAGTACGCGCATCCGCCCCGGTCGACAAACTCGGAATGTGATCGCATTCTTGAAGATGCGGCCAATCGCACACTCTGGGGCGTCTTCAGCATGGCTTCGTACGTACTTCGCATCTTTTGGTCAAACTTTTGACTGACCAAGCCCAGCACGGCCAATGTTTCCTTGATGAAGCACCTTAATATCGATCCCCCACGGCGCCCGCGCATATCGATGAATCACGGCGATCCTCAGGACATTTGGTACCCGTATCCTCGCGAAGTCGAATCCGTACCAGGCCATCATGCCTGTGTATTCGACCGCTGGTGCGATCTTTCTTGCATTCTCATCACCATTAGTCGCGCATTTCATGATTTTGAGCGACGAATCCCCCGGTCGGATATCGCGACATTTGTGCCGGCAATCTTTACACAGCTCCAGGGCTGGTATACTAATCTGCCTCAATGCTTACAGGCTGAGACCGCAACTGTTCCCCACGTTTTAAGTCTACATCTTCTCTATCATACGACTGTGATGCAGATTTTCGGCTTTATGCGCGCCAGCAATGACCTGGTTCTAGATCCGGCATCAACCAGTCATGCCCAAGAACTCTGCCTCGCATCCGCCCGCCGAATCACCCATCTACTGGGCATTCATCGCGCCAAATGGGGTATTGATCGCATGTCACCCTCGACGATCCAGTGGTGGAGCATTGGGCTCTTTACCCTCATGGAATCTCTTGACTCCCAGGAGAATAGAAATGCTTTTGTCGAGTTGTGTATAATTGCCCGCGCCTTTGCTCGTCGGATGCCTCTTGCAAAGGGGATCCTCCGCATGATTCAGTTATCCGCCAGTCAGATGCAGGTTGTTTTACCCGAGGAGACGGAGGCGCTCTTTACAGACTTTGAGACTCTAGCTTGGAAGGCGAGCGATTCTCGGGGATTCAGCAGTTTCTACCCACACTTCCATATGGTAGTTCAGCAAGGGTCTCTGCGGCAACCTGAGGTGGATTTGGATCAATTTTTGGCTAAATGGGATGCGTTGAGTATATTCAAGCTCAACTCCCACGATCGCGAGAATGGTCACGACGCTGACCCTTCTGGCGGGTGAAGAGTCTTTTTCAGTATTATTATACCATAATTGAGCAAAAGTTGTATTGGGGTTAAACACAAATCATTATTGGGTTGTTTTTGGCCGTATATCCCCTGTTCTTGTGGGCGTAGAATTGGAGAAGTATTTTTGGTGGCAAAAAAAGTTAGGCGGCGGATACCTTGTTCGACGTTGGGGAATCCTCGGTCGGGTCCTGCATCAGCCTCACGGAAACGACTTCCTGCAGATTTCACAGGAAGCAGGCCACACAGAATTAGTGTCGTGCTGCCCATCGCGTGGGGCTAGGCGGATTGGCAGCAGTACAGTACAGTACCCAATGCTAGCCTCAGGGCTAACCCACTCCACCGGTAGAGAGATCGTGGCTCTAGACCGTCGAGTGGCATGCGGCTAGCCCTATCTCCCTGCATCAAGCCACCCTTAGATCTGCCGAAGCGTTCCCCAAGTGTCAAGCGGAGGGGGGGTGGCGACATCTGACGAGCCACGCGCCCACATATCAGCACTAAGCTGCGCTACTCGTACTCGAGTACTGTTTAATACAATTGCATATCCACTGTTTCAAATCAGACTGATTCTGACTTGCTTGTTCGCCACAAACCGATAATTGTCGGTTATGAGATTCACTCCACGGTCGATCTCGGTGGCAAGGTCAGGTGTTGTGGTCGGTACTGGACAAGAATGGAACTGGAGCCGATCAGCAGCGATCCGTCCAGCACGGGCCACTTCAATGCATCTTCCCTCATGACCTGACATTCATGACACTGACAGCGCAAATCGCCCGCTAAGACCCCAGATGAGGAGCAGATCATCGTTCAAACGTTCCAATCATCATTGATTACGAGCAAGAGAAAAATAAATATGGTCTTGATTTTTCCTTTCTTTTCGTATCTTCCCGCCTCCGTGTCGTGTCAGACAGGGCAGTGGTTTCTCCGCGGGAATTCAACACTATCAACCAAGACCTATGGACCCAACATATGTGGCAAATTTGACACCCATCATTTCCGACCAGTTTCGAATCGCTCAATAATTCTGCTCCTGTCAAATTAGCCTGTGAGGTGGAACTCTGATCCGCTGTTGGTGTAGGGCAGAGATTGATCCTAGCCCGCATGGAGTGCTTCGCACCTGAACTTCATCTGCGACCGTGCCGAGCTCTGTGGAGTACAGTACCTCCATATTTGACTGGACCACCACGGTTGTTGTTCGCCCGTCGCATGACTTTTCTTATCGGACCTTCGGTGACCGCTACTGCAAAATCAATTCCAAATATCTCATCGTTGGGCGCACAATCGCTGGCCTGAGCATTTCCGCCAGTACAATAACTTGCATGTGCTTGGTTCCCCGGCCGTGTCCCCGATTGGCCCATCGCCCGGAAAGAGTGCGGTGCCGATTCTCATTGGAATTAAGTATGAGCCCTTGAGGTTATATTTGCACAGTCCCCATCTGCTATCGTCGCCAAAGATGCATCACGGCGTGTCTGCTTTCACATCAGTTCGGCTCGCAGGGTGATGCCAATTGTTGCCAAGTCGGTCTGCCAGCGTCCGCAAACCTCATTCCCATCGTCGGCCTGGAATGGCTATGTCTGTCCCCAGGCCGTGTGCTTGTGGGCTGGCACGGTGCTTCCGCGACATGTTCTCGATCAACTTGGTTATATCTTCCTTTAGATCGCTTTCCATATTCAAGCTATTCGCAGTGTTACAAAGATGGACTCGCGTTCCCCAGACCAGCTCCGCATCTTGGTCTCGTTTTCGGAATTGCGCTCGGCGGCATAGCTACCAGCTCAATCAGGCAACGCATGCGCTTGAGCTTGCGATGTCACGCCTTGACCTTCACCTTCTTGGTCGGTTTTTCCATCCAGCATTCAAGCATCTCGCGGCGCCGCTTTCACTGCTTCCGCACGTAGAAATTGCCAAACCTGTGAAGCCGAATTCGACATGCAATGGAAACTGTATTCGTGGACTGGTCTGCACGTTCCGGGGCAGATTTCCACCGTTACGGTAGGCTCATTCGATTCACCGGAATACGAATAGCATAGTCCAGAATAAACCTTGTTGTGCCATATGCCCTTGTGCTCTTAATCCCACTGAAGGAGCGTGGGATCTATAGTGCCGGCGAAATTCTCCGGGTAAGCATCCTGCTCTGCATGGCAAGCTACATGTACACATATATTTCCACGAGCTAGCGACGCTCGATCGCACACATCTCAGAGCGTCCCTCGGGCGACTCATTTGAGCGATCCTCATCAACATGGATACAATGAGTCACTGCGATTCCATTTCCCGCAAACCTACACGCAAACTCAGTTACCAACGAAAATGTTGAAGGAAACAAGCTTCGGAGCGATGAAGTCCGCGGGTAAATAAACAGCGAGAACAAATAAACGCTTTCCGACCGCGCGGGATTTAACTTGTTTGGTTCTCCGCAATCGGCGGCAGAATTTTTTTCTATTTACGAGCGATAATCTTATCTATACATCATTCCAACCATAAATCTCCGGCAGATGCAAAACCGCTGAATTTTTTTCTTGTTTGAGGCAGAAAAAGATGATTCAGGTCCCCGGAGCTGGGGGCGATGAAGCCCATGACCGACACAAGGATGAGGCTTTGGAGGTGGTCAATAGTGAAGAGGCGTTGGAGATCGACCCCGCGGTGGAGCGACGGGTCTTGCGCAAGATAGATCTGTTCTTCATGCCTGCGATGTTGGTTGGTGCGTGAAACCTATGTTCCTTCTTTAGAAAAGCCTGGAGTGAGCTACTGATAGATAGGATAGGCTATGGGTTTGTCTACTGGGATAAGGTCTGTTTTTCAAGCACTTCTCTGCCATGATAATCAATGTTCCTTACCAACAACCACAGGCGATTCTCGGTAGTGCCTCATTATTTGGCATGACCAGCGACTTGGCCCTTTCGGTAGTGGACTATAGCACCACACCCCCGACCAAGAACACCTCGCGACTGAGCTGGGCCACGTCCATCTTCTACTTTGGCATGATGGCTGGTCTGTACCCGATGACTCTGGTGCTACAGCGCTTCAAGATCCAGCATGTCTTGGGTCCTATTGTCATGCTGTGGGCTATTACCTGCGCGGCTACTGCCGGCGTTACTTCGTGGCGGGGCCTATTCGTCCAGCGCTTCTTTCTCGGTATCTTTCTCTCTTGATTCAAGGCTACTCGGTCCGTGCTCCTGACCATAGCATAGGCTTTGTCGAAAGCGTGATCCCCACCGGTTTCATGACTGTGATCAGCGGGTACTACACGCAAAGGGAGCAAACCCTGCGCCAGGCGATCTGGTTCTCCGGGACCGGGTGGTTCACCATCATCGGCGGGGCGCTCAACTACGCCTTCGGTCAGATTACCACAGGCGCGCTCCGGCCGTGGCAATACATCTACATCTTCGCGGGCGTCCTCACCTTTCTCTTTGGGATCTGGTGCTGCATTCTCCCCAATTCCCCGGTGTCCGCCTGGTTTCTGACCCCCGAGGAGCGGGTGGTCGCCGTGGAGCGCCTGCGACGCGGCCAGACGGGCGTGCGATGCCAGACGATCAAGATGTCGCAGATAGTGGAAGCATTCACCGATGTGAAGGTGTATTTGATTGCTATCATGATGGCTGCTGCGTGAGCTTTCCTCCGTCTTCCTCTCGCTTGCCCTCTGCTAAATGACCCACAGCTACACAATCAACGGCGCCATCTCGGGCTTTGGCCCCCTGATCGTCTCCACCTTCGGCTACAACACCCTGGCCTCAATTCTGTTTCAATTCCCTGTGGGCGCCATCTGCCTCGTCTTCATCCCGCTGGTCGGCTACATCCCCACCGTCCTCCCCAACACCCGCATCCTGCTGCTGGTGACCTGCTGCCTCCCCGTCATCGCCGGCTGCGTCATGATCTGGAAATCCAGCTGGGGATACCATCCCGCCACGCCGGTGGTCGGCTACGCGCTGACGGGCTTTTTCGGCCCGGTGGTCAGTCTGATTATCACGCTGGGTGCGAGCAACGTCGCCGGCGCCACCAAGAAGACCATCATGGCCGCCACGGTGTTCGTGGCCTACGCCGTGGGCAACATCATCGGCCCGCAGCTGATCAAGTCCGAGACCGTCGGGCAACACTACCCCGAGCTGTGGACGGGGATGGTCATCTGTTACTGTATTGTGATTGCGGCCGCGGGGGCGCTGTGGGTGGTGCTCTGGCGGGAGAATCGGAAGAGAGACGCGGCCGGACTGGATGAAGAGCTGCGGGATAAGTTGGGGTTCCAGGACCTCACGGATCGAGAAAATGGGTGGTTTCGGTATGTGCTTTAGTTGGATGCTATGTGGTGGGATCGATAATGTTGGTTATGGCTGGTTCAGGCAATTTCTTCGGCGAAACTATGGACTTGTTAGGGTAGTCTCCGGGAGCAATGATTGTGTTGTTTGAGGGTCACCCTTTCCATAGCTTGCCTGTACAACATGTGACATTGTTCTGTACTTTGAGATACTGTTCAAGGATGAATGAACAGATCTGACATCCACTGTCAATCATACGAGGAAACCCACGAAGTCAGTCCAGGATCGTTGGGTAGAGAGTAGGGTATGGCCTGTTGAATGGACTTGCAACCTTTTCTTGAATGGGGACTGTATGCATCATGTATCAGGAGCTGTAAAAATAGACGAACTGGAACTTTTGGAGCACGCTCTACAGCTATTCACAAATCTAGAGTGACACACATCTCTCGCATGCGTAATACCCGGGGATCCATCTCCCCTTCAGTTAGCAGCGATCGTCCATCCACCCCGTCATAACTCCTCTTCACCCCGCTTCACCCCGCTTCACCCCGCCGGCTTCGGCTGCTCAGCTTCCGATGAGTAATCGGCTATCACCCCAGCCCTAAATCCATCACGTATATCCAGAATAACCACCATCATAGCGAGGGGGAAGTAATGACGTATGGGAATGTCAAGCAGGAGTAGTAGTCGCTTCTCTAGTCTAGCGTGATGTCTTAAAATGGTTCTCTCCTCACATCCACCGCACTTATTTCTCCAGTAAATATTCACCCTGCTCACCTTGTCCCACCAGCATGACCACTACGGATTCACAGACAGGGTTATACGTCGACGACACCCTCAGCTTCACCCTCCGAAGAGACCTCCCCATTCCCAAGCCAGATGCCGGCGAGATCCTAGTAGAAACGCTGTACTCCGGCATCAATCCCGCCGACATCAAACACGCCACGCAGCTGGGCATCTCCCCGGCCGTGCTGGGGTACGATTTCTGCGGGAAAGTGCTCGAGACGGCGCCGCAATGCCACCGATTCCGACCGGGCGAGATCGTCGCGGGGTACACGCCCACAGGCCTGGGCCGACCGGCCAAATACGGCACGCACCAGGGGTACCTGGTGTGTCCGGAGGAGATGGCCTTTCGCGTGCCCGCCGCCCTCCCGCCGCCGGATGCTGCGGCTCTCACCGTGGTCGCCATGACGGCGGCGGATGCCCTGTTCAATCTGTTTGGGGTTCCTCCTCCGCAGGACGGCGGCCCCCCTGACAGCAAGGGCATCATCAGCAAGGGCATCATCATCTGGGGCGCCTCCACCAGCGTGGGTCTCTGCGCCGTCCAGCTCGCGCGCGCCAGCGGCGTCTCCCCGATCTTTGTGACGGCGTCCCCGCAGCGCCATGCCCTGCTCACGGAGCTGGGTGCCACCCACTGCTTCGATTACCGGTCCCCAACGGCGGTAGACGAGATCACACGAGCCGTCCAGGAATCCAACACGTCCATAGCCTACGGACTCGATGCCGTGGGAAGTAGTGGCACGGGGACGGAGAAGTCCTCGGCGACGCTGCTGGCCCGGTGTCTTCCCGCCGAGGCGGACCTCGTCTCGCTGGTCGTCCAGGACGATCCCCGGTTCCGCATGCCCCTTGCGACTCCCAACCGCGACGTAACCATCAAGGTCGCCGCGGCCCCGCGGCCCATTACCATCCCCGCTCGTCCGGCGGATTATGAGCGCGCGTGGCGGGTGCTGGAGTGGGTGGTGCGGCATTACGGTGTGCGTTTCCGGTTGCCCCGTGTCGAGGTCTTTAGGGGGTCGGCGGAGGCTGCGCTGGAGGAGTTGAGGGGGCTGGCTGGGGGTGGGAGGGGGTTTGGGAAGGTGGTGCTTGGCCGTCCGTTGTCTTGAGGAGGGTTTGGTTTTGAAAGGAAGGGGGAGCTTAGTCGTGATCGTTGAAGGGAGAGGTTGAAGTTATTAGTGAATTCTCAAGTTAGATAGGGCTATTGTTCCAGAGAACATGTGAAGAGGTATGGGGCTTACACCCATATTGACAGTTCTTGCCATCAAAGTCAAATCACAAACAGCATTGATACCAATTCATTCGCAAAAGTTGAAGTGACCGTAGGAAGGCAACAGATACCATTGCAGCTACTTTCCATCCCCACGGAATCTAACAGTCAAGCACTCTAACAACCAAGCATCGATCAATACACCATCACAGAAGGCGGCCCAAACGACCCACGGTCGTCCCGGGACCTTTTCCGCGTGGCCAACTCGGTCTCCGCGAGCAGAAAGACCATTAACTCCGTCTCCTCATCCACGAAGTGACAGTGGTATCTGTTTATCGGAAATGTACAGTCCAGACACTCGTGCCCGCCTAAATCGACCGCCAGCACGTCGCGGGCCTCGTGCCATCTGGCGTCCGAGACAACCACGACGCACCACTCGATCCCTGGTGGGGTCTGGCCGTCGTAGAAGAACTCGGGTTGCGGCACGTACTCGTATTCGAAGGGGACGCCCTCCTCGAAGGGCTGGACGATGGTCGTGGCTTCCATGGTACTGTGAAGGCTTTGTTGTTATTATCTGACTGGTTGTTGCTGGAAATCTGGGATAGCTACTAGCCTCAAGTATAGACTCTCTGAGAAAAGATGCGGGATCAGTCCGGTTTATATGCTGCGGGCTTGGCTACACTTATCTGGATGGTCATGGTTTGTGTTTAGCTTCTTTGTGTGACTGGGCTCTTATCAAAGCTCATCACAAGCATTGTTCGGCATGCTTTGAGGGCATGAATGATCCACCAGAGAATTACTTTGTTGGCCAGGCTACAGGTGGTGGGTTGACACTTCGATACACTTTATTCAGGGACGGGGAAGTCTTTGTCTATCCACATCTAAGGAAGCTGTTCTTTTCGGCGTCCTCACCCCCACTAACCCAGTTCAGACTAAAGATTCAAGCTTGAAAGCCAAGTGCTTTTGCTTAATTGACCTCTACCAATTCATAACACAATAGTAGATTCTGATGGTTCTGTCGAGTAGTTCTACTGGGGAAGAGGTACTGTCACGTGACCAGGAGATCCCCCGCAATCGGACCGACCGGAGATGCATTGTACTGTTAATTCATTAAATTCATCCTTCTGTCACCATCGACCAAATCTTTATTAACCGCCCCAAAATGAGTGCTACACGCAGTAGAACATGCTTGAGTTGTAATAGGACCTTCTCCAAAGCCGAGCGCCTCACGCGTCACCTACGGAGTCACACTAATGACAGGCCCTATGAATGCCTGATCTGTGGCAAGTTGTATTCCAGGAGGTGGGTACAGCCCACAAGTTGCTTCTACCGCAGTCTAATGTTACCTGGTGCAGCGAGGTACTACGCCGACACGAAAAGATTCATCAAACGGCCTCGCCTCAGTCTCGAGAGTGCCCAGTAACCGCGATGGCTATGTCGACACCGTTGTCTCAGGAGACCTCCAACCCTTCAGATGCATGGAGCCAGAGCATCAGTTGAATTTTGTCAACTCCATCCAGCAAAGCGAGTCCAGCTCCTCTTGGCTCCCAGGAGCGCTTCTCGATGCCGACGCGTTGGATTTCACCTTGACCTCGGCGATTGCAAAATGGGCGCAATTGCCTCCCATCCCATCCATCCCGAGCTTGACTGACGCCGGCGCCTTCCTTACCCCGACCTCAACGCAGACTGCGGAGTTGCCAGCTGACATTGTGAAGCGGAAATGGTTCAGGCGTCTGACTAACCCCGAGGACATGCCTGCCCCCCAGAACAATTCCGGCAGTCGGGGCGGGGAGATGGGCTAAGGGGATCTCGCGGCTGACGAAAACTATCGAACGGGCCTCTCGCAGAGGCTCCAACCTAGCATGCACAATGAGGCCCTTCCTTCGGCTGAGCAACTCAATCTCTTCGCCAACCAGTTCTTCACTCGCTTTCACCCCCTTCTACCGATCGTCCATGCGCCCGCATTCAGGCCCACCACCGAGAACTCGTTACTCTTCATCTCAATCTGTTCAGTTGGAAGCCTATTTGTCGGGTCGTTGCACGCGGTCGCACAAGGGAGTCAACTGTTTGAGAGGCTGAATAAAGCGAATCTGGCGTCCTGGGAGTCGGACCTGGCCCGCAGCTGCTCTGACGCGTGGTCCATGGTCCAAGCAGCCATTATCGGCCAGACATTTGCCATTCTTTCCGGCCGTCCCAAGGACCTTATTCTGGCAGGTGTTCTGCACGGCACGGTCATGGCCTGGGCGCGTGAGGCCGACAGGAATGCGCTGTCGCTGCCCTCCGCCCCGCGCGATCTCGATCTCGATGAAGCGTCCTTGGACGATCAGTGGAGTCGGTGGATCGACCGCGAGCAGCGATTGAGGGTCAAAATCGCCCTGAACAATCACGACGCGGAGCTCGCGAGCCTATTGCACCATGAGCCTATCTGCAAGCATCGGCTCCCGCAAAACCCTCATTTGGCTTCGGATGCGTTATTCACGGCACCTACAGCGGTGAGGTGGGCCAGAGTTTACAAACTTACTACGAACCCACCGAGTCCTCGAATGTCAAACACGTACCTCGACAACATCCTCCCAAGTGATGCAGCAGATTCTAAATTTGCAGCCTACGGACTACTTGAGAGTATCAGTGCTCACGTCAGTGAGGCTCGACGGTCGAATACACTTGATGACCAGGAAGTGGGGAGATTGTCCAACATGCTCATGTGGTGGTGGAGGCGATATAGCACTCAGTCCACTTTTCAAAACGAGGACGATGACCCCTTGGCGGTGCAAACCTTGTGGCACTCCACCTACATAGCCATTTACGCCGACCTCGACCTGCTGGAACGAGCCAGCGGCCGGGATGGGAGTCTGCCGTGCAAGCCAGCTACCCTCTCGTGCGTTCCTAGTCGAGCTCACTAGCCGCCAGTAAATGCTGCGGAACACCAAGCTCGTGTCGTTGCAGATCGACGAGCAAGGCGACGCGGAGTTTCCCGTGCTGGTGGAGATCGAGGTCGATGGAACCCAGCGACGGACTCTTCGCACCAAGCACCTGGTCGGGGCGGACGGGACGCATTCGGCGGTCCGCAAGGCCGTGGGGCTGCAGCTCGAAGACGTGTTCCAACCATAGTATATCCGGCCGAAGAGGGACGATGCGATCGATTGGTGGGCTGCATATCAGATTGGGCAGAGGGTTTGTCCTGAGTTCATTGTAAAGGATACCACTGGGGCTTGTAGGGTGCTTACCATTGGCGACGGTGCGTCTTGATCACTTCTAAGAGAAATGTCTGGGACTAACAAGAGCATCAAGCTTGCTCATACCCATAGTCCGAAGGTGATTTGTTCTGGTTGCTGCTCGAAATCATGCGAATTCACGACTAACCAAATGTGAATTTTGCAGGCCGGCCAAGGCATGAATGTGTCAATGATGGACTCATACAACCTGGCATGGAAGCTCGCTTATCACGTCAACGGACTCACTCCGTCTACATCCGGGAATGCGCTACTCGACACATACAATATCGAACGCCACGCCAACGCCCAGCAACTGATCGACTTCGACGGAAAGTTCTCCACCGGCTTTTCAGATAAAGTGGGCACGGCTGATTCCAAGTCCGGAATCTCTCACGCCGAATTTGTCGACATGTTCAGCACCGGCTGTGAGTTTACCAGCGGCTGCGGCGTCGAGTACGTGGAAAACCTGGCCGTCGACCGGACACCTTCGCCTGGCACCGCGAAGCCCGTCGTCAGCGGCCATGACTACCTGTCTGGGATTCTCCGGCCTGGGCACCGCTTACTCAATGTCAAGATGAAGCGATTCGCTGATGGAGCGCACCGGGATATCCATGACGGTAGGTCGACTAGTGTTACTTCTGAGAGCTACAATCGTCTCTGACTGATTGAATGAATCTTCTAGATTTAGCATCTACCGAGCGCTTCCGCATCCTGTCACTCCTCTCCGTCGACCTGCTTGACCCGGACGGCGTATCCGCAACTGCGCTGAAGGGCGTGGCGGGTTTGGTACAGCAGTTCCCCCCGTTGCTGCTTGAGCAGATTGTCGTGTATCCGGAGTTGCCGAGCATCGTATCCTGGGCTAATAAGCCGTCGTTTGTGAAGGAGCACGCGGAGATGGCATTCTATAGTGGCTATGAGGTGGCTGATGCGTATGGGATCTACGGCGTTGATCCTGCCCAGGGTGCCCTCTTGGTTGTGCGGCCGGATGGGTATGTGGGCATGGTTGCGCCGTTGGGCGAGGTTGCTCGGGTTGGTGAGTATCTGGGTGGGATTATGGCGCGCGTGGCTTAGGTGACTTTCTTGACTGGAGTCGATATGTTTCGGTGTATGGTTGTGGACGGGATTAAGGACATGCCCATAAGTCAGATACGTCTTGTCGTCACTGCCTGCTTGCGGGATGTATGATTTATTATTCTTGGAATGCACCACCTATTAAATAATGATATACAGAACTATCAGAGAGTCACGTTTGGTGCAAAGAACTTCAAAGACAGTATTGTAGAATGAACGTCGCTTCCGGCATCTCCTTTTGCCTATTCCCAACAGCTCTCAAAGGCATGTGCCTGTTGGGTTAACTCCAAAATAACACCCTGTACTTCCAGAGGCATCCAGCGGACAACAAAACTTTATAAAATTATCGAGAGTGCACCCGAAGGTACCGGCGGGATTACAACACTTGCCCAGGGTACATTTCCCAGCATTTTGGCACTGAATATCACGGTTATCCTGGGAATGCTTGCATGGGGGGAGAGTATACAGGGTTTGGACCTACCGCGTTATTGCAGGCGCCACAATTCTTCGAATCAGTGTTTGTATCTGTGCAAGCTCCGTTACACAGTTGCTGTGACTGCGAGGTCTTGAACGGGCCGCAGACATAACACGGGCCCTGTCCGGTCAACGCAGGGAACACGCAGGTGGCCGACGGATTGGGGTAGTTCTTGTAACACCAGTCGGTACATTTGGCGAGATTGGTGGCCGCGGTCTGGGGCATTGACCAAACAGGGGAGGCTGAAGACTTTAGTATCATCCTTGGGCTGAGTGTATGCTTGGACTTTTAGCTTACTTAGCGCCAGTAGCGCAAGAAATGTAGGCTTGACCATATTGAACTGTATGTTTGGTACAAAGCAGTAGTTGGAGGGGTCATCCAAGCTCTTCTCCCCAGGTCGATTCACACCCACGGCGACATCTATATACACCACACACTCTAACCATGACGTCCCTGATTAAGGGTAGCTTCAATGATGAGGGATAATGTTTCTGCTGCTTTGATGCGCCACAATCCCGGAACTTGCAATCTAGACTCCACGCCAAGTATCGGCTAACAGCGAATTCCTTGGTACAATGAACAGACAAACGTCGATAGGGTTTAGGTTACTTGTGGGGGAGGGGGCTGTGCGGGGACGTAGGGCATCTACGGTTGGCGATTAGGTTTGAGAATGATATTCTCAAGGTCTACTGACTGTGGAAAGGGTATTGTTGGAGGAAGTGAAGATAGGCTGTCTGGAAATCGTCGCCTTGATAGATCAGCATGTATCAATGATTCCGAGCTGGGATTTGATGACTTTGCAGGCCGTCGAGTATTCTAATGCTGCTCATGTTGCAAACTGACTGGGGGCGCCATCACGTGGGATGTTCGAGAGGTTGCAGTGTGATACGGCAAGATCCGAGATCAAAAATGAATTGAATACCTTGGCGCAGTGCATTATACGTACCAGCATTGTGACAGACCCACCTTGAAGTCTAGACCAGACTGTAGATAAGTGGACTCTCGAGCTCAACACCATGATAGCCCGGCAGCATCGAGTTGGTGACGGTACGATCTCACCTTCAACGGTATGCGCGATTTTTTTTTATACCTCGCTACTATTTTCTCGACCACTACCATGCAGTGGAAATCGCTGTAGAAACTTCCTGCTCAGATCGATTCGATCGATCTAAGCTGCTCGATCTGGCTCCCGCAAAGTGGGCCGGCCCTCTTAAACTTTCACTGCTTAATTATTTCACCGCAAACGGCCTGGACCCGCCGCGGTAACTTTATTCAATGGGGGCTTTATCTCCGCATGTACTACATGTGTATACTAAGGGCATCAGTCATCCAGGCCAGAACATTCTCGCGTGGGTGGAGCACATTTAAGACCATGGATCAGTTTCCACACCCACCCGAGGACAATTGAAGTGTAGACACAAAGTTCATATCTTCCTTGGACCACAGTCGTAACCCCATCGGCACATGACTGGTACCCATTCACAGTACATGTTCCACCCTATTGTACATGCTTGTGCTTTCAACATGATCAACTGTACCTCTGTATCAGCATAAAACCACATGACCTTAACCGCAGTTGTTCCAGTTCTTCGCGTCATCGAGATCACTCACGACCTATGAGGGTTTGGTCCCATACCGTATGTGGCAATGGTAGACTCCGAACCATCGGCCACAATATCTTTACATGGCATCCAAAATGTAACTTTTAACCATGGTGGTTGAGTATTTGGAGGGTAGAGGTATAGATATAGATACAGAAGCAGCTCCTGGGCCTGATTCTAGTCCTGAATCAATCTCATCATTCGAAATTCCAATCCCGCTTCAATATCCTGCTCAGACATACACCGCACAAGATGAAGATCTTTCTATCAATTGCTTCTCTCTCTTTCTTCCTCACCCTCGCCATGTTCTCCGACATCGCTGTTGCCCGGATCGTTACCGAGACTGCATCCGACGGGTCAATCACATTAGCCAAATACATCCCTGACGAGACTCCTGCTCCGAAGCCGGACAATTAGGGTGAAGAGCTGCAGGGGTTAATCAGATATTCAAGGGCCGGATGGGTGCTCTGGCGTGGTATGTGGTAGACTCCAGCTTCTGTGCTGCTTAGGCCTAACAGACATAGGAATGCATATCATCGCGGGTGTATCTCTTTCTACGAATGTGACTGAAGATGCCAAGAATATGAAGTAATGGTCTATAAAGAGAAGCCGGATGACCTTGGATGTTTCGAGAACAACAAAGCAATTTTGATTTTGATAGTACTCTCTTCGTGCCCCCCCGTATGGACGGACATATGTTCCAGCACATAACTTTCTGAATGTATCCGACTTAGGATGACTGGTGTCGGCTAGTGTATCCCAAAGGAAGGCATAGTAGTGTCTATGAGCTTTAGTGATCTTATAGGAAAGATGATGATTCGTGGCCGAGTCATGACGCTGTCCCATCGCCAATGGCTTATCGTATCGGCATACCCCCGGGGCCGGCTTTCTGTCCCGGAACCGGCACCCGGACCCGCAGTCTCCCACCAACTTACATACCAGGTTGGCAGGTGATCACTCCCGGAACCGGCTCTAACGCCCACACTCAGCTTGGGCCTGCCTAAGACTTTGACTCAGCACCTCCCCCACCAAGCACCTCAGCGCAAATATCAATTACTCGTGAAATAATTGACTGCCACCACCTCCCCCAACTGCACCTCCTGCACCCACTGATCCCAGTCGTACCGCAACCGAGGCCAGCGACCAACCGTCTTCCCCTCCGAGGACGCGTACCTGTCGACATCGAACCCGGTCGGCTGCTCATACAGGAAGAAGACGTAGCGATGCGGCGCGCTACCGGGCGGGGGACCGGGCCCGATATAATCCGCCACGAAGGGGGCGGTGACCTCAAAACCGTAAGTATTCTGGTCCGTGGACGACGTCGTGGTAGGAACGGGACGGAGACCGGGTTGGAGCCAGTGCAGGATCGGGCCTAGGAAGCTGAACGCCGGGAAGGGGGCATCGAGGTCTAGGTTAACCACCATGTACGTGCGGTCGGGGTCAGGAACGGGGAAGGTGAGGTCCGGGGCCGAGCGGGCGTCTGTTTTCCTTTTCTTTTAGTTTCGATTCTCTAGGAATTGCGCAGATAATGCGTGCTTGAGGAATGTGGGACAGCGAGACAGACCTGCTCGTGGGATGTATTGGCCTGGTTGGATGTTGCGGTGGGCGCCCAGACTCAGACCTAGGGCTTTGGATGGATTCTGTTTGAGGAGAGAAAGTGCACTCTCGATGGTCTTGCTGGCGAGCATCTTGGTTAATTGAGTGTCTGGGCTTTTTTTCTGGGATCTGGAGGGAATGAAGAAGAAGGAAGGATCAAAGTGTCTGTCTGCAGCCCTTGTGAGATTTACGAAATGGAAAGGGCATGACCGGGACCAGAGATAGTGGGCGGTGATAGGAGGCCACCACCGGCCTCACCGCTCTCGCGGAAGTCGAGACTTAAGAGGACCGGACTATAGCTCCCCTCGGCTCGAGAAGGAACTAGGGAACATTGATGAACCTAAATAGCAATTAATGATATTTCGTCATCGAAGTGATTTGTTGCAAACTGTAAGAATAATCTTGATGAGCTGTCAGAGCGGATGGATCGAAACGAAGATGGATGGTATAACGCAGAGCGTGCAGCCCAGCGGGATGCGCGGCCGTCGCTGTGGATCTGTTGGCAGTATTATCAGGACCTCCTTGCGCAGCAAGATGAACTTGTGGTTCATCAGAGTGACGCGGAGGCTTTGGTCTATGGCCTTCAACATTTTCCTGCGCTAGAGAGAATCAATATCACCCCTGCCGCTCACGTTTGGCTATATCAGCCGGTCTACGAGACGCCGATGATCCGGGCATTCCCTAAAGAATTCAACTACCCAATCCCGCGCGAGTGGCTGGCAGCGGCGGAGGGAAAGCCCACGCCGGAGGCGGAGGACTGGAGCACTTTACTGGAAAATGTCAAAGAGCAGTGGCGGGGAGCCTGGCTTATTCTACGTGTATTGGCCCAGCATCCTAACCACCGGGTAGTCGAGCTAATCCTGGATGTCAATCAGCTGGATACGGGGCTCAATTGCACCATCTTCCACCAGCTCTGCAAGGAGTCCGAGACCTCGCGGCCCTGTTGCGACGCCCCGGATTTCGCCGTCTGGACCTTCCCCTGATTGCCCGTGGACAGGAATATGAGGAGTGGTCCGCCTTCCGGAACGGAAACCTGCAACGCGTCTTGAGTGAGGCATCGAGCATGGAATATTTCTGTCTCTGTACGACAATCGAGACCGACTCAGTGACTAATCTAAGGCGGCAGGGGCAGAAATGGACGGAGCCCGGGGAGAGATCATCTCGCTTTCATTTCACCTCTCTTCAAACCATCTTCCCGGTGGCAAGCTGGTCTGGATTGCAAACCTTGAAGTTATCTCGGTTTATTGTGATCCAAGCCAATGTGATATCCCTCCTGAATCAACTACCAGCCCTCTGGAAGATTGAACTGAGCTTCTTGGGATTTCTAGATTACGGGGGCAATTACAGAGATCTCCTGTGCGAAATTCGCGAGAGGTTTCGGTGTTCGGAAAGAGACCCAGAGTTGAGACCCCAGCTAATGGTTGCAGTTGCACCATGGCCCCCTCGGCCGGGCCTGGGAATTTGGCTCGACGAACAGGTACACCCCTTTCTTTATGACCATGGTCAGAATCCTTTCTCCATCTTCCGCGACGCACCGAATCAAGTACCTCAGGGAACGGGGACTTTACGGAATACTTTCGAGCCGGGCAATAAACGCCCCTACTTCGGTTCATGCAAATTTATGAGTCCTCCGGGAATCGAGAAACGTCGAAATACTCAAGTATTCAAGGATCTCTACAGATCGATCATGGCATTACAGATGGAAGTGGAACCAAACGGCAGAAGAGCTATGTGAGCCAGGTGTACTATGTTCTTCGGGACCCGGACCATGCAAGCGCTGCATATGGCTGGCTGGCTACTGACGGCGGTTTTGACGAAGCCATCGGACCAAAACGGACAAAGTTCGCTAGCTTCTAGAACTGTGCTCGAATAGTGATGTCTTTATCACCGATTGTGACCTTTCATTGTCGCCTCTCTCGGTCCTCTACAAGCTTGTTTACCGCAGCCTCGACAGAACTACGGCTGAGGATATCCCAGTTGGCATCACCAGTACCGCCTTTCAGAGCACCTAGGTGGTTTTTGTAGGCCGTTGCCAGATTTTGAGCATGGTTTCCCTTCCCAAATATTTCAAATGCTCGAGCCCAGAGATCCTCTTGATCTTGTTTATTGAGGTCTATCTCCACCGATGGCGGCTCCGCTGTCGGTTGCTTTCGGTCGATGGGGTGATAGCGAGATCGAAAGTGCAGACTTGGTGGCATTGACCGTCGCAGCCTCAGGCAACTCATTTGGTTTGTGAATCTTGCAAAGGTCACATTTGAAACTTGACAGTCATTCTCTTCCTTCGCAAATATCCGGCGGGGCGTTGACAAGTTCATATTTACTTATGTTTGCTGCACTGCCGGTCTATCTCCGAGGGCAGCGATCACCCCTGTCAAAGTCTTGCATTGGCGCCGCATGAACACGTAACATAGCAGCAGGGTTGTTTGGAATTCGATCGTTCAAAATATTGTACAGGACTCCACTATTACATTGAAAGCAGCTGTCACTCTGTTGATTTTCTATTTCTAAATTACTTTTTTTTTAAAGGTATACTAGAAAAGGTTGTACTGCGATTTCAGGTGTTGCGGAGAAGACCCCCGCTTTTACCGGCTTCGTTCCACCACCTGAGACCTAAATGCAAGGCTCCGTGCCAACCATCGCTATGAGTACCGGGAAGCATCGTATAGCATTGGCAAGGCCAAACATTAAATGTGCTTTCTTATTTGCAGAGGTTGATTACTTCAAGTGCATAGAGTACAGGAGTATAAAACAGCATGTTGACACGGACCTAAACCGAAATACTAGTATAAAATTCTTCGTGCCTTTACTAAAGAGCCAGGTAAGCCGAGGTTCTCACAAAATTAAGAAAACTACCTGAGTTGTGGAGAATGACCCTGGTATGTTCGCAAGATAACACACTAAATACAAATAAGTGAAGAAATGAAGGAAGAATTAACGATTGCTGCAAGGTTGATAATGGCTTATTGACCTGTGAATCTGTCGCAATGATTCAGGAGAGGGAAAAGGAGAATGACCTCGGCCGCGTCCCAACCAACCCATATGCTTGTGCAACTCAATCCAGGACAGTAACAGTGTCAGACAATGCGGTGCAGTTTATCGGAATATTGATTGGGGGGAATTGGCCCCCCGGGGTGAAGGCCAGACTACTGTAGTTGTATGTCGGGCTCAACATCATAATCTGTCCGACGGTGGTCCCGAAATGGTCGGCGAGATCCTTGTACACACCCCAGCTGAAGGAGTAAGGTTGAAGGATACACTGGCTGGGATCGCATTGGGGCACCTTGACGAACTGGCCAACGTTCAAGAGGGCTGTGGGCGAGGTCGGGTTCACCAGAGTTTCGTTGGTGGGCCCATCGACATGCATAAGAGACTCGACGGTGATGTTGAGGCGCCTGGCGATCACTTCGTAGGTGTCGCCCCGCACCGTGTAGTAGAGGCGAGGTCCGCCGTAGATACACGTGCGGGTGGCGGTGTTATTGGGCAGCAGGCAGCTGGTGTTGTCCGGCTCGCACACCTCGGCCGGAATCAGGAAGGACTCGCCCACGTTGGGGATGATGGTCACGTCCGCCATGAGGTTCTGGCGGCCGATGTCGCACACGCCGCGGTTGGTGGCGCGGGCGACATCGAAGACGGTTGTACCGTCGACGGTGATATCGTACCAGTATGTGGTCGTGTTGAGGGCGGTGTTGTTGCAGGTGCCACTGGCAGCAGTGACCAGTGGGGCCAGAAGAAGTGGCCACAGACAGTGGACAAAAGAAGGCATTTCCAAATGAGGGAGTGAGGATGAACAGACAAGGGAATGAAGGAGCTCTGAGGCAGAAAATGAAGGAAAGATCGGCTGTGCTCTGATTGAACCCAACAATGCGGCGGACAGACCGTGTCTTTATACCACGCTGCTGAGCAACTGAGCAGGGACAGGGTGTCTTTTCTGCCGAGTACCCCTGCATGTATTTCTCCTTCGCTATCATTTCCGAGAAGGATTTGGGAAGGTCGAGGGGGAGACTGGCTTGCGAGCTAGCAGCAGCGTATGCTATCTTGTCAAAAGTTATCGCGTCGTCCGATGTGATGACCGACCAACGCTAGAGCATCCTACCTTAGCAGGGCCTCGCCAATGCCCCTAGCAAATGCCAGCTATTGGTATTCCATCCATGAAGAACTACTCTGGAATATTGAGGAATATTCCGTCCAATTCTCAACTCTGCCGGTCACCCGGATTCAGTTGTTGCATTACATTTCATGAAATGAGGATTGTAGTAGCTCTAGGGCTCGAATGAACATGTAGATTCTGACCCTATCCTATTGTAAAGCATTCACAACATCCACTCTGTTTCCCGTTGTACTGTCAAGAGATTATGCTCTACCTGCCACGTTCCGGATAGCGGCATGCAGCTAGGAATCATAGGCTACACACTATATACCGCAAGCACGTTGCAACAAGCCAATAGTAACAACACAATGTCCCCGACCCGAGGCTATCTCGCTATTACGCCGTCGCGGATATCTAAGTATTTATTCCAATGCAAAGTGACTGTCTGGCGCAACCATTAAGCTAGTGAGAATTGGTATCTAGACTGTCCAAGCTGCGTCTGGCGTCGTCGTCACCCCGAGCCATGTTGCTTAGGGTCCGAGCGCAGAACAGGAGAAAACAAGCTTTGTGCGCGATCTAAAATTATTAACGCCTTTGCCAGCATTTGGGCCAAGCAGCAAAGTTCGAACCCACCGATCATCCTGCCAAGATTTAGATTACGGTTCGAGTTCTTCAGGGCTTGCGCCGCAATGATCCGAACTTTTAAAGGTAGAAGGTAGACTCGGACGTCTTGTAGATCTCTGTAGGTGTGCAAATTGTTATTTGGTGCCCTTGTATGGAGTCGTGTCGAGCTGATCTACCGTGGAGAAGAAACTTACCCAATTTGGTGTGGGTTTGCGAGGGCTGCTTCAGCCATGCAGCTTCCCCACACAAAGACCGCGTATTATCGATCCAAGACATGATTACATGAAAGCTTGAGTAGGTGGACTCTCCAATGCGCTCGAGGTGATTGCAAATTGGGCTATTTGTCGGCTGCGCAGGAGAGGACTGGGCTGGGCTGCGATTTGCCATTAAGGTTCGAACCTGACAACCATGACTGTATCAAAATTTCCGCATGTAGAGGCATACACAAAGCAACAAAAGAACAGAGGGGCCTTTTGCCTTCGAGTCTTTCCCAAGCAGTTTGGCTAGATGTTGTTCTCAGCGCTGTGGAGACACGGGAAATTCCCGCTCCCGCTATACCGCGGCTATAGCCGAGCAAACCAGGTTCGGACTTGATTCCCCTTCTCGGGCCCAGAGATGCTTTCTGTAGAGTGTAGACCACTCGACGCGTCCAATGTCAATCTGCTAGAAAAATCATGACCCAAGCCTATATACAAGCCCCAACAAATAGATTAAGAGGATGGTTGAAGATGCTCCTTAATAAAGGACCTTAACCGCAGTTTCTCCTACTTACTCCTCATCCTTTTCCGATCACTCTTACCCGGCGAACACCCTCGCTGCTGGATTTTAGCGCCTATAGAGATGATAGAATATGGGAGAAAGGGTCGGCCCAAGTCGTTGACTAAAGAAGAATACTCTAGCCCGTATGCAACCTGGAAAAGCGGATTTGCCGTGTCGTAGGGTAAATCTTCCTTGCCCTACTCTACGGCTTACATACTGCTAGGGAGGTCAAAAGACGGCTTGCCTTCGGGCTTAGCCCCATTGCATCGCAGGATGACGTCCCAAAGAGCATTCTCGCTGCTCCTGTAGCTCACCCTCACCGCGCTGAGCTTAATTGATCAATTGATCCATTTGCGGCTCGACCTCCAACGCGAATGATGGAGCATCGCCTACCAGCATCTGAAGGAAGGCGTGTTCCATCGCTTTAGCCTGTTGCGACCAAGCCATGTTATGCCTCAGGAATCTCACGGACTCCCTCAGAACACGCAGCACGCTATCCTAGCCGTTAGGGCCCCGGTCCCGCTGATGCGAATCGGCCTGGTTGGTTTAAATGTCCCAAGAATCCATTGGGTCTATAAGTCCTCGTTTATGGGTTGATCGATTAGAATGATCCCCTCTGCGGCCTCACCCAAAGGGAATCGTAGTGGTTCTGCGACCAAGAATTTGGCATAGTTCCAGATGTAGAGAGTGGTCGTAGGGTTTGAATCGCCCCACAGCACGCTACTGGATTAGCCTTGGTTGCTACATATCCTTTTCCAAGTCCTAAACCAGCACATACGACCACAGGGTGTGGAAAACAGGGCTTCCCGTCCGCTCAGCCGTACTTAAGCCACACGCCGGGAGGTTAGTAGTTGGGTGGGTGACCACCAGCGAATCCCTTCTGTTGTATGTTCTCACCTTTTTGCGGCTTGGTCGTTCAACCCTACTGGTTGTATGACTGCAGCATGGGTCGTGCATTAACCGAGGTTAGATCATTGAGGGGGTATGGATGATTCGAAGCAGATGGGCAGCGTGCAGGAGGCGCTGACGCGCTCTACTAAAAGGCGTAACCGTGCTGAAACAATGCGACGGCTAAGAATGATATCGATCGGGCCTTCCCATAGCGACAACTTGGGGAGGCTATCATACATTGCAACTGTCCCTTGATCAGTCTTCGAGGCAGTGCTTTCTAGGTCACGACCCCCTGTCGAGAAAGAAGAACAAGTTAGAACCACGAATACCCAACCAGTCAACCCTTATATGAACATAACAAATATGCCTGAGTGACGGGCTCCCAGGATACAAAACAAATATTCTCTTGGTCCTACTCCGTTAACGGAGTCTCCGCACTAACCTCGAAATACGGTGTGAATGCAATCCTACACAGTAGGGGAATGGAAAGGTTCCGGCGGGAAGACGAGCGGGGTAGCCCTAGCCCGGCTCCAGGCTTACCGACGGGGCGGGCTTTAAGGCGGTGGTAGACTAGCCATTGATGAGGACTGGCTATGATCTTTAGGGTAAGTGAAGCCCTCAAGATAAATTCTCGTTTTTACTTGTCTTTGGTCTCCCAAATTCATTGAACCAAATCTATTCTTGCTGCATTGTATCCGGAAGGCACGTGCCATGCCATATAATCTATCCGTGTCTATTCATACCGTGTACACCTTGCAACCCATTTTTAAGTAGCTCCAGAATGCAAAGAGACAGACAACCAATAACTAGATCACCTTTCACTTGATCCTCCTCCCCCAACAGCCTCCGCAGGACCCGGCTCCCCATCCGCCGAAACCACCGGCTCCCCAACCACCGGCCTCCTGGTCTCAACCACCTGCGCCTTCCTTGCCGCATTCTCCTGCAAGGCACGCATATATTGCTCCGATTCAGCCGCAAACTTACACTTCTTCCGGATTGCCGCCCCATACCTATAGAACAGAAACGGCGCCGGCATGCACAACAAACTCAAAAACGCCGGGATGGAGGGGGCCCAGTGGATGCCCGCGCCGCTATACATGTAAGGGGCGATTATGGGAAAGACCGCCCCGAAGATGGAGCGGAGAACGGTGTTGGCAGCCAGCACAGAGGCGGCGTAGATGGTGTACGAGTCGATGAGGTAGTTCATGACGCCGAGGTAAATCAAGATGACGCCGAAGCCGAACGGGGCGGTGGCGATGATGCTTACGCTCCAGTGGATGGAGGAGGAATCGGTCCAGGCGAACCAGAATTGGCTGATGGGGATGGCGAGGGCGCCGGGCATGCATTGCAGGAGGCGGGCCTCGGGGGGCGCGAAGCCCCCGTGCCGGTCTTGGACCTGGATGAAGTGCAGGTTTGCCGGGATGGTTGCGCCGACGCCGATGATCATGCCCACCATGATGCCTAGAAAGGCGAGGCCGCCGACGCCTGGGTTCCAGCCGCGGATGTCCTCGTAGACGATCGGGAAGGCGGAGAAGAACATGTACAGCGTGCCGTAGACGATGGCGATGTAGAGGGCGAAGAGGAGGACGATCGGCTCGCGGAAGAGCAGGACCCAGGGGCGCGAAAGCGCGGTCTTCAGGAGGCGCGGTAGTGAGACGGGGCCCTTGTCGAGCTCGATCTTGCTGCGGTAGACCCGGCCGGTGAGCTGGGAGAGGCGTCGGGCGCGTTGCCGCAGGAGGACGGGCGCGTAGGTCTCCGGGATGAAGACGGCCATCAGGACCCAGATTAGGGCCGCCAGTAACGCGAGGAACCCCTCCACCCAGCGCCAGCCCGCGCTCATCCCGAGGAATCCGCCGATGATGGGCCCCAGGGCGGGTCCGAGGAAGGGGGCGGCCGCGTACAGACTTAAGGCTAGGCCGCGCTGCCGCGCGGTGAACATGTCCGAGATCGTGCCTCCCGCGTTGGTGAACGGTGAGGATCCGAAGGATCCAGCGAAGAATCGCAGGATGCACAGCGTCCAGATGTTTTGCGCGCCAGCGCACCCGGCTGAAAATGCGGTCATCGCGAAGAAGCTGACCATGAAGGGGGTTTGGCGACCGAAGACCTCGCTGACCGGCGCCCAGAAGATCGGGCCGACCGCGAAGCCCAGCACGAAGAGCGCCAGGCCGATGGTTGCGACTTCCGAGCTGACATGGAGATCCTCGACAATTTCCTTGATGCTGCCGCTGTAGGTGGACGAGGTCAGAGCGACGGTCAGGGTGGAGAAGGCGACAATCAACGTGATGGTGATCTTCCGCGCCGCGCTGAAGAGCAGTGGGTTGCGGCAATCGTTGGGAATCCAAGAGACCACATACGGATCCTCCTCGGTGCCACTGCCGGGGTATTCAAATTCGAGGATTTCTTCGTTGATGGCGCCTTGGTCGAGGAGCATGCGCCAATGGGGAATCCGAGTGCGATAGACCCCCTTGGGAAGGGTTCCTTTTTCGCGATGCTGTTCCACATCCGCGATCATTTTAACTTCATTCCTTATGGACTGTATTTTTGGGAAATGGTGCGGGCATTCACGTCATCATATCATCGCTCGACGATATGTCACAGATCAGGAAGACTTGCCCACTTTCGATGGAATGCCCTCATAAAGAGAAATCCCCCAACACACCAGAAGGGGTGGCTGAGAATGGTCGGGCGACTCACTGCTTTTATTGTGCTGAACAAAGTCTGACTCGGTGCAAAGCAAGACGGCAGAAGAAGGGGAAAAAAAAGCACTAACAAAAATGGGTCTCTGCGGACCCACAGCTCCTCTCAATGAATGCATGAGAATGATAGTTCTCCTGCAGCATGACTCGCCCACAGGATGATTCGATGGTCGAGAAATGTACTAATGAGGTGCGCGGGTGATGAAATGGAAGACCCTGCGCCTCTGTGTGCAATCTGAATTTGCTTTGATGATCGAATTGGCGCATATTCCTGGATAAAAAAAGCAGGGAGCGTTCCTGTGCCGGGTATTCGGCACGGACTGGGGCTCGGGAGGGCAAAGAGTCAAAGACCCATCAGCCGCAGTGCCTCCTCCCGCTTACCGGGGGCCGAACCTCGGCAAGGGTGGCTGATTAAATTCTCGATGCGCATTTGCCAGGGCTAGGGTAAAGGTAAGCTGTCGCGATTTGTGAAGGTGATGTGATAAGTGATAAGGGGCGTGCTGTTCCGGTCCACCTTTCATTGGAGGGATTGGCGTCAATCATCACAAATCGAGCCAATGCGGGTTCAAGCCGAGCCCTGCCCTGAGATCAATGGCAAGCGGGAAAGGGGTTAAGATAAGCTTCCCTCCCGCCCGCTCGCTCAAGGGTTTCGCCTCAAGTCTCACAGTCTGTATATGGCCTGCCCTTTTGTGCCGTCAGAGTGACGATAGTTTAGACCCCACTGGTGTTGATTTGGAGGGGTCTAAGCCGTCAAAGCTCATTTCTGGGTGTAATTGGAGTACCATGGCAGCCACCAAGACCAGTTGTCTAGAATAAGTATAGTCGGGCTTCAGGAGCAGCTCCGGTCCTAATCTACTTGACCCTCAAGCCACTCTTGCCACATCATCCCATTGAACCTTGACCTAACTACTCATGTGTAATCCTTCAAAGATAACCTAGAACAAAGTGCCGTCCCCGGCGTTCAAGATGGGACTCGACTTAGTCTGCGGCCGCTTTTCAGCCGCGAGCTCTCGACCCGCTTTCCACGAGCCAGCCTCTAACATCTGAGGCAACGTCAATTGAACATCTCCCAACTTCCCACTGCTCGAAATCCGCTTGTGCAATTCGTCCAGCAGAGCAACCGTCATCGCCCGCCATTCAACTATCTCCCCATCTCCCACTGCGAAGCACGGCAGCGTGACCCCGGAGGTGCGCAGCCCGCGCTCTAGTGCCGCTGGCTTGAGCGTCAAAACCCCCATGTCTACGAACAACCCCCCATTGCGATACTCGGGCAGCCCGGTTCCCAGCTCCGCATTTTTCCAGGTGATTTTCAGTATGCGCTCGAAGGGAACCTTGAGCGAGTAGGCGAGCCACTGCGTCAGCTTGTGGAAGGGCTGGATCGTGGCGGTGTCAGGGTCTGTGGTGGTGATCTGGGAGGACTCCGACAATACATCCAGAGGCCATGCGTCGCCGATCGGGTGTCCGCGAACGCGAGTTCGGTCGGATGGCCAGATCGGAATCAGCGTCTGTTGCAGCACAGCCCAGAGTTGGGCATAATCGAGGTTCTCCGCGCCCGAGGAAAGGAGATGGTCTGCTTGGGTCAGTGTACCTTCTGGTTGAATACAAAAGCATTGATCTCACCAAGAAGTTGGCCGGGGCGACCGGACGGTCCGAAAATCTCCGAGAGACTGGTTATCGACTGGCCCAGTCTCTGTAGAATCTCGACGCGTGCACCTGCTCCCACAAGCGGATTGCTCTTATCATCGACTTGGAACCCCTGGGTCAATACGTCCACCGTCAGGCCTTTCAGCGCCTCCCCTATCCAACAACATCAGTCAGCGTTGTTAGATGGATAAGCAAAGGGTGGAACTCTACCATGCACGACATCCTTCCTCTCTGACCCCTGTTTGGCAAAGTCCCCATTGAGAAACATATACAGCGAAGCGACCGCGATCCCCTCACTGCGGTTATACACATTACCCGACTCTGGTTCGACGTACCGCCAGGTATCGCCCGCTCCGGCGTCAAGGAGCACGGAGACGAAGAACAGATCCAACAGACTGCGCACCTTCTCCTTGTCGTCATAGCCGGCTTGACTCCATCGCTCGAGAAGTTGTTGTAGTCGAGGCACCCCGCCCACTTCGAAGTGCTGCCAGCGACCGTGGGGAGGGATCTGATCGTATCGGTCGGGGCCGAAGTCTCGCTGTCAGAGGTATCGTGTTAGTCTTTACTTTGCTAGTAGTAAGGAATGTCATGTCGCACCGTTATGATGTTTACAACATAGTCCACGGTCGCGTCCAAGCGGTCGGGGTGATAATCATAGTGGTGGAGCTTGCCTTCCTCGGCTAGGCTCAGGACAACACGGGCGCGGTCGCGGACAGCTTCGAGACCCAGAAGGTGCTGGATGCTGGAAGTCATGGTAAATATTCGAACTGCGGTGACTCTAGTAGGCTGTTTGGAAGGTGTTTCACTTGAGTGTATGCAGTGAAAAGAAAGAAGAGTTGTGTTGGAATTCAGGTAGGAAGGAGGGGGGAAAGGAACAACAACTCAGAGCGGGGAAAGGCGCTTATCACCCAGGACCCGCGGCTGATATCCTCTATCTTATCTGATAACACCACGCGATACACCCTGTATCGCCAGCGGTGTACAGCATATCACAACAAGGCGTCAATACATTGCAAGGTGTTGCTCTGCGATGCTCGAGCTAAGGCATTAATAAATATAAGCCTGGTATACTGCCATCGTCCCTGGCTACACATACACCCTTGCATCTGATTTTACACTAGACATCCATCCTCCAGAATCACTACCACCTCGCCATGACCGTCACCCTCCCATCCAACGTGCATCAAGTGCACAACACCACCTTCACAACCCTCCTCCAAAGCCTCCGCCAACGCGACCTCAAGCCCTCTAACGTCCGCTCCCTGGTCCGTGGAATGACGACTGCCCTCTCCAAATCCATTCATCTCGACACCACCGCCCCCGACGAAACCGTAGCCGTGATCGTCGTCCTCCGCTCCGGGCTCGCCATGTTCGATGGCTTCATGGACAGCTTGCCAGAGAACCTCTCGACCGCGATCTACCACCTGGGCATTTTCCGAGACCAATCTACGCTGCAGCCGGTGGAGTATTACAACAAACTGCCTCTCAAGCCGGCGCAGATCAAACAGGCGGTGGTGCTGGATCCGTTGATCGCGACAGGTGGAACGGCGGCGGCGGTTGTGGGGATCTTGGAGTGAGTCTCTGTCTTTTCTTATTTTTCGACATGAGTTGGGCTGTTAAACACCTGTGATCTGGTGGCTAACGCAGTATCCGTAGGGAATGGGGCGTGGAGAAGGTGACTTTCCTGTCAATGCTCGCCACACCAATGGGGTTGTCTCACGCGGCCGGAGTGTGGCCGGAGGGGAGTCGATTTGTGGTGGGCGCAGTGGATCCGGAGGTGAATGCGAAGGGGTATATTCAGCCCGGGGTGGGGGATATTGGCGATCGGCTGTTTGGGACGATCTTCTGATCTTAGTCAGAGATAGTCAAGCAGATAGGAATTTACAAGACGAAGCAAATGATCGCATTCAGTAACGAAGTATTTGATATTGTATTTGCAACATAGCAGCCAAAAATGTTCGACTCAAGACCCCCGCCTAATGCGATGAATATGCAACTTAAAACCCTGCCGACCTTATATGCAAGACTTATCCAAATTCCAACCTACCATCCTCGTCACAATGCATAAAACACCCAAGATTCAAATACCCAAAGAAGAGATACTGATACTACCATAGCCATGAAACACCGACTGCCTCCTCCAATCTCAAAACATACTCAGCACGTACCATAGTACCTATCCCCGAAGTCACCCAAGCCAGGGCTAATATAGCTGCGACAGGTCAGTACTTGCGTTTTGCAGAACGACACAGCAGAAACCGAAGGAAGGAGGAATACTTACTTCTGCGCCGTCAGATCCGCATCCACCGCCGCAGACACGATCTTCAACGCGGGGAACCGTCCCGTGACCACCTCGAGCCCCTTCTTCGAGGAGACGACATTCACCAGCACGATCGACTCCTCCGGCACGCCATGCTCGGTCAGCGTCTCCACGGCCTTGATGACCGAGCCTCCCGTCGCGAGCATCGGCTCGAGAAGCAAGACGACTACTTCTGGTCAGAACATCCCAAAAGAGAAGCAATCGCAAAGACCAAGTCCACAGAAAGACATACCATCATTACAAATCCCCGCCGGCAACTTCGAATAATAACTCTTGGCGATGCTCGTCTCCTCGTCGCGTTGGATGAGGAGCTTTCCGAAGCTCAGGCGACCACTTTACCAAAACAATCAGCATTTCCATCCACTACAACACCCACAAACCGAGAACATAGTAAGGGGGGGGGGGGGGGGGGGGGGGGGGGGGGGGGGGGGGGGGGGTCACTTACGTCCACGTATCCCGCAAAACCTGCTCCATGCTCGCGCCCGCCCGCAGGATGCTCACGCCACAGACCCCCTTCGTGAAGCGGAGGCCCTTGTACGTGGTATTCAGCGGTGTGGTGACGGTATGTTCCTCAGCGGGGACATAGTTCAGAGCTGATATACTCTCTCGCATTAGTTGTCTTTCTTTTCCTACCTGCCCCGAAAAGAGCACGTGACCATACCGGAAGAGATCAGGCGGTGCACCACTTTCTCCACGGCGGAGACGAATGCGCGGTCGTCGGTGTTGACATCCCGGATGATGGTCATGAGGCTGAGCAGGGAGCGGTCCTGCTCGAGGACGGTGACGTGGTCCATCGGGGTGGTGGTGGTAAGTGCCGAGGTGGTTCCGGCAGTCGGGATTGACATTTTGTGGAGGCCTTTAGAGTTTGGATTTATTTGTTTAGATATATTAGATGTGCCGAGTTTGTGGGTTGTTGGAGGTGATGAAGTTTGCGAAACTTCATGAAAGGAAGGAGATCAGAGGAACAAGGGTAGAAGTACCTTGATTTATATCCCGATGACCGCGGGGTACCTTGCTTTGTTGTGAGTGAAGAGGGGTGCAATGCAGGTGTGCGTGGGCGGAAGAAGGCGGAGAAGAAAATTCAAAGGGAAAAAAAAAACGAGATTCGGCTTGGCACGCGACAGCAACTGTGGATGATAAGGCGGATCTAATCTTATCGCTATCCTGGTTTGGCCTGGAGCTTGCTTGTCAGGAGGAGGGCAAAGAGGAGTTATCTTCTTCAATGTCAAAAAGTAACATTTTCGTACATCTTTGTGCTATGTACCGTGCCCTTGCAATTGAAGTTTTTTAGTCCCACGTCCGTCTGTCGCGTGACCAGATGTTTGAAGCCAGTCGTTGACCATACAGCAAGAGTCTTCAATACGAAGGCACATCTACGGAACCAAAGTCTTACGCCCATGTCTTCTCATTTTTGTCATGCAGCAGGATACGGTGTGCTCAGTCAGATGGACAAGTCATCCATTCTGCGGCTGTGAGCCATGCCTTAGCCACTTGGGGCTGATAGCTCTCAGTCGAGTAGATGATGTCTACCTGCCTGATTGTATGTACCAGAAGAGATCCACGGTCGCATAGATCTTACGGCAAGCTACTCGTGCCAATTTGCAAAAACCCCATTCACCAAGTAATTCTATAAGTAACAGCCTTACCGCCTTATAAGCCGCTTACAACACCCAACGCGATCCCATTGTAAAAGATTACATACAGTATTTTTCAATAAAGAATCCTAATGTAGCAATATCTTCAGCCTGAAATACCCTAAGATTCTAATAGCCCTAACAATCCTGATGTAACTAGTAGTTATATAACTTAAATAAAGCCAAGTAGTATATAGTACAGTTTGTAAGGGGCGAGTGCTTAGAAAAAGGACCCCCGGAGACGACGGAGGAAGGGGGGGCTTAGGGGAGTAAGTTGGGAAGTTGATAGGTAAGGCATACTGCCCCCTGTAGATCTGTGTACACTGCATGTATCCAGTATCCACCTATGGTCCCCCCTCTTAATTCCCATTACCCCAATCCATAAAGAGCAATGAGCTAAGCCCACCACCAGACTTGCTTATCAGCGATCTCCCACAAAGCGGGGGAAACTCCTTATCGCGCAACCCCTCGGGGAATCCCGACCTGTTTTTAAAAAACTGATAAGCCGCCTTGAACCCCAACATCCAAAGATAATCAATCTATCGTCTATCTTCCCTCACACTCCGCCTCAATCTCCTTACCCGGTGAGCGGATAACACATTGAATTGCGAGATATGCCCCGAATCGCGACCAAATCGTCGAATCGAGCGGCGCGGTTCGCCCCCTTCCCCTCGGGATCGCCCACTCCGAGCGACGATACGGTCGTCTCCAGCGAGCGGGCCTCGCGCCGGAGCTCTGATGTATGTGCACTTTCATCCGATAAGCCCGACACGAACAACACCCGATTGACGTTGGAGTCAGACCCGCTCGCGGAGGAGTAGCACGCGGTCTAGTCACGTCGAGGACGCCACACCCCGTGGGGAGAGTCCAGAATTGGACGACAATGGGGATGATGATGAGAATGGATCAGATGCTCCGGTCTCGCCCGCGCCTCCTACTGTGACGCACCTCTTTATCAACAATGAGCATGTCATGTCCAAGTCGCAGAGCTGGAGCAATGTTCTGGATCCGGTAAGAGGATTTTGTCTAGTTGTTTTTTTTTTTCTTTATTTTTTTCCCTAGAAATTATCCTGCTCCTGTGGTCGCTGACCTCAGATTCAGGTCTCGCAGAGTTTACTATGTAGGGTTCCTGGAAGTACACTGCAGGAAGTTCAGAGGGCTGTTCAGGCAGCACAGGATGCTCAGCCCGCCTGGGCGGCGCTGGGGTTCCAGGTGCGGCGGGAGCGGCTGTTGAAAGTCGTGGATGTACTCAGGCAAATGTCGCCGGAAATAGTAAGACTCGTTCACTCAGTACTTGATGCCAGGACACCCAGTAGCCCTGGAGCTAATTCAGACTGGTCGTAGGTGACATGTCTATCCCGCGAGGTGGGGAAAACTCTCGCCGATGCCGACGCCGAGGTTTTTCGCGGGCTGGACTGCATCCACGCTGCCTGCTCCGTCGGGCCGGAAATGGCGGGCATGTTCCTCGGAGGCGATGCCACCTTGCTGCAGACTTTCTACGAACCGGTGGTTAGTGCTGACTGATGACTGTCTTGAACTCAGGGGATGGCAAGATTTAGTGCTGATTGAAACCTGTAGGGCGTCTGTGTCTCCATTACTCCCTTCAGTTTTCCTTTCATGATCCCCCTCTGGTCGTTACCCTATGCCCTGATCACAGGCAATACCGTGGTATTAAAGCCGTCCGAAAAGACACCATCAACATCCACCTTGCTTGCGGAGGCCTTCCTCAAGGCCGGATTTCCGCCCGGGGTGTTCAACATCCTGCACGGCGGCCCTTCGACCGTCCAGATGCTGATCCACCAGCCCACCGTCCAGGCCATCAGCTTCGTCGGGTCCGAACCGGCCGCGCAACAAGTCCACGACCTTGCACGCGCCGCCGGAAAGCGCATCCAAGCCGAGTGCGGCGGCAAGAATCACGGGGTCATCCTCGAAGACGCCAACATGACGTCCACGCTCTTCGCCATCGCCGGCAGTGCCTTCGGGGCGGCCGGCCAGCGGTGTATGGCGCTCAGCGTGGCCGTCTTCGTGGGTAGCACGCGCGAGTGGATCCCCAAACTGGTCGAGCTGGCCGAGTCGATGGTCGTGGGCTGTGGGGGCGACCAGGAGTCCAAGATCGGGCCGCTGATCGACGAAGCGGCCGTGAAGCGGGTCAGCGGCGTCATCCAACGTGCGGTTCAGGAGCAGGCTCGTGTTCTTCTGGACGGTCGCGAGATCCAGGTCCCCGGCTACCCGGATGGCAATTTCATGGGGCCGACGATCCTGACCAATGTCGAGACTTACATGGAGTGCTACCAGTCGGAGATCTTCGGGCCGGTGCTTATCTGCATGGAGGTTGAGACTTTGGAAGAGGCGATGGAACTCATCAATCAGAATAAATGTAAGTCTGCTTGCTATGCGGCTCGAACTCATGAAGACGGTCAGCTCATACTTGCCCCGTAGATGGCAACGCATGTTCCATCTTCACCACCAGTGGTAAACACGCCAATACATTTCAACGCGGCGTCAATGTTGGGCAGATTGGGGTCAACATCCCGCTAATAGGTATGTTGATGGCGTTTCTGGTGCAGTACTATACTAAGATGTACAGCCCCTTATGGCACTGCTGTGCGGACGAGCAACAAGGATTCGTTCCTAGGAGGTATGCATTTTCCTTTCCTTGAACATGGAGTGGTATGCTGTGCTAACTATCTCAGACCGCCATGCTCCTGGAAAGACGTACTGGCCCTTCTTTACCACGACCAAGACCGTGTCATCACGTTGGGAACAGTAGACTGCACTGTTGGGGCTGAACGGTCAATTATCGCGGAAAGTTGACTTGATCACTTGATCATCAAGTGGACCTCAAGATGAAAAGGAGAATACTGAAGGTAGGCACTAGCTAGGTTAGTTATTAGTCTGGTCTGGTACGCATAGTACCACAGTAGTAGCATATCTAATCACTACTAGCGGAGGAGTCCGAACCTGCATGGATCATGCATTCGATGAATCAAGAGCGACCGAAAAAGGAATGCCATCCGAGATGCCTGCCGTCGCTGAGTCAGAATGTTGGAAGACGTCATCTCATCCCATCCTCCATTGTCCGCTCTGCCAAGACTCCGTATTTAACCCCCGACTATCACCACATTCCATCACAAACACCACTTCTCAATAACTCACAGTCCACAAGTAAAGCAATTGATGTGACTCAGTATCCTTCCCTCACAGACCCTCATCATGCCAGCCCTCAACGAGGTCCGCCAATCCAACGCGACCCTCTCCACCAGCCGGCCCGAGCTGATCGCCGTCTTCGTCGGCGGCACCAGCGGCATCGGCGAAGCAACCGCCAAGCAACTGGCCCAATCCGTGAAGCAGCCCACCATCCACGTCGTGGGACGCAGCGCAGCTTCAGGCTCGCGCGTTCTGGAGGAGCTCCGCGCCGCCAACCCGGACGGCAAGTTCCACTTCATCCAGGCCGACCTCTCCCTGCTGCGGAATGTCGACACCGCCTGCGAGCAGATCAAGGAGAAGGAGAAATCCATCGACCTGCTCTTCCTCTCCACAGGCCATCTGGCCATGTCCAAGAATGGTACTTCCCTACCCAATTCCCCCTTAACCATCCAAAGTCCCAAAACTAAACCCCCATAGAAACCGATGAAGGCCTAGACGATAACCACGTCCTGCGCTACTACGGCCGCATGCGCTTCATCCAGAACCTCCTGCCTTTGCTGGAGAACTCTCCCGGCGCGCCGCGAGTCGTGTCCGTGCTCGCCGCCGGGCAAGAGGGCCACGTGGACGAGCACAACCTCGACCTGCGGCAATCGTGGTCCTTCCGCAAGGCGGCCACCTACGCGGCGACGCTCAACTCGCTGGCCCTGGAGCACCTGGCCGCCACGCACCCGACCGTCGGCTTCGCGCACGTCTTCCCGGGGATCGTGCGCACCCCGCTCATGAAGTCCACCTTCGGGACCTGGGCCGGCGCCGTGATGAGCGTGCTCTCGCGGCCGCTGTCCATGACGCCCGAGGAGAGCGGCCAGCGCAACCTGTTCATCGCCACCTCGGCGGCGTACCCGGCCGCGAAGCCCAGGGATGCGTCGTATGTGGGCACGCCGTTGGCGGAGGGGCTGCGCGCGGCGGTCGCGTCGACGGGGCATGTCGGTGGCGGGTCGTATATCTTGAACTACGATGGGAAAAATGCGACGAAGGAGAAGCTGATGGCCGAATATCGCGAGCGCGGGTTCGCGGGGAAAGTGTGGGAGCACACGTTGGAGACTTTTCGGCGGGCTTTGCAGAAGGATTGAGCGGGTTGACTCTGTTTTAAGTAGTGAATAAGTACGGAGTAGGTTATTCATTAACAAGTATCTCCTCTTGGACTGCGTAGTGGCTTATGCGACAAACCAAAACTTCACTATGAATCTCCACTAAATTGCATGCGAGTTACAACCACGCATACAACTCCAAACCCACCAACCACAGCCCTAACCCAACAACCTCTCTGCATTCCTGAAGTAAACCTCAGCACGCAACTCCTCGTCCATGACATACTCATCCAAATACTCGCGATACCCCGCCACTTTATCCGCATTCGCATATGGAAAATCTGATCCTACCCGTCGTCCCGCCAAGTTAGCATTGCACCCAACAAACCCCTGACCCTCACCCTCCCACCCTTCAAGTTTCGAGGGCCCCCCCGCCCCCCGCATAAACGAAAACGACGTGACAAACGTACCATAAACAACCTTCCCCGGATCCACCGTCCCCCAGACCAAATCCATGACCCCAGGCGTCCCCACCAGCGCCAAATCATAATAAAACGAGCGCACCCCCTCCACCCACTCCGCATACGTCTTCCCATACGTCGTCACATTTTGCTCCCTGGCAGCTCGCGCCGTCACCGCGACCCTGGAAATCAAAAACGGCAACGTCCCCCCCGCATGCGAGAGGATACGCTTCGCGTCCGGAAAATCTCGGGTGACGTTACCCATGATCATATCGATAGCGGAGCGGGTGGTCTCCGCCGGGAAGTCCAGCATCGGCGGCGGGAGGACGGGGTTGATCCACTCGTTGCACGCGGCGGTGGTCGGGTGGATGAAGACGACGGCGCGGCGGGCGTTGAGGGTCTCCCAGAGGGGCCGGAAGGCCGGGTGTCCGAGGTAGTGGTTGTCCGGGCCGTAGCGCGTGAAGAGGGTGACGCCGTCGGCGTGGAGGGTGTCCAGGGCGTAGGTGATCTCCGCGAGGGTGCCGGATGGGTCGTCGAGGGGGGATGGTAGGGAGGCGAAGAAGCCTAGCTGGGTTGGATGGGCGGCGGCGAGGGCGGCGGCGTATTCGTTGGCCTGGCGGGCGAGTTGGCGGATGGTGGTTGTGTTGGGGCCCGCGATGGTGGGACCTGGGGAGGTCAGGGAGAGGTAGGCTTTGCGGACACCGTTGATTTGGAGGTTGTCCAGGGTGGTTTGCAGGGTCCAGTTGGGTGTCGGGAAGCCGGCTGGATCGCCGCCGGCGGCGTCGATTGCTGGAGGTTGGCGTGGGAGTTAGGGTTGATGGTTGGTGGTTGAGGTGGGATTTGTGGGGGGGGGTGGGTTCTGTACTGTACCTTGGCGGTAGAAGTCGGGGACAAAGTGGTGGTGAGTGTCGATTTTGAGGGGGAGAGTCCTGGAATTTGTGGTTGTGGGGGTTTCTGAGCGCTGGGTTAGCAGTCGTATGCTGAGGGCGCCTGTGAGGCCCGCCAGGATGGTGCCTATGCCCAACATGGTGGATGTATGATGTCTTGGGGTGGGGTGAGTAACCAAACAAGCTACTGTCAGTCGCGGGGAAAGCTTGGAATTAATATGTACATTGGATTGCCCAAGTAGGGGATGATTACCCCTCCCGAAGCATGGAGCGGTCTGTACGGAGTACCACTGCTGTTGTGCACTGCTGTTGTGCAGGAGGCGTCATCCCTTGCATGATACCATGTTTGCCCCGCTCGCTGTGAGTGATTACTTTCTGGGGGTCCTGTCAGAGGGAGACGTTGCTGAATTTATTATGGCCCTGATTTAAGAGAGCTAGAACCGCATACTAGAATGTACAGTACTCTTCAAACTTTCGCTGCTGATACTGTCCTTATTAGACCTGATATATTCTTACCTATGCCCTACGCAAAATACGCCCCTTGCTTAGGCACAGAGGTCCAATGAAGATGAGCCAGCTCGAGACGAGTCTCCACACTCCCTTCCTCCGCCTCCAGTCCCTCCTCCGGAAACACCACCTTTTCCCCGCGATATCGAACCGCCCCGTAACGCACGCGACGCCTCCCTACCACCGGCAACAGCCCTTGCAAATCACTCCCCGTCGCCGAGCCACGCAGCACCGGCGCATTAAATGCCTTGGCAATCTCAACCGGGCTCATCGTGACCGGCCGCCCGATCTTCCACCACCCATAGAAGGTCAATGCCACAGGAATCACACAGGCAATAGTCACCAGCACGCCTACCGCCAAGTACTCCGGATGCAGCTTGAAGACCACCTCATCCGAGGTTAGAACCGAGTTCACAGTCTGATTCGTCTGCACGCGCGTAGCGTCCACCCCCTTGTAGTATTCCAGCTTGCTCGAGTCGTTCGCCGCCGCGAGCGCCGTGCGGAACATGATCTCCTGCAGGGTGGAAATGACCGCGGACGTGGGATCGGACCAGGTGCTTTGACACGTGGTGGTCAGATCGGTGTTGTTCGCGTAGTCCTGGGCCAGTGTGCCCGAGGTATCCAGACTCCAGATGTGGTCCGCCTGGTCGGCAGCGGCCTGCGCATTGAGCAGATCCTCCGCGCCCAGGTAGATGCCCCCCAGCGTGCTGCCATTGCGGTGGGTGACTTCGTTGCTGTCGATGTCATACCTCGCGGCTATCGAGTCCCCAGAGAGCCCCAGCTCGTTCAGAGGCCCAGCAAACTCCACCGTATTGTTGACAATCGTAACTGGGTAGTAGAGCTCGGCAATCTGAAACCGGCACCGCTTGACCTGCAACCGACTGACGCAGGGGATCTGGTCCTTCCATACCGCCAAGAAGGTGATATTTGACGGCAGCGTGGCGTCAAACGTGAAGTTGGTCTGGAACATTGTGCGCTCCACGTCGACCATCCCCACGATATCGCCTGAATCGTTACTCGTCAGCGAGCCGTTCTTGGTCTCGTAGGCGGGGCCGAAATCCCAGGGCCGCGTCTCCTGCGCGCAGTCGACCGCGAACCCCGCGGCGCGGATCATCAGCCCCGTGAAATTCCCGCCGCCGCCGCCGCCGCCGCCGCCGCCCCCAGCACCGGTGGTACTGTTGATGTACATGGTCTCGCGACTGTTGTACCCTTCCATCACCTGCTGGAATGCGGGCTTCATCGACCCTAGGGCCGGCGGCGTGGTGTGCTGCATCAGCGTGCCCGTGTACCCCTCGGGGATCTGCCGGGCGATCTTGACGGAGAGGGGCGTCTGGTGCGCGACGGTTTCGGTGACGATGGTCAGGGCGCGCTGGTAGAGCGGGCTGTCGACAGCCACGATGACGGAGGCCACGCTCGCGAAGGTGAGGAGGTTCGCGAACCGGATGTTTCTCGCCGCGTCGTAGAGGCTGTTCGGGAAGCTCCAGTAGCGATGCAGGTCGTCCACGGTGCAGCCGTCGATCGCGCGCAGCCACCAGCTGATGGCGGCGCCTTCGGCCATGGCGAACTTGAGGAGGCCGTTGCTGAGGGCGGCGGAGATGGCTAGCAGGACGGATGGCTGCACAGACCATTTGCTGACGGGCTGGCCGTTGCAGGTCAGTAGGATGGCGATATCGAACCCAATACATAGGAGCACGCCTAGCAGGGACAGGAGGCCTAGGTAGGGGAGTCGCTTCCACACCCCGGTTTGCCATACATGCTGTTGGCCGTCGAGCGTGGAGTATCGGACTTTTCCTCGGTCTTTCGGGTCATTGCTTTCTTGTTGGAGAATCTGCGTCGCTTCCTGTGACCTTGCCATATCTGGGTTGATGATTATGTGGTGGCCAAGAATTCTACACTTTGGTCGTGAGGAGGCGAGACCCTAATATGGCTTACCCCGCGACTGCATCGCCTTCCGTCTCAGCCTTGCGCAGGAATGAACGAGCCTTGGCAATATGCAGAGCGACGATCGAGGGCGCTTAAATGCCTCAGCATACATTGGCAGGCTTCATGGTGCTAGTAAGATTTTCTTTTCCCTAATGAAAGGAGTTGGTAGGCGTTGTGGCACGCCAAGGTTGGACCTCAAGTGCTCTGTGCCCGATTACCATTGAAGGTGGGAATATATTGTGCGGGAGCAACAGTAAGACCTTCCATTCGTTGAATGACATCAGTGGATATTAATGCTCTCGGCAATCTGGTAGGCGTAGCACAAAGACAAGTATCATCCACTAGGCGCAGGGGTACATCTGGTTGACCTGGTCAAGTAATAAGTCAAGGTAGGGAGGGTAGGGCTGGTCGAGAGAGCACGGCAGGGTATGATGCTGGGTGGTATGCTTGTATCTCTACCATCTGGCACAGTTTTGAGCCACGTTTCATCAAATGGGGCTGTGGTTTAGTGGTATAATATTCCCTTAGCATGGGAGAGGTCCGGGGTTCGATTCCCCGCAGCTCCATCTTTTTGATTTTTGCTGCTGGTCCCTGGTCGGTGGCTGTGGAACAAGGTGGATCTGTGGGTAAGACCTGCTCTGCTATCCCTGCTCATTGGTCAGGGATCCGGAATCGAGGCACAGATCAATTAGACCTGGAATGCAGAAAAATAGCTGAGACACCCGGTGCGGAGCTCCTTACAGTACTCTGTACTCAAAGTAACGCGGACGATGCAGTCTTTGAGTCACAACGAATGAAGCCCTGTCCAATCTACATCTACATACAGCCCTTATCATATGGTCTGCCAACTTCCTGCTATCACGCAAAACAATGTGCGGTGCCTAGTTGATAGTAGGGTAAAGAACTACGACCCAAAAAGACAACACGAGGCCAAAAAAGAATAATTGCTCACACTCGGACTCGAACCGAGGATCTCAGCATTACTAGTGCTGCGCTTTACCATCTAAGCCATGCGAGCGGTTCATGTATCTTCTCTTGCAAACCGCCCTTACAACCGGGTTCTTAACCTTGAGTGCTAGTCATTTTGTCCTATCTCAACCATGTTAGGTATCTGAAACTGGCACTGATTGGCTGCACAGTCAGGCTTAATGGCACCATCATCGCTGTATATTTACGACAGACCTGCCGACAGAGGCCAGATGTCTTACAAGAAATGAGGGCGTTTCTTTGACGTGCAAGGCGCGAATCTGGCAATGTACACATTCAAATTAATTTAATGCTTGCACAGTTCCTACGCGCCCAAGACCTACTCTAATAAGTCCGTCATGCCCATCCAGCGTGTGAAGTCTAGCGCTGGAGGTCCATAGCACATGAGGTTTGTTGGCACAGCGAAGTGCACAGCAAGTGATCATACCCACTTGAAATCTCACCAACATCTTTGTCAGAGCAACCTTACTATCTCACCACACGTGGTCGGTCACACAAAGTCCATAATAATCCATCATCTACATACCCGAGTCCAGCCAGTTGCATTAGAACTGGTTTCAGCTGCTGATAACTCGCGAGGATTTGAGCTAGACTGCTTCGGATACGTCGATGATTGTCGGTGGTCTCTGGAAGTTCGAATCGAGATGAAATCCCAATCTGAGAGTGCTAAGGATTGAGTGATGCTTTAGTACAGCAAAAACATCTATTCTGAACTACATCTGTGAAATATGGAGAAGCCCGCACCGCAATCTGCAGATCCCATAATTCACAGAACCCCATCATCTCCCTGTTCAATCCTGCCCCATCAATTCCACCACATTCTTCGCAATCCGTCTCCTCTTCCGATCCAGTACCGTAACAGCAGAAATCCAGGTGAACCCCTCCTTCCAGAATGCCCAGCGCTCCTTCGGCCAGCCCTCCGACCCCTTCCACTTATCATACGCCCGGATCTCCCCGTCCCAGAGACCCCTGCTTCTCATAGATCTCCTTGCCACAATACTCCAGTCACACGGCAGCCGCCGGCACGAACCCATGAAGCGCCCCGACGTCGACAATCTCGAGCACCTCATCGCGCTTCATGTTGTAGAAGTCCTCCTCGTTATCGTCGCAATCCTGGATGGCGTTCTCGATGAGCGGATGGTGGAACTTCTCGTAGGGGGCATGCTTCAAGGTTCGGCGTGGTACCCACGCGCTGTGATTGATCAGAAATCCAAAGTGGTTGGGGCGGGGCAGACGCTGGTAGAACTTGATGGTGAAGACATTCGCGTTCAGGAAGCGTTGTCGCTCGGTCGCGCAGGTGGTCGCGTTGAAGCAGTGAACCACGTCTGTGATCGTCTCAGTTCCTGCCAAAGGGTAAAGGATCGATTGACAGCAAGTCGCTAAGGGGTATAAGTGAGAACCTACAGTCGTAAGTGAACTCGCAAAGGTACATGGAGAACCCCTCCAGCCATTTGAACTCTCCATCGTAGTCGGGGAGCTTATGGGCGAAGGATGGATGACTTGATGAGATCTGTTTAAGTAAAGAGTAAGGAAGGAAGGAGAGGTGGGAGATTAGATATCGAATTTTTAACAAGGGACGCTGGTTTGATGTGTATAATGAAAGAAGCTGGTAAATTTATGACTCATCTATCAAACCCTGGCTAGTACCCGGGACCTTGTCAGTTCTTTGTTTGCTTGCTTGTTGGGGGCTTGTTATAACACAGCCCCCATTTGCGCCCCGCTGCCCTAATTGTGCCAGTAAGCACTACAGCAGCGTATGCACAGAGCTAACATGACAACGCTCTGGATTGGTTTATCAATGATGCCAATTGTTCCTTCATTGCCCTCTGACTATACTCTCACAGAATTCGGGGTCCAGCTTCGGGAACATACAGAGACAAAAGTGAATGATGGCGAACGTAAAAAAGGAAAAAGCAGAGTCCTTGGCAGCGATCCAATATAGACCTCTTTTACCAACTAGCAAGTGCTTGTCAACCCCAACCTCACTATTTCACCACTTGACCCCATAGACAAGATCAGACCGCTCCCGCTATTATGACCTCAGCAATTTCGATCGACAGAGCAAAAATCAACCCCAGCATCCTGGTATACACACGCCTGAATACCAGCTTTAGGCCCCATCCTCATTGCATTTTGTCTTAACGTGAAACAGCTTCACAGCAGACATGAATCGGAATGCCAACAGGATATAGATTATACTGAAGAACTGAAATGTATAAAGTGAAACCAATGTCATGGCGTGTTTAAAGCATCTACATTCACTCATAGATTGTCCAGCGCATTCCTTCAATATCATCTTTTGCTTGATATCTCACAATGTATCAGCGATAATGCCCTACATGGTTAAAGCCTTTGTTCTACACATACTGCTGGCCGGCGCATTCATGGGCTAAGCTGTTCTCGCCAGCCCCTTCACCCACTTCCATTCCAGTGATGTCTTGCCTGTCGAGGCCCGTACTAAACAGCCGGACTACATCACCAATGATTTTGACAAGCGCGGCAGGGTAGCCCCAAAACTGGCAACTGCGGACTTCCCCAGCAAGAGCTACACCTGCCCCAAGAGCGACGCGTACACGGAGGCCACCTACACCTCCGGACAGCTGATGAGGCATACATCGACGCTGCCAAGTATGCCAACGAGGGTAAACAGCTTGGAAAGAGTACGGAGCTACTACCATTATCCATCCTCATCCGAAGATTCTCATGGAAAGGCTTTGAACGCTCGAGCTAATGGCGTTATACAGACAAGTACCCCCATAATTTCGTTAATCATGACAAGCTACCTCTCGAGTGCGGCGCCAGCAAGCAGGAGTTTGCTCTGGACCGCGAGAATCTCGCGCGGGTCTACAGCGGCGGTGATGTCAAGAACCTACCGGATCGGCTCATCTTCGAGTATACTGGAACAGGCAAGACTGCAAGAGCGGTTTCTGTGGCGTGATTCGCCACTATGAGGATGGTTCTGTCAACTGCTCTGCCCTTTGAGCTAGAACTCTGATTGATGGTGTGGATGTGTACTGGTCTGAATTGAATGGGAATGTTGTATGTATTTCTTGGAAAAGAGTGAAGGATTTCATGATAGCGTGTGTCGTTCTGAGTGCACTGGATGTTGGCATGTTGATTCAGGTTGTTGCTTGGCAATCACAACGCGCGAAGGCAGGGGTTTGTTCGACTAGTTTCCGATGCTATATGAACGGCCGTTCCAAGTCACTGCCACCGTTGAAGAGAAACAGGCCCAGAACACCAAGGAGTAGATTCCAGCTTGACTAACTTTGTTAGGCATGTGAGACTAACTTTGTTAGGCATGTGATTTGTAAGCTCATACCGAAGTGAACCAGCTAACCTAGTGACGTGGCTCTATGTTCCGCGTATATCTACAGTCAAAAATACCTTTCTGGATGTCCGACCTTGTAATCAAATTGATACAATTCACATAGTGTCCCCAGAAACCCAACTTTCCTCATCTACGAACCTTATCAGTCCCCAAGTCCCCCGCTCAATCGGATCAACGGCTATTACCATGAGCTCAAACGCGGAGTCAACCAGGGAGATGCTCCGAGTGGAACCCATCACCGACCCGGCCGACTTCGACCGCTTCTTCCAGATCACCGCCCTCGCCTTCGGCCACCAGGTCCAGGACGGCGTGTGGTGTGCCATGAACCCCGGCTGGGACACGCCGGAGGGGCAAAAGAGCGGCAGCGCCCGCTTCGCGGCCCGCTGGTCCTCCACCACCACCGACCAACAAGGCCGTCCCAACACCATTTTCCTCAAGGCCGTGGTCCCACGCTCAGAAGGCAGCGCAGCAGGCGACGAGGAGATTGCTGGTGTGGCTATCTGGGTTCAAGCGTCCCAGCTGGCCGGATACGGGGATGCCCCTGTCGTGGATATCGGCGAGACGATGGACCTAGAGGCCTTGATTCCGGGGAACCCGGCCGAGCAACGGTATCTGCGCCAGGTGGTGTTCATGCTGCAGCGCCGTCGGATCGAGTACGTCCGCGAGATTGCGGGCACGGACTCGCCGGCGGTGCTGGTGTTGGATCTCTGTGCGGTGGACCCTGCGTTCCAGCGGCGGGGGGTCGCAACAAAATTGGTGGAGTGGGGGCTCCACGAGGCGCGGGAGCGCGGGGGGCTGGAGGCTGTGCTGGAGGCGTCGAGCATGGGGCGGCATGTTTACCGGAAGCTGGGGTTCGAGCAGGACGGCGGCGAGTTTGTGTACGAGGTGGATGAGGAGTTTCGGGATCGCCAGCGGCCTTCGAATGTGTTTATGCGCACGGGCAGACCGACGCAGTGAGGGATTCAGAGCTTGGTCTTAAAGATCATTTCGTGGCTGGATTTTACGCTCTACCCGGCTTGTGGATACAGCGTGCTGTGTATATATCATGTGTCTTCAGTATTACTCAATAGAAGGCTCAATTTAGGTCATGTTCCGCGCTGGCACGCAATGGAAGAGTCGTGGATCTAATGTTACAAGAATTCGCTGCACTGGCCCCGGCAGCATGATACTCCCTCTTACCGTCTGTTGACTAACAAGTCTGGTATTTCAAACTCAACGACATCTGCTGTTGTATATCCTGCGTTGTGTTGGCTTTCCAATGGCTTGAAGGCGTCTATTTAGCTAATTTGTTGTTTGGCTACCCTTTGGAGATTCACAGCACCCAATTGACACATAAACCACCCAGAACGCTGTTTCATGAGTCCAGTCCGCGATTCCTGGCCCCTGAACTGCTCCTCTGTGGTGCAAATGCTTCAGAGAAGGTGTGCTTAACTGAAGTGCGCGTTTTTATACTTAGTCATTGTTTTGTATGCAATACCTCTGTTTCACGAGTTGAAGTGATCCTTTATTGAATCAATCTGTATAAGATCAACATATAACTGTGCATGTGTTTGCCTCTGTCTATAGATGAGATACTTTAAGTCAAGCACGCTCCCGTAGCCGTGACTAGAACGCCTTATCCGCAGGGTCGAATCAGATGCATTGGAGCACGGGCAACCATCGGGATCCCAATCGCGATAAGGTCGGATGCATCGTGATGAAGTGAGCTTCTTCGTTTTACTCTATTGAATCCTTGGGTATTTTATTCTCGAGGGAAATGGGGAACCGAGTCGCTTGTACTCAACCGACTAGAACATGTGTGGGGTGGAAGGAAGCTCATCCGGGTTGATGCGACAAGGGTCGGTTTGAAGGAAGGAAACAGCCATATTGAAGATTTAGACACAACATAATAAACAGCGGGCTAGACTAGGTCATAAGTTGTAGGCCAATTTACCCCCGCACCATTGTAACGTGCTGCAAGAGATCTGGTGATGCATGCTTTAGACCTGACATTCAGGTTGGCTGTGCGACTTTACCGATGCTCGATGTGTGACAGACAACCACAACATCGATGTGACATGGTGCGGTGTCACGGTAGCAGTGTCCTGCTGATGAAGCTGCTTTCTAGGGCCTGGACGCATCGACGACTACATCAGGTTGAGCAGAACTTGGTGAAGCATAAAGCAGAACACGGTTAGAATACGGCTTACATTGGCAGTGAACCACTCGCGGTATATAGAACATGCATCGTAGCCATGGGCGTCGTATAGTGAGTTATTTGCTAGGTGTTCAGATTACTGCTCGACACCAAGAGATGCATCAGAACGACACAGAAGGACATCGTAAAAGAGAAAGACTATCAAAATCGACCACTCTAATCTAAAGCAATACCTTTTTGTCCCAATTCTTGGTGAAGGACTCCAGGCGGTACGCATAAGTCGGGGTATGAGAATGAAGTCTTCGGAATGCCAGAGTGTCGGAGCGAGCTCTAGCTCCGCAACGACTACCCGTCCAAGGCTTCAACTTCTCGAGGAAAACCTATATCTGGTGCCTGAAGGTATCTCAAGATCTTGTTCATTCTTCCGACTGTGAGAAATGCATCCTCAACGTCTCGTCAATGAAACGCCAGACCTGCGCCGAATCATGCGTGTTGAGCGATGAAGACATATAGTACGTATTGCGATGGCCCTGCAGAGCATTCAGATCCCGGTAGAAGCCCCCGCGAATCGCGTCCGCCGAGACGGTCAACAAGAATGGGGTGTGGTCGGAGTAACCGACAAACTCCGGTGCCTGGACCGGGATACCCGCATGTCTCAGTTGCAGCACGCTCTGCGTCATGTGCTCTTTGACATCTGCCTCGCTCATATGATCCACGCTGCCGTAGAGAATGGAGGTCAAGTTAGGGGAGTGGGTGGGTCTCATTGCATAGACTGCGGGCTGCGGCGGGATATGGTATGGGGTATCCGTGGCACGATTCAGAACCAGCATACCGACGGGAAGTCCAGGCACATGAGCAACGGAAGTGTAGTAGCAGGTGTTATTGAACTGGCCGAAGAGGTTCCTCTCGGTCGGATCGAGGTCTATGGCGTCCAGATTCTCCAGCTTGGGCTGTATGGCAACGATCAGCTTCTTGACCTGGATTATCTGCTCCCCGGCGGGCGTGTGTGTCTGCAGGTAGACCCAGTTCTCGTCCCCGTCCCCATCCTCGTCTTCACGGTGCGTGGCTGTGACGGTGCTACTGAGTAGTACATCATTCCCCAGCTCTCGCTGTGCTGCACCATAGAGCTCACTGTTATTGTGGCTGGCGGGTTGGAGGAAACCTCCAACCGCATCCCGAATTACACCCAGGCTGAAGTATTTCATCATGTAGAGGGTCAGTTGCTGCAGCAGATCTCCGACACCTTGATTGAACAGCGCAATGATGTCCACCGCCCCGTCCAGGTTGTATTTCCTGATAAACTCGCCAAAGGGGAGAAGGAGGTCTTCTGGGACGGGGTGAGGAAGGTTGAACCCCGTGTTGAGATAGGGATATTTCAGCAACTGCGCCGCGTATGCCCCCAACGCGGGGAGCGTGGTTCCATCCGAGAGGGGCACAGAGGCCCCGGTTCGGAGATCAACACGGCGCATCACACCCTGCCCCAGGGCGGAGACCTTGACCACCGGGACGCGGAGATAGGCAAAGTAGTCGCGAACCCAGGGCTCATCCTCGAAATATAGCACTCCGTAGTCGGCGGCAATTCCTGTCGTCGGCTCGGTGTAGGTGTTGACGTGTCCCCCTAAATGATCTTCCTTCTCGATGACGACGACACTATAATTCATCTGACGCAGGCGAATTGCGGCATACGTTCCTGCAGAGCCACCGCCGATGATGGCGATATCGCGGGTGATGCTCTGTTGCGATTTGGGCCAGGAGAAATTGGATCCTGTCCATGCACTGGGAAGAGCATTAATGGTCTGCAGCCACAACGAGGCTGATAAGAAAACAAGTGACCAAGAAAACTGCGAGGCCCACATCTTTTCGTGCAAGTAAGGCACTAATGTTCTTCTTACACAACTGGGAAGGAGGTGTTCGTGGTAGTGGGGATGGAAGCATATGTAATCCTTATAAAGCGGAGTGATGCTCTTGTGCTACCAACCACGGCCAATACCTGGTACGATACCGTGTGATGCAGACTGTTCGAACACGACCGCCAGATGACCTGTTTCTGCACATCATCTTATGGAATAAATCAAGTCTTCTCCTTCCACCTTGCCCGGGAAGGAGTACAGGAAAGGTTTTATTGCCTGTGACGTTACATGATTACTGTAACTCGAACTCTGGTGCTCCAGGTCTTGGACGTACATGCATTTAAAGCTTCCGCTAGACAAATCATCAGGCTTGGTCTGGAAAAAGGCACATATTGAACCTCCCGAGCTGACAATCATGAACGCCTATCCGGGGACACAAGTGGTCATTGTTGAACCGAATCCCCTGGCTCTTGTCTTCGAATGCAAGTCTACGATTTCTGATGAAAGATATCCAATGCCTCTGCAAGATGAGCCTTTAGATCCAAGTTCCAGATCCAATGCATCCGCTCGTCCAGATCCTGCCGAATCTTGTCCACATCATCCTCCACCCCGGGCTTCTGACACTGGTACAACAGACCCGCGTCCCGACTCGTGCGGACCAGCCTCTGCGTCCGCGGTCTGCGCACCGCATCATACGCCGCAAATGCGCGGCTCAGCTGACTCCGGCCCCGAACCTCTTTCAGCAACCGCGACAGGACGAAGACATCCTCAATCGCCATCCCGGCCCCAGCCCCCTGATGCGGGGTGCTGGCATGGGCCGCATCCCCAATAACGCATATCTGCCCATCTTTGTGGTACGTCCGCGCCGGGGGATGGTCGAACATGGCCCAGATATCGGAATTGCGCATCAGCGGCAGGATGGCCTGCACATCTGGGCCCCAGCCCGCAAAGTCCTGCAGCATGTGCTCCTTATTTCCCGGCAGCACCCACTGCGCGCCATGCTCCCAGACCCCGTTCGTCTTGGTGCGGAACGCCACCACATTCATCGTCTCTCCCTTCTCGATGGGAAAGGTCAAGACATGCCCGTCATACCCCCAGTGGAAATGGTTGTTGCGCGCCGTGTACTCGCCTAGCGCGGTGACCGCCTCCTCCATGGGGATCAGCCCCCGGTAGGCGTATTTTCCTGTGAAGACCGGCTCGGCCTCCGCCTCGCCCGCTAGCAAGATCTGGCGGACGCGGGACCTGATCCCGTCGCATCCGATCACCGCATCCACCGTCGCGGCAGTGCCATCCGCGAACCGTACCGTCACGCTGGCATCGGGGTTCTCGTCTAATGAGACGAGTCGCTTCCCGAAGGAGACATGGCTCTCTTGCGCTTCTTGTGGGAGAAGCTCGGTCATGCCCTCGAGGAACCGCGCGCGATGGACGCTGCTCCGGGCCACCGAGGCGCGCGTCTCGTGGATATGGTCCCCAGCCTTGAGGGTGTTGGTCGGGCGCCGTTGGCCGTCCATTCCCATCCGGTAGCTGGACCAGAGTCTTCTCTCGCGTGCGCCTTCGTCCGGTTGCACGGTGGCGTGCTTGTTGTAGGTGGCCATCATCTCCGGGTCGATGAGGGCCATCGCGCGGAGGGAGTTGGACCCGAAGGCGATCCCAGCGCCGATCTCGGAAAATGCGGGCGCGGCCTCGTACAAGTGCGGCTGGAGGATGTCACGCGAAGTGTGTTTTAAGAGAGCCAGGAGAAGCGTCAGGCCTGCGATGCCGCCGCCGATGATGGCGATGCGCACGGGGCCGTCGGTGGAGGGAGAGGTTGCCATGGCTATCTTGTCGATGGAGTCTGCTGAATCAAGGCGATCAGTGATGGTAAGCTCTTCCGTCACAAAAGATTCTGAGGGACCAGCTGGAGGGGTGTAAAACCCCTGAGTCAAGGCGGGAGGGGCATCAGACGCTGTGACAGGGCTTTGGGGGGCAGCAAGCCCCGTGGTGCAGCACTAAGCTTTTAGCCGGTCAGGCTAAGAAAAGCCTTACAGAGGCTAAGGAGCCTTAGCGGCTTTTTTGGCGGAACCAAAGCTTGTCATGAAGCCATTTGATGTGAGGTTCTGGACAGTTGGAGGAGAGAAAGAAGGCATCGCTGCTCTGATGGAAGTGCTCCAGCCCTAAAAGCACCATATCTTTATCCATCCTCCTTTCCACGCAAGTGAGCTCGCGCATCAAATCTTTCTTGCAAAATCGTCATGAACATGTCACAGGCTCTTAGACAGGGACTGAGATAAGGCAGGGATCCAGATCCTGTAAGTGCCCTCGCCAACCAGAGTGGGGTTCCCCACTTCAGCTCGTGCTTATTTAAGACTATTCGGGGCATGAGCCCAACCCACATTCAACATGACACACCCGTTCCGACCGTCCCTAGTCTAGCTCGTAGAGACTAAGTATGACCAGTACTAGACTCCACCTGCTGCGCGATTTCGGTGGTGACCTCAATTTCTCCCACGTATTTCTCAATCAAGGCCGAATTACTGCTGCCGGCACGGAGTCGAGGCCGAACCGGCCCCGAGCTAATGTGATTGGGGATAGATGGTTGCGACAGCTCGTAGGACCCATGCAGGTTATTGAGGTAAGAAGACGACCCTCGACCGGCACCAGGAAGAGATTTGCGGTGCTGTCCACTCCACTCCTTCCCATGGCGAATCAGGCGGACGATGGGCATCAGACTCGGGAGACACGCCACCACCACTCCTAGGCTGCTTTCGATCGCCGTCCACAGATGGGAACATGTATCGGACCCTACGATAATAAGTTATCAAAATTTCTGCGATCGATGCGGGAGGTAGGCAACCGAAAATCAGAAAAAGAGGGAGCTTGTCTCACACGTGATGTCCGCGTTGCTGATGGCGATCAGATTTTCGAGCCGTACAACCGAGATGATACACACACTGCACGACCAAATGATTCATTAGGACCTCATACTAATGCAAAAAAACGGTAACTTCATTGAGAGAGGGGCAGCAGACATAACACCCAGAGTAAAAAATGACCGACAATCCGATTTTCTTTCCTTGCGCGATTTGAAGCTTCCAAATCTCGCGGGTTGGCAGGGCGAGAAGGAGTATATCAGTACATAGATTTGTCGCGGCTAATGTGACCACGAAGGGAACGAATTTAATGCATCGCCCGTTGGTAGTTCTCTTCTGCCATGCGTGGTGAATTGGTGTGCATTGGAAGATGGCCGTCGTCTGGAAGGCCAGGTACCAAGCGAAGAGAAAGACGATGATGGAGCGACAGGCAATGACCATGGATCGGATTGGGAATATGTGTTGGTAGAAAAGGGCAATGGAAAGCTTGATTATGGGTAGGCAAGTGTTCCAGAGTAATTGCATCAAATACAGGTTCTATGTGCTCATTCAGTAACAGTCAAAACAAAGGAAGGAAAGAGACCACATACCAAGGCGTATTCTTGTACGGTCGCAGTTGTCAAGGAGTCAACGTGCTCACCTACGCCGGCATGAAGACCTTGATATTTTTGTTAGAAAGCTCTTGCCGCTAGAAATGAGAGGTGTTGACTCACTTTGAAAGAGAAGGGTTTTCACTCCCAAGGATAGTACCTGTATCCATGTTAATCAATCTCTGCTATACTCTATGATCTTCAGGAGAGAATCACATACCAAAGCAACGACTATCAGGTAGTCTTCCAGGAATGGTTCCAGTGCTTGCAAGTTTCGAGCCCAGAATCGCAACAACACAGCGGTAACTGACAAAAACACAAGAATACTGTTAATCACCACTATCCGGAGCTGCCTCGCGTTGTAGACTCCGGTCAGGGTTAGTGCCATGGTGAACAAACATTGAAGTGAACGTGGCAATTGACTATTATCGGAGGGAATCTTGTATGTTCATGGTGTATATTTAAGAGGAAGCAACCCTTGGCCAGCGTCAAGAAGTTTTTCTTTTAAATTTTTTGAATCAAGTCATTTCCAACAAATCCATGGGCCAACTCTCCTTGCAGGGATGCCATAGTCTCGTTTACAATGATACACTCATCGACTCTGGAAGAATACACTGAGATTAGCAAGGCAAGTATTAGCCAGCCCGCATATAGTGACCGGTGCTAGCATTCACTAATGCAGCCCAGTGCAAGGATCAATATGCCTAACAGTAAGCACTAATCATATGCAATCTAAATTAGCAGGCAGTGGTCCCAATGTCCCGCAATCGCAAGACAACTCCTTAGTCAATGTCTGATTCCTTTCCTTTTCTTTTTTTCTATCCCTCTCTTCATCTTTCCTCTCTGCAAAAGCTAGCATAGAAGGGACCCCCTTCGTTACCACCCATCATGGCCCAGTACTCCCTCGATGTCAAGCCTCACTTAGAGCCAGGGACTGTGAATGAATCAAATCATGATCTGAAAATGCATAATGGGCTAGTTCTGATACCCCAACCGTCTCGAGACCCTGAAGATCCACTGGTATGCTCTTTGTTACCTGGTTTCCGTAGATAGTTGCTTACACATGCGCTGACCGCACCACAGAATTGGACAAAGGCTCGAAAGCTGAGGAACCTTGTCATCCTCTGTATGGCTGGGTTTGCGGGCACAGCACTGGACCTGGCGAATCAGTTGGCTCAGAAAGAGGAGGCCCAGAATTGGGACAAGGCAGTTATAGAAGTCACCTACACCTTGTCCGCCTCCATCGCCGGTATCGCCTACGGACCACTTCTGATCAACCCCCTTGCCCATGCCTTCGGCCGTACCGCTATCATCTTCTGGTGTCTTCTCTTCGCCATGGCATGTGCCATCTGGTCAGCTAACATGACCGGTCGAGACGACTATGAACGTTTCGTGGCGTCCCGCCTGTTCGATGGGATTTTTGGATCCATCCCGTCCATCCTGGGAGTCGGGTCTGTGTACGAGATGTTCTTTCTGCATGAGCGCGGCAAGGCCTACGCGGCCTTCCATGTCTCTTTTCTCTTCGGGACAGTGGCTGGTCCCACCTTTGGCGGCTTTATCGTACAGCATACAGATTGGCCGTGGGTATTCTGGTGGGTGGTAATCGCACAGGGTCTTGTGCTTGTGCTGGGTGCGTTGCATTTCCTTCTACGTTCCTAATGTATAGAATGGGAATGAGGACTGATTTCCGACTGTGCAGCGTTTTGCTTCCTCGAGGATACCAGTTATCCACGCGATGGGACGACAGTGCCCACCCGGAAGCCTACATCCTTCTGGGCTAATCGGATGACTACCTTGCTTCCACACAAGACTGGAATTGGTCGTTCTGAGCTAGTATAATTCTTCACCTGTTGTCTCTGAGACTGCATTCGCTAACAAAACACCTCGTAGGGACGTATTGCATGTCTCCCCTTCCGCATCGGCCTGTCCCCCATCGGCCTGATGATCGGCCTGTTCCAATTCGCCTCCTTCGGCTGGTTCGTGGCCACCCACAGTCTCATCACCGTCTGGCTTGAGAAACCCGTGACCGTCGGCGGATGGGGGTTTACACCCCAGCGGAATGCCTTCTGTATGTATTCTCAAGACTTCACCCTCACCTCCCCCTTTCCTAACACCAAACGAAACTAGTCATCTTCTCCCTGTGGGCCGGCCTCCTGACTGCCGAGCTCTGGGGCTACCTCTGCAACGACCACATCGCGCTCTGGGTCTGCCGCACCCGCAACAAAGGGGTCTGGAAGCCCGAATGCCGGCTCCACACGCTCTGGATCCCGTCGCTCGTCATCCTGCCCATCGGCCTGGGCATCGTCGGCGCCGCCCTGCAGTACCACCTGCACTACATGGTGCTAGCGCTGGGCGCTTACCTTATCACGTTCGCCTCAATGAGCTCCGTGCCAGCCACGGTGACGTACGCGATCGAGTGCGTCGCCGCGCAGCCCACCGAGGTGGCCGCATTCATGGGCGCAAATCGCCTTTCCTTGGGACTGGTGATCCCCTTCTTCATTAACCAATGGGTAGCTCGGGTCGGGTTTGGATGGGTTTACGGGATGATGGCCTTCTTTTCGATCTTCGCGTTCACCTTCGTGGTGGGACTGATGGTCTTTGGGGACCGATTGCGGGAGCGCACGCTGAGCAGTTTGGCGTCGCGGGAGATTGGGACAAAGATTATGAATGATTTTGAAGAAGAGGTGTAACAGTGTGAGAACCTCATAGGCGGTTTGATCAGAGGTTGAAACACAAAGTGATTCAAGTTTGCCACCTGTCGGACGCATCTCCGCCCCGTCATCAGTGCACGGTATAAACTAGCCGATATTATACCCTCGGAAGACCACCCCCGCATCCTGGGCCGTCCAGAACGCCCTGACAGCCCCTTGGATGAGCCTACCCTACGCCCTCGAGCAGCAGACCAATTCTGGAATCTACGACAGCCACATGTCTCTTTCCGCCTGGTTCATCATTCGACGCAGGCCACCAGGACGGGCAACATGGCGAATTTGACCGCCTTGCCGGTAACTGAGAGCGTGGCTTGCAACTGCGTGAGAATGGAGATGGCAATCGCGCGCGCAGGTGTGTCATGGACTCCGAGTGCCGAGTACCAGACCGTGCTGCCGTGTCGAACAATCTCTAGGGTCGGTTCGCTACTACTCACGACATCGCTGTCGTGGTCGGAGACTCCTACCGGTCCGTGGAGATAAACCTGCCCACTGATCTGACGAGGATTAGTCCCTGGAGACTCGGAGTGAAATCCAACTCCGCTATAAAGGTGGCTCTGATTGCTGCCATCGCTTCTCTGTGTGCCCAGGGAGAAGTCTCATTTATTGGAAGAGGTGCACGAGTCCAGAACTTCAGCAGTCGAAGGGCGCCGTTCCGGGGCGCACAAAGTACTTCCAATTATTCCCGCTAACCAAATACCGGGAGCGAATTTCATTCTTAGTATTTTGAAACAGGGGAAGTAGAGAAAAAAGGGAGAGAGGAAGAGCGCGCCGCCAGAGGAGGGGGAGAAGGGGAACAAAAAACGACATGCGGGCAAAGGGCACTGATTAGGGCATGAGACAAGCCCACTCGATCCCGCAGAGATACTGTACATTCCAAAAGCATCCGTCCCGCATAATTTGATAATACTTATATAACCTGGTTACATCACTCTGGCTCTTGAACAGAGCACTATACTATATGCTTGCAAAGTGCCTATCGCATCGGAACGTACTGTACCACGGGGTGGTGCTGCGATGAGCGTACCGCTCAGTCAAAGAACCTGGTCCGTTGTCTGACATTCTCGAGGACGTAGGAGACTTAGTTCCGCCCCACACAAATCCGTACATCCACTCGTATGCATGATCAGTTCATACCTCCTGTCCAAATTAGGGCTACATCCAGTCTCGGTGCTTCGCTATCAACCCCTCAACTTCACAGTGGGCTCTGATTATAGATGTTCTCGTATTTCCAGCCATCTCCCTGACTTGACATATTAGTGCTTGACGGATGGCTCCCTTGCCACTTCAGCTGTTCGGCATGAGACAGTTTCTTTTTCATCTGCTCGGATTATTGATCACTCGATCAACACTTGGCCCCCGTCTCCCTGCAGTCACGTTCTTGGACCCAGCCGTTGTCACTTGAGTGCCAGCATATGCCGGCTAGGTGCCGATGAACCCTTGGTGCCGCTGGAGCCTGAGGCCTCAACATTGAAGGTGGTCACAACCATATTGAAAGTTCCACCCAAGAATTCACATATAGCTGGATTCATTCATCACTCATCCACGTCCTCCATAAATTCACTGCTCTAGAATGTAGCGCTTACTGTGTTGGCGGTAAGAGTGAAACTTAATACTAGATCCTTCAATCAGGCGCCTGCTGTGGTACAAGGCTGGTTGTAGTACGACAATATAATCCGTTTCATTGACGCTTGCCTCCTGGGTGGGAACTGTGGTTTGGAGAGGATTCACTCAGCACTGCTCAGGCTCAGTCTAATTCACCTGTCATAATCTGTCGAATATCTGATAGCATCTCTACAACCAATGTATACCTCTCCCACCACCAACTCACCCAGACCTCCGACGGCTACAGCAGCACTGCTTACACCAAAGACCTTTTGAACAACCTTCAGTGTCCTTAATTGACCTGTTTATTCCTGAATATCTGTTCTTCCTACAACTACTAAAACTCTATCAAATGGAATAAACACCACATCCGAGCGGACAAGGCAGGAACCGGGGGGGATCTGCGTTCACCCGCCGAAAGCCACAAGCTCGATGCGGCCACCACATGGCCGCGAAATACTGCAACGACTTCGTCATGGTACATCCTTTCGCTAATAGCAATGGAAGAAGGTACCGCTTGATCCTAAACCCCATCTTATTGAGGTATGCTGGAATTGTGGTCTCTTTGGGCGAGCACGATGAGAGTTGGCGTCAGGATCCGTATTTTCAGTCACAATCTGGCGAGCATATGGAGGGCTCGAGAGAGCTAGCAGCCCTGGTGCTTAAGAAGTCGATCCCGCAATACCGAACACTGAAGCAAAAGACTTTTACCGGAAAAAGAGAGATTCCTGGAAGGCGGACGCTTTGAGCCCTTAGTGTTGGCTTGGCTATTGGCTGTGGTAAGTCTTGTGCATTGAAATCACTTTTATTAGGGTTTGAGTATCTCATCCATCATCACCCGTACGTTACTTCCTCAGGTGCTTCGCAATTGAGTCATCTAAGTTGCTGACATCAGTGAATATGCCCGGACACAGATACCAGAGTCCAGGCAGGATGATCGTTGTCTCGGTTGCGTGTTGAGATAGCCTGCACATACTCTTTCCGCCGCAATGTGTGGTACACCACCATCGCTGATAGCTTTGCCGTGCGCAACGGTCTTACTACCATGTCATCAACACGACCACCTCGACCCACGCAAGAAAGGGACAGAAGGACGTACACAGAAAGGGGTAGCGAGAGAAGCGTGAGACCCGCCTTGAGTGGACCCAGAGATCCAGGAGACCTTTTCACCGCAGATGCAGTAATCAGGTACTAAGATATAGTACGGCAAACAGGAAGAGAATGTTGATTAAGGAGCAGCAGTGCTCGAAGCTGTTGATTTGATCATGAAGTATCACATGGCTAGATACAATAGCCTGGCTCTCCAGCTAGATAACGTCTCCATCGAATTAAATTGAATACGCGCCACCCAGGCAGCACCCTCCGAACCCCGATTTCCGTCTACTCATCGTCGCGGATATCCACGACTGTGCGCTTCCACTTGCGCGCCGGGACCCGACGCTTGAACAGAATGTCGATCTCGCGGAAAGACCGGTCCTTCATCTCGGGAATCCACTGCCAGGCCATGGCGGTACAGATGAAGGCGGTGCCGGCCCAGACGTAGCCACTCTTGGCGCCCAGGTTCCACTTATCCGTGTTGAGCATGTAGCTGGACAGGAAGATGCAGGGGATATTGATGAAGTAGTAGGCGCCCCGTCCCACACCGGTGGTCAGGGGTCGCAGGCGGACGGACGAGGTCTCGCCGATGATGACCCACGAGGACGGGGCGGGCCCCAAGCAGAACAGCACGGAGACGATCAAACCCAGGGATGCTTGCGCATTGCTAGCCGCCGTACTCACGCCACATGAGCCTGCAATACCGAGCGCGATCAGGAAGATACAGTTGATCGATTGGCCGTAGACATAGATGGTGCGCCGGCCGAGGTAGGTAGTGAGGATCCATGAGAGCATGACCATGATCAACTGGAGGGCCGAGGTGATGAGTCCCAGGGCAAATGCGGTGGTTTCGCCCATGCCGGCCTCTGTACACTGGTGTTAGTCTGCGATGAGGTTGCAGGGAGGATGACGGGACTCACGTTTGAAGAAGTATACGGCTTGGTTCGCAATGAGATTGCCTGTTAGATTCTGAGATGCGTACACACCACAGACGATGAGTGTGCGATAGAGATCGGTTCCCCGGACCAGTTCCACGAGAGTGGGCTTCTTGACAGTCTTCTCCAGCTCGATCGTGCGACGCATCATGGCAACAGCGTCCGCGGGGTTTTCCTCTATGCTCGCGCGGCCAAGGCGCTTGACCGCCTTCTCGGCATCGGCCAGACGGCCCTGGCGGACGAGCCACCAGGGGGATTCCGGGGCAAAGTAGAGGAGGATAGCGAGAGGAGTGGGGAACATCCACTGAAGTGCAATGGGAACTCTGAGAGAGATTATGAGTAAAGTAATCCCTTGATGTTATAGGTAGGCGCAGACGAACCTGTAGGCCGAGGAGTCATTCTTGGATTGGTAGTGGTAGGTGATACCGCCGACGATGATGGAGCCAATGGCCCAGAACATCTGCAGCATCTGCGTTGCGGGCGCTCGCAATCTCATAGGCACAATCTCGGCGCAGTAGGCGGGTGCATTGGCGATGAAGATGCCCCACGGGATGCCTTCCAGGATCTGAGCGGCGAAGAACATGCCCTGGCTGTTGCCGAAATAGAAGATGAAGATGAAGGCGTTCAAGGCCATGAGACCGCCGATGGTTGCCCATCGATAACCAATCCAACTTGTGATGGGACCTGCCACAAAGACACCGATGAAGGCCCCCAGTGGTCCGCTACACTGGAAGGCTGACTGCCATGAAGCTTCGATGATATAAAGGCCGGTGACGTCGCTCTTGACACCAAAATCGTCGGCGAATTTCTGGGTCGCGATGAACTGTCCCATCAGGAAAACACAGTAGGACTCCATGATCTATGGCATCGCATCGCAGTGTTAGAGACGATCTGCCTATTGGGGTGGTTGGAGTTATTGGGGGCCAGAGCTCACAATGGTGCATGACATGACGAAGGCCCACGCGCTGGCCGCGGGATACGCCTTGACAGCCTCGAGCACAGTCATGCGATGCTCGACCTCCTCAGCACCGATGGCACCGGCTCGGTCGTAATCGACCTTCTCGCTGGCATCGTAGACAGGTTCGTCCTTGGAGGTGGGCTGGTCCTCGACCTCCATCGCCGAGGTTTCCTTCTCTGGGTTGTCGCTAGTCATGTTGCCGATCTCGGAGAGGAAAGGGGTGGATGAAAGAGAGACAGACAGGAGTGGGGGGAGGGAGGGAGATCTGGGGGATCTTGGGGGATCTCAGATCTTTATAGCTGTGATACACCGCTTGAGCTTGTAAGTGCTGGTACTCGGTGGTAATCTGTGGTAATCACTGGTAATCACTGGTAATACATGGGAACGGTGAGATTAGCCTAATCGAGCTCAAGCTTACTGCGGAGTCCCCGGACTTGGACCTCCGCAACCCAACATCTCCACTCCGGAGGGTCTGTTTTCCGAGCACGTGGACCGTGGCAGGGTGGTATTTGCCTCGCTTCGCTCTCTCATTGCACCGAAGGTGCCCCTAGTACCCTAGCGTGTGCGTGTTACGGGTGCAACGTTGATTCTGGTAGTACTCCGGTGGGGTCGGGTGGAGATGGCCCGGTCCCCCGCAACTGCGGGGGAGTTTGCACTCTATCTAACTTTTCCTGTCAGCTTTTCCTGCCCAGTCTCCCCTTCGCCCCCACTTTGCTGATTTCCAGTCCAATGAGACAGGACGGTTAATATCGATATCATTCACTATTATACCGTCACTTGACATGGAAATGCACCAGATCAGTGAACTGGCTCAATGTGAATGGTGGATGATTACCTCCTGTACGGTAAAGACAGGAATGTGGCTGTAAGACAACCTTCGTATTGAACAGTATAGCAAGGCTCTCAATTGCACGCCCGTGAGCTGACCTTCCCCTGCATATCACGTGCAGTCAGGGGCATCCGAGAGTGGCGGGTGGCATGATTCCATTGTTGCTGTTCGATCATCATTATAGTAGGGAAGTTGTCTCTGAGAGTCTCAAAGAGCAAGAGCTCTAGCCTCGGGTTGCTGAGAATAAGGACCTTGTCCAAGTACTTTTGTTGGCACCGTACATCCACTCGGTGGCACGCATTATCATGACCGACAGGTCTCTCAATATCACCCCTTCCGGTCCCCGGCGAGTCGGTCACCTCGCTAAACGCCTTCGTAGCTCTACATCGTCTGCGTGGTCGCGTGCGGTCTGGTAATCCAGTTCGTGCCGAGCTTTCTGGCGGCGGCGATCGCCACCGCGCTGCAGGCGTCCCGTCTTGGGTCGCCTTTCCCGCGATGATATACACGATGTTGTGGCTGCTCCCGGCAGAGATCCATGCCAGCAACAAAGGTACTGCCGTCCTTGGTGGGCGTTGGCGCCGAGATGCATGGAGTAAGGTTGCTGCAGCCCTTTGAAGGGCCGTCAGGGCTGGCTCTGGGGTTGTGCTTGTGCTTGTGCTTGGCACGGTTTCTGGGAGGAAAATGGTCACGGAGGGGGAGTTGAGGGAGAGAAAGTGTTCCTACGGAGACAGTCAGCGTTCATCGCCCGGCCAGGGAGGCTCACAACATGCTCGTGGCAGATGCTGGACTGTCATTGATCTAACTAGGGTTTGTTACTCGGACGGGTCGTCCTGCGGGTGGATAATTAATACGAGGAGCAATTCTCAGTGATCAGTTGGCCTTACAGACTATTGCTGCGATCGTAGTAAGACAAACGGTCTACTATTAGTATTACTCGTTCAAAGGCTATGTAGTCCCTACAATACATCACAACCGATGAATAGATCTAATTCTGTCCAGAAGTTCCAATGGCCAGATTAGGTGAGATCGTTCCGAGCCTTGACCTGGATTAGAGAAAAGTTCTGTTATCTCATGTCACAATCTGCAGGTCAGTCGACATTAATGTTGGTATTATTTCTCGGAGGTGTTTAGTTCTCAAACTACCATACACGTCGAAACGTCGGTGATTTATCTTTTACACATCCTTAATCGAGAAACAGCCAGAAGAGGCGAAAAGTAATAACTATATACTGCTGTGTCTGAGTGTAAGAGGGTACCGTACTGTAGAAGTGAATCCTTAAGCTCAGGCTGATCAGCTATGTGTGAAATTACCTGCTCTGCTTCCCTCAAGGTCGGTCACGTTGTCAGGCCAAGCGGGGAACCCTGTTAATACAACGTGGCTACCTCCACCACCCACTTGTACGTCTGAGACATATTGAGGCTTAGTACAATGTAGGTTACTTAGGACTCTGGCTTATATTGCCTCACTGTAATGCATGCATTAGCCCACAAATGTTTGAGGACGGTGCATGTGCGCACTGCAGGCCAGCTGAGTCATCATAAATACCAATGCCTAACACCATCCCCCCCGTTTCTGACTTGGACTGTTGGGACTTGTAGCAGGGATTTAGTATTCAGACAACCCCACAAGGTGAATTTGGCCAGTCTGTGGCAAGATGTTTTGCATCCTCGGAAACAAAAAAAGAAGAAAGAAGCCACAGGCCATAAAGATGAATCCAAGGGCTGGAGAAGCAGCAGTGTCACTTTCTCAACAACAGTATTTCTACAATATTGCTCTATTTTAACCTACCCTCCGCCTTGGAATATACAGTGGTGTCAGTCCCTATAACAACCCTAAAACCTCCCTCAAAATAAAACAAGCGTTCTTGTCCGGATCTGAAAGTTATCTCCGTCCTTCTGAGCATCTTCATCATGGATAGATCCCCACGACGCCCGATGCGGGGTACGCTACCACTGCACGCCGACCATCGCTCGGGACAGTGCCCACATGGTGGTCCACTATCCCCACATTGGAGCCGACCAGTGCGCGACCGGAAGGAATTCTCTCGGGCGGCTCATACCCTACCCTACCTCACCCCGCCTCGCACGCTGTAGATGATACACGAACAAACACTCAAACAACTACACTCCCATTGAGGTGGAGACTTTCCTAATTTCCAGGCAGTGGGCAGGGGACTTTCAAGCGGACTGTCCAGTTTGAAAAGCAATGAACAATACGTGAAGAGCCTCGACCGTGCCTCCCCGATCCCAGAATACCACGACATCGGAGTGGCGCCCACGGCCTCCAACAGGCCCAAGTGAAGCAGAAGTCCGATGCCGCTGGGCGACCTATGAACAACATTATCAGCCTATAGATATCACAATAATGGTCAGTCAACCGGTCTGCTGGGAGACCCCGGTTTTCTGAAAGACGCATGTACTGGCTTTCTAACATCCATGATAGTGATGGATACTGCGCGATATGGTAGGAATGTGAATGTGAAGTCAGAAGAGGGATTTAAGGCCCAGCGACAGCGACAGCTCAATACTGTGCCGGTCGCAAATCACCCAGGAGGTGAAATTCCCGGAGCTGGGGGGCGGGAGACACAGTTCCTTAATTGTTCCACTCCATTAAGATCTATCTGCTTTGGGGACTTTCCCCATGAGTTTGGTTAAATGTCCCAGACCTGCCGTTGCGAATGAACTTGCCCCAGCCAACTGCATACCTGCTGAGAACTCTACGCTGGCAATGGATATACTGAGACTTCTAGAGAGACTTCCCACATATAGTGGCGTGCAAGTCCTTCGCTTTCTCGCCACGTCCTGTTTGTTGTGGGTAAGGTACCCTCTCGGCCCCGCTTGACATAGGTGACTTTGCTCTCGATTCTGATATGCTTGATCTCCCTGGCACAGAGCTTGCCGTGCATCAAGATTTTTTACAACATCTATATTCATCCATTCGCGCGGTATCCGGGGCCGCATCTCTATGCAGCATCATCCATCCCGCTGGTCATTGCATCAATTGCGCGGAAGATGGCACCTTTTTGTTCAGGACGCACACGGGAAGTATGGTCCCGTAGTGAGGATCGGACCATGGGAGCTTTCCTACACGTCCGCCGCAGCATGGCAGGACATTTATGGGCGTCGCAAAGGTAACCCACAGATGGCCCGCGACAGGGCCCTCTTCAACAAGATGTCGGTAGATTCTGGTACAATAACAATGGCGGATGACGACAATCAGGCGCGGCTCCGTCGATCCCTTGCCCCGGCTTTCTCCCCGAAGGCGCTCGTAGAGTAGGAATCTATCTTGATGAGCAATATCAATATGCTACTTGATCAGCTGCAAAGCCGTTCCGAGGCTGGGCTTGTCACGGATCTACGGGCGTGGTATAATTGTACAACTTTTGATCTGCTGGGTGACTTTGCTTTCGGCAGCCCGTTCGGGTGCCTCAAGGCACCGGGGTTTCACGAGTGGGTGCAGTTGGTTGTGGACTACTTCTATGTTGCAATCACACTCCAGGCAGTTCACAGATTCTGGCCGCTAGACAAGCTACTGGCCTTGTCGCTCCCAGCTTTCCTCTCTGAGAGAAAGAACCGAAACAACGAAAGGGCCCCAGAAAAAGCTCTCAGTCATCTGGCTACAACTGTCGATCGTCCGGACTTCATTCACTACATGCCGAATGCCATGAGGAGCGGCAGTATGACAAACGAGGAAATCGAGAAGCAGTCGACAGTAATCATTCTCGCTGGTAGCGAAACCACCTCAATTGCACTGACCTACGCGACCTATTTTCTCGTCACCCAACAAGCCAGTCTGAGACAATTGCGTGCGGAGCTGCTTCAGCACTTCTAGAGCGAGTCTGAAATTACCATGCTCGCGGTAAATCAATTGAGCAGCCTGCAGGCAGTGCTACAGGAGACATTGCGCCTGCGGCCTCCAATCGCCAATGGCTTCCCACGACGAACTCCGGCTGAGGGAGCAGTAATCGATGGACGATTCGTGCCGGCAGGTGTAATTTACAACCCTCTTTCCGCCTGTTTCCGCCCGTCCTGAGTCTGTCCTCTGAATATTCCTGCTGACCGACTGACTATGGAATTTCACGTCGTAGACGACTGTCAACGTCCACCATTGATCGGCCTACCACTCTGCGACCCACTTCGCTCTTCCGAATTCCACCCAGAGCGCTGGATGGGCGAACCACGCTTCGCTGATGACTGCCGCGACTGCTTCCATTATAATTGCAACTCCTTAGATACTACCGTCAGTACTACCAGGCTAGGTACGTAGATCAACAAAAGACTCAGCCAATCAGCGGTCATCATTTTCAACACTTCCTGGTCCTCTGCTAAGTATTCAGTGATTTACCGCCCCATCCCTTCTCTCTTATTCTGCCGGCGGAATTCATTGCTGTTACTGGGTTAAGGCAAGGCGGAAAGCTTTCTCCGCAGATTCTGCCTGCCGCTTCCGCCCGGGAGACCCCTGGCAGCAAGAGCAAGGGCGATTCCAGGCCAATTATCCAGCCCAGAGATCAGATCTTCCATCTGAAACTATAGTTGCTGTGGATTTAAAAGTTAACCGATATTTGAGACCATCAACACCATAGACGAACTAACCCCGCATTATGCCATTGACGACCTAGAAGCAGTACTGCATGGCCTCGAGAATATGATTGCAACACTCATGGTATAACGTGCCCATAAGTCACCCCGTTTTTAGGGCCTTGCTTCAGCTTCCCTGGAATGTGAGACATTCCTAACCACTGGTGGTTCAGTCCCTGTCAATCATTTAAGATTCGGGTATGTGCACATCATCCTACCCTTGGGATCAACCGACCTCAATTTTCATCCACCATCCCATTGCAATATGACCTTTTTGTTAGTTTGAGGTCTCAACATCTCCACGGAGGCACATGATCATCCCCGACTGATATAAAGGGATGCAAATATCCAGCATCATCAACCATCTCTCAACAATCAACAGTCACACTCAATTGCTCTTCAGATAAAAACAACACCACACCACCCCCGAAATCACAAATCACTCCCATCAATAAACCTCAAAATGAAGCTCTCCATCTTCTCCGTCCTCACCCTCGGCCTCGCCGCGGGCATTCTAGCTGCACCGACACAGGTGGAGCGCGACCTGCCGACCATCACGGGCGTGCTCTCCGGCATCGGCACCAAGGTCGACGCGTTGGGCTCGGCCATCCAAGCCTACAGCGGCGGCGACGTGACCAAGGTGCAGCAGGCCTCGGACAACCTGGTCACGGCGATTAACAACGGCAACAATCAGGTTAGCAGCACGGGGGCACTCAGCTCCGGCGACGCGCTGGGGCTACCGGGCCCCGTCAACGATCTTAAGAACAAGATCGCCACCGTCATTACCAAGCTCGACGGCAAGAAGTCCCTGATCGTCCAGGCTGGCAAGGGCGCCCAGACCTACAATGACCTGACCCAGCAGAAGGCCGCCGCCAAGAAGCTGTCCGACACCATCGTCTCCAAGGTGCCCCAGGAGCTGCAGGGCCTGGCTGGCACCGTTGCCGGCGGCATCTCCGACGCCATTGAGACGGGCGTCAAGGACTTTGCCGATCAGGCTCCCAAGAGCAAGCGTGGAGCGGAGGCGGTTGCTATTGCGGTATGAGGGGTACGTGGGGGATTTGAATCGGTGGATTAGTCTGTGACTGTTTTCCGGCCTGGTGCCATGCGAAGGGATGTGTCTTTGGAGCGGTTGTGTGTAAGAGGATGTTGTGGAGAGTTGGATTGAGTTTAGTTGAATTGAACATTGCTTACACACGGTTCTTGATTGTAGCTTCAGGGTAGCCCACTCTTGATGTAGCATCGTAAAGTTCCTCTTGACTATACCTGCAGTAAATCATAGGGTACTCCACTGACTACTCATTCCGCACGGAACACGGCACTATGCAACGTCCTATCCAACCCTACCTGCGACCCCCGCGATTATTCAACAGAGGTCCGAGCAGCACAACGCATCAAGCTGAAGTCCCTGCATCTTCAACACTCTCCTCCTTCTTCACAGTCTCGGGTCACTGATCAATACTTTTATACTGGTTGTAGGTAAGTCTAAGTGACAGATACCCGAAGAATTTATTTCGGCTTTGAGGTCAGCCGGGGCGCTTGCAATGCCAAATCGGCGTTCGACGTTACATAGACGAGCAATTCCATTGAACGCATCAATTGCTTCATCTTGAGGACGTTGATAATAGTGGCCGTTACATAATCCGTTTACATAGAGCCCGAGGCGCCTGGCATAAAGGCAGGATCACCTCACCCAAGACCTTTTCAATGTTGTTATCGAGTTTCTTCTTTCCCGTCACAACCACCTGAAGGCTAACGGGTTGTTTTATGAAATTCATGTTCTTCTTGTGCGAACAACTCGAGTCAAAGCTTCCTCATGGGTTGGCTTAACCAATGCGTGCGACGTAGATAGTATGGCTTTATAGACCTAGTGGCTCGAGCAGGAACCGGCGTCCATTCTGTGCTAGATTTGCAGTGGAGTGGTTCGAGGCACGCACACAGCCTGTCTTTGAATGCATTTATGACAAAGGCTACGGACCAGCGCAATGCACGCAGGGTCACTTGTTCATTCGCGAATTTCATCTGGCCGACGGCCGAGTCTTCTCTCTCGGCTTTGAATCTTCATGATATCGGGGTTGGTGCTTCGCTTGTGGTTTATGTAGGAGTTTTCCAAGAGCCCGAACACATCTGACATACAAATCCATTGATCTGTGACTAATAGCAGGCCCTCTCACTCTCGATCCAAGGCTACTGGGGCCTTTTGTGATTCAGTGCTTCTCTAAGCTGCCGTCAACCTCAGCATCCCAGTTATCTAAGCAATGGAGTCAAGGTCACGGCGCCGGAACAAAAGGCTAACCAGCTCACTGACCTGTGTCTAGGAGTAGAATGAGGTCTAGACCTGAAGGCGTTGCGATGCTGTGCAATTACGATGAATAAACATTCCTGATCAGGTGACATTTACAGCGACTCATTTAGGGACATCGAAGGTGGACAGCACCTTCCCCAACCCAACTTCGGCAACTCTGGCCATCAACTCTCTTCGCCATGTTTCAAGTCTCCTTATCAGCTCTTGTCAATGTTCACATCTGTGTTCCCACGAACACCTCAGCACACATTCACTCCTTTATCCATTTACTATACCCAGTCAGCCCATAACAAATACCCCAACAGTAGCCCCTGACGGATGGAACGTCTACCGACTGAGCTACTGTACTATATAGGCCACTACAGCCGCGAAGAAAGCCACCCCTTGAGGAACTTGTGGGCTCTATCTTTATGCTCCTGACGCTTCCACTACGTGTTTGATACCCTTCTATACTCGGAGATTCGCATCGATCATGACGGTGATCGCATCCCTCTTCACGACGTCAATTTGATCATGCGGCTCTGGCACAACGCACAGTTGGCCCGCAAGGTGCACCACCTTCACATCTGCTGGCAGGAGTGTGGCATGAGTGGCTCGAGCGGAGATGAAAAAGAGCCGGAAACTGTGGCATTCATCGACGCCGCTCTGGATGAGATCTTTGGCTCCGACGCGCCCCTCGATCGCACCCGAGACGAATGGGAACATCATCTACTGGCTCGCTGCCAGAAGGCCTGGGCGGGGGTTCTTCTGGTTCGGCTATCCCATCTGCAACGCCTGGTCGTGAGTTACGAACAGTCCGACCTGATCGCAGATATCCTGCGCCAGGCGGCGCAGCGGCAGCAGCCCTTCCATCGCACCTCGCCGTTCCCGCATCTCGTTGAAATTAACGCATATGCTCAGGGACGCTTATATTGGATTGATTCGGATCTCCTTACCTCCTTCTTCTATTTCCCCGCGGTCCGGCGAGTCAATGCCTTCGCCGTAGCCGAGACCTCCGCTGCACCTGAATCGCTAGCCGTGCTTCATGAGTCGCGTCCCGTGCAAAGCATAGCGGTTGCGAATGTCGTTCACTTCCCCGGGATGCTCGACTGGCTCGCGGCGAGCTTGGATCTCGAACACATCGCCTTGAAGATCGCGGTCCATCCGGCCGATCACTACTGGAATTTACCTCCCACAAAGAGATTTCATGCCCCAACGTTCCGGCAAGCGCTTCTTCCTTTTGCCGAAACGCTTCGACTGCCCGCATCGCTGGAGTCTCTGAACCAAATCCAGCTGTACGTGATCTATATTGATGAGGACCGACTGGCTGTTTTGAGAACGGAGTGCGAGTCGGCCGGTATCGATCTGAAGGTGGAGGAGCAGCAAGAGGAAGCTTGGGAGCACAATTGAGTATCCTCGGGCAACGAAAGCCCTTTCGATTGATACTGAAGTCTCCATGCCTGTCGCGTGATGTTGGTGGAGCCTTTTGTTCTGTATTGAGATGATGGATGAGTTTTGGTAGTGCTTGCGTCGAGTCTTAGTCCTATGCTTTCAGTTCAGTGCTCGGTCTTTCAGATGCCAGTTGTCAGCAATCGAGACACAAGGAAGGTAAACTCGTTTTTCGTGGCTCGAAGAAAAGCAGGGATAATGCTTAGGTCTGCTAACAATACGGGACAGTTGGTGGACTAGCTAACTGTATATCTATGGACGTGTTGACATCCCGCAGGAGACATTAGTGAGAGAGTGGGATAGGTAGTTCAGATTCTGCTCTCACTCCACAAATAAATTAGAAACATGACGAAAGGACACAGGTATAGGTTGATATTTACCAGCAACTGGCCTTCACACCAAAAGAAGGCTACTCGAGAAGAGAGATGTGCAACATAGGCAGCGGAGCACTGAAATAGCCGGCGCGAGAGGCAAGAATACGTATGGTGCCTGGGGCAACCACCGTGCCGGGCCGACCAGGGATGGCAGTCACGTGGGCGCCACAGTGTGTTTCTTCCACCGAGACTCGAATCTCCATCTTTATCTTCATCGCCTGCAGCATCGCCATTACCTGGTCTTTCTCCAGTATATCACCGACAGTACACCCGCACCTTCCACCCATCGGTGCACTGGGAGACGACTCGATCCATCCCCACTAAACAGGATATCTCGCAAAGATGAGGTACAGTAGGTAGTACCTAACAATCTGGCTTCCACCCCTCATTCGTCAGCTCCGTTTTCATGTCATGTACTGTACAACGGCGGGGTAATCACTACCTAGTAGTGTGGGGCAAGCCGAATAACAGATAAGATACCAGAGACGCACGATAAGACTCGAAGTACGAGTAGCATGCCCTGCATGCCCCGGCGATGGACCGGTCGGCCAGAGTGTGAGGATAGTGTGACCAATGGTCCAACAACCACCAGGAAACTCCCGACAATCGAGAAATAAAACCCAGAGAAACCAACAAATTGGCAAAGGTCATCTTCTGTCACGTTTTCTCAGCTTACGAGACGCTAGCAAGTATAGATAAGTACGGGAACTACGATGGACCTCTAACCATAGCGATGACTGCCAAGCTGAATGGTGATCGAGGCCTCACACGCACCCAATTGACAGAGAGCTCACAGCTACGTGATTGTGGATCCTCTCCAATCTCGTACTTCACTCTGGTGCAATCGGCCATTCAGTATGAACTGTACTATTCTCACTTCAAGCCGCAGAAGCCTCCTGCGGAAACCGCAGCCGGTTAGCCTCATCGACCGCCCTGCGCACTCCCGCCACATTCTCCAACACGGTCGGCAGATCCGAATGCACACAAATACTGAATGGGGTCCCCTCGAATCCAAACCGAAACTCATTCCCCTCGATGTCCTTGCTGGTATCCATCAACGCGGCGGACCGCGCCCGCGCGTAGCAGAGCTCCGGCGTCGGGACGCGGGACTGCGCGACCGGCAGCAGCCGCCCGTCGGGCGAGTAGTCAATATCCACGTACATCTCCCCCTGGAACGGAATGCCCAGCTCCTGGCACATCGCCGCCTGCTGGGGGTTTTGGGAGCCATAGACGGGCACCTGGAAGGTCGCGCAAGCCTCCAGCACCGCCCGCATGATCGTCGCGTCGCGCTGCATGTAGAAGAACAGGTCCCCGTGCGGCTTGATGTGCGCGAGAGGCACGCCCTCGGCGTCCAGCATCGCCTTGAGCGCGCCTACCTGGTACAGCACCGAGGCGTACATGTCCCCGGGGTCGACCTCGATCCGGCGGCGCCCGAAGCCAAATAGGTCTTGCTGGCCTGGGTGCGCGCCGGCCTTGACGCCGTGCTGCTTGCACAGCCGGATGGTCTTGAGCATGATAGTCGGATCGCCCGCGTGGAAGCCGCAGGCGATGTTGGCGGCGTCGATGAACGGCATCAGCTCCTCGTCGGGCCCCTGGTGGCGACGGTTGGTTAATGGTGCATTTGACAGTTACGACAGTGACAGAGCTACTGACCATCTTCCAGCGACCGAAGCCTTCGCCCATGTCTGCATTGATTTCATACTTGCGTGCTAACCCGGACATGGTGGATAGTGGTGGTTGGGGCTGGGTTGATTTGCGAAGGACAGACCGGCGGCGGGGTTGGTGTTTAAGTAACGTGTAACTATAGTGTAACTTACTTTACGCTACTATACTTGATCGTCATTGTGCTTTTGCCCTAACTGTACTTCAGCAGCACCACTTGTGCGTATATTCCTAAACACGTGGATTGTACTAATGTAACTACACAACTAGTATAGTGGCTATCTCGACTGACGTAGCGTGATACTGCAATTCAAGCGTTTGTTCTTGTATGTATGGATCAGTACTGTACGGTCGGTCGGGGGTTTGCTGCGGGGTTCGGTGGTTCAGAAGCATTAACGTCCCTTTTTCTCCCACTATGACTGTTAACTTCAAAAGGCTTCTCGTTTGTTTTATTCCCAGGTGAAAGGTGGGAATCCTCTGCTAGTCAAATTCCTGCACGCACAAGAGCCAGCTCACAGAACGACGACTCTCTGTACCAGTTACCTACCGCCCAAGCTCCCCCAAAGCAACATAGCAGTGCTTTGGCTGGCGAAAGAGCCCGTCAACCGCCGCGTACGTCGCCAGGGTCTCGGGACACGGCCGGAGCTCGAAATGCCACACCAGCAGCGCGAGCGTCATGCGCAGCTGCAGCTGGGCCAACGGACGCCCAAAGCAGCCGCGCAGTCCGGCCCCGAAGGCCAGGGTGGGGCCCGCGTTCGGATCGAAGGTCGTTGGGCCGTCGTCACCGGCGGGAGCGACCAGCCATCGCTCCGGGACGAATCGGTCCAGATCATCGCCCACCCACTCGTTATCGGGAGATTGCCGCGTGTGGTTCTGTTTAGTGGCAGGGGTTGTCATCGCCGCCCGGGACAAAGCGCTACTACGCTTGTCGTCGGCTATCGGCCACGCCGGGGAGGTGAACCCCGGCCCGCTGCTGAGGGCCCAGACGCAGGTGCCCTTGGGGATGGCGTAGCCCAGGAGCTCGGTGTCCCGGATAGCAATGCGGTCGATCATGAACGCGGTCGGAGCAAACCGCAGCATCTCCTCGACGGTGGCGTGGAGGTAGGGGATGGTTCGGGTGGATAGTTCGAGGGCGCTGGGCGGGCGTCCTTCCTGGAGCGCTTCGGGGAACCCCGCGCGTAGGCATTCGCGGAGCTGGCTCTGCACCTCAGGGTGACCCGATAGGAGCTTGACGCCCCAGGCTAAGGTAAACACGGTGCTATGGGAGGCGCCGAAGATGGATCCGTAGAGCTGGTGGGAGGGTACAGTTAGCAATCAGGCTATGTTTCGAGTTGGTCGTAACCCACCTCATCTTCCATCGCTGGGGACAGGTAATCCGGCTTCCGGGCTTCCTGCTTTGCCAGCTCCCTCTCATGCCGAATCATGAATTCCACCGATGACTGCGGCTGATCGGGCAGATCCGCGGCCGAGCCGTCGTGTGCATTGACAGTTGTGGAGACTGCAGTCTCGAGCCATTCCCGCGTGACCCGGCTTTTGACCCGGAGGGCGTTGGCCAGTCGGGGTCGCATGGACATCATCCACCATGACAGTCGTGGGAACAGTGATGTCCCACTCTTCTCAATGGCTTCACTGAGCACCCCGTGCGCACGGATGAATTCGTGGGGACTTGACTCGGGGAATGTGATGACCTGCCGCCCACTGTTCACTGTCGGCCTGCCACCGGGGTTGCCGCTCCGGAGAAGCTCGATTTGCGATGAGATTCCGTCCTTCGGAAAGTCGCGTCCGAATGATATCTCCAACAGCGTATCAAGGACCATGCGCTGAAAATCCTGTTGGGGCGCAAAGCATGCCGAAGACTCCTGGGCCACCCGCGCCTTGATCCTCCACAGCCCGACCAGCCGCAGGATAGACACGTGAATCGCAGGCGCAGCGGTGTCCTGAAGGAAGGGCGTGGTCACCAGATGCTTCACCAGATTGCGGTGTCTTTTCCACTCGGAGCCAGTACTCATGGTGATATGGTGGGTCGGAGACAGACCGGAGAAGATGTCCTGCACCATGGGTGTACGGTCAAAGTCCCGACTGCGGTAGAGCAGTAGGTCGAGGGCCTCTCGTGGATCACTGAGGACCACAATGGGCTTGCCCAGCGGGTCCAGAAACAGCTGTATCAGAGGAGATTGCAGATGCCGCGTCTGCTGCAGAAGCCAGGACTGGATGTCCTGCGTACGCGTTATTACCTTCTGAAGCTCAGGAAGATCCCCAAGTAGCCTCCGGGCAGACGCTGCATTGTGCGGGATATCGCGGATTGGCCGAGGTAGCAGAAGGCGGATGTAGATCTGGTGTAGAGCCAGAAGCAACAGGCCTACAATTACACCGTTGATCACGACATCCGAGTTGAAGTCCATCTTGATGAGAGGTGGAAGACGTTGAAGTTAGAAATTGGTGAACTGCCTGCATGCTTTTATGACAAACCCGATAGCATCAGGTACTGCCGACCGGCCTCCTTGTGACAAGTTTACTGGGGGTGTCACAACCTTTGCAGACTCGATCGATCGGCAGTCATGCAGGAGAGGGGCCCGGGACATTTCTTTCGTTTGTTTTCTTGTTTTTCTTTCATGCACGCGTCTGCATGACAGATCACACGGCTTATAGCCCAAACCTCTCGCATTCTTACCCAATGCTTTCTAGTCTCTGACGCCGAAATTTGAGGCCGCAACATTTTCAATTGCAGACTTTCTCATTCATAAGACCAGCTACTCGGCCTGAAGTTGCTTATCACGCCCTAATAGTCTTGCGACGACAGAGCCATTTACGAGGTAGCTACTGAGACACATAAAAGTCAATTCCTCAATGCACCACCACCGACCACAGAAGTCTGGCCCCACATTGAGCATGTAGTGTACCCTTAAAAAGAGGAGGTTCCTTTCCTTGCAGCCTTCCTTCTCGCCTCGCCAGCGCGACACTGATTGTGCACCTGCAACGCCACTCGAATGAAATCGCGCGTCCAGATTGTGAATAATCCCTGTAACGCGATCGAAATACCAGACAACCCCAACTTCACATTCCGCGACAGGCACACGGCGCCTGGCGTGACCTGCGCCTGCGAAGCCAGACTCCCCCACCCGGAAGCCCCCGGATCAAGCATCATGCGTCCCGTCACTACGGCCTCACAGTCCCCGGATACCGGCAGCAGGCGGTGCAGCGTCCAGTGCAGATAGCCAAACGTCACGTGTCGGGTCAAAACCCAGATGACAATGAAGATGATAAGGGAATTCCGCAGGCTCTTCTGATACTTCAAACATCGTTGGATTTGCACAAACTGATCGGTGGGTCAGCACATTTCTCGATCTTGCGGTTTGCTCCGCTAAATACTCCGTGCTCAGCTGGAACGTACGGCGAGAAGGAAGTCTGCCAGATCTGCGGTGAGGAGAATGCCATAGAGCAGAATGTACGCCCGGCTGTTGCAACAGGCGACCACCACCGTGCAGGTCAGAACATGGTGGAGGAACTTGTCGATAAAGTCATCTTTTATCGGTTCGATGACCATGATCAGGCACTGGTGTAGATAGAAGGCGATGCGCAGGAGGAAGAAACATTGCATGGGGTGGGTGATTTGGGATTGTGGCCAGTCCTGGAATAGTTGCTGGGGATTGAGGAGGCCTGGAGTGTTGTACCAAAGGCCCTGAATAGGGTTAGAGTCAGTGGCGTACCGTGTAATCCTGGCTGTGAAACCGGGGTGAGAAACGCACCAGGGCATATAGCATCATGATACCGCGCGAGGTGGCCTTCCAGCCCAGGGCAGCGAGATGGGAGGAGTCCTGGGGTCCGAAGCCATATTTGCGTAGAGTCAGCTGTAGGAGGTGGTCTGTTACGAGCGGACGAGCGAGCGTGAATCCGAAGCAGAAGACCGCTAGAAAGCCCCAATCGTCTAATACATCTCGGGGATGTACAGTGCCCTTCTCGGACCCCCAGCACCGAACTGGCGCCTGAAGAGCTGCGACGAAAGCATGCTTATCGGCCAATACGTGCGCGACCAGGACCAGTAGCGAGAATTCTCATGCGATGATTGTTAACATTCATCGTTGTCATTCGAGTTGACCGGTAGGGATGGGATTGCGCGCTTACCGAGCTGATGTGACGCAATGAATTGTCGCACATTCACCTGATCGGAAACCGTCATAGTCACGAGATCTTACTACCCAGGCAAATTGACTGAAGTGTGTCTCTGGCACTTCGCTTCGTAGATTGCGGTGCTCACTGAGAACGGAATAAGCCCAAGTGGTCGCACGGTAGAAGATAACTGTCCGGTGATTCCAGCACGAAGTCGGAATTGTACCTGCAGCCTCCATGGCGAGGATGATCATCCTCGACTCTAAAAGAGGAGGTAGTCGACAAGTGCCTGCAGATTCACAATGGCTCCCCTGTCCTTGACAGCTCCATCTGCCTATACCCTTTACGTACTGAGACCATGCTAATGATTGTGGCCCGGAATGCCCCCACTTTTACCGCGTAAAGAAAGAGACGAGTCACACTCGCGGAAGGAAAATAGTATACATCTCACACAAGCGAAAAGAAAAGGCAACTAGAGCATCCGATCGACATGTTCGAGTTTGGTCGGCTTCCCCGTAAACCCATGCTTGACACATGTTCATTCTCGAAGCGGAACATGGTTTGTGCGCTATCGCCCTCATTTCGGTCTATCTACCCTTTCCAGTAACTGGACCTCACTGAGACGCAAGAACTCCTTCTGAGGAGTGAGCCAACCCGGATGGAAGACGGCGCAAATCCCCACCAGGAGCACCATCATCACAGCATCCAAGGCGATCAAATAATTCTCATGCAGGAGAAGATACCCACCCGGCCCTTGCCCGAGCTCGACGGTGCGATAGATACATCGGATGTAGATGCAGACGGTCGCTGCGGTTAGAACCCCGCGCCAGAGGCTGATGGATGCGCCCGATACAGATAGGCGAAATTGATGGACTCGATAGAAAACGTCACAGGCACAGAAAATGAAGATCGTGATGGAGAAGAGCTGAAATACTACCCCGGCGAGCATGATGTTGGATCCGTGGTCAAGGTTGCCGTTGGCCTTTTTGGAGTCCGCGGAAGCGATGCCACCCCCAACAGCTTGGATGACAATGGAAATAAGATCGCAGGCACTGAAGATCCAGAGATAGCTGCGCGGACTAAGGAAGGAGGATCTCCGACCCATGATCTGCACAAAACACCCGAGCAGGATGTAGATACCGGCGGTGAAGAAGGTGGGCGCTGGAGGATGAATCAGTAATAAGTTTTCTGCACTAGGCTTTCTTGAACGAGTAGAGGCGTCACTCACCAATGATCAGAGTGGAGAACTGGACCAAGAATGCATTCAGGTTGTACGGGCATCGCGTGGTCCAGATCCTGGCGGCCCATCCCAAGACTTCAGCTATTACGACGATAAATAGTTAGGGCCAGCCAGGCAACCGGGGCAGGACCTGTTCCTGTGCGTCTTGGTGCAGTACATACTCAAACAACCGACCACAAAAGTTATGGTCCACCAGAACCGTCGGTATGTCACTATCTGAATGACGTGCACTCCTGCCAGAAGACCAAACAAGGTACAGAAAACCACGCCCGGGGCGAAGGCTGGTAGGTAGCCGTACGGGGTGCCATATCCATCAATAAGAGCATGGCAGCCAGTCGTCAGATCAGTAACAGAGTCCGCCATTGCTGAATAGGTTAGTCAAGGCAGGTCAACAAGTGACGATGAAACCAACGCTACAGGTTCTCTCATGTATGTGTCCTCACAGCGGTGATTTAAAGAGCCAGCACGACGTAAGGGGCTCGAACCCTATTCCCAATTGAGTATGATCGACCTCGTTTCCATCTCAGATCTACGCCCATCCTCAATACAACCTGCATGTGCATGCAAGTGCCCCTTGGTGACTCCCGAGTGTCTTTCTTTACAGATCGGAGCCTCGGAGGATCTCGGCACGATTGAGGCTTGCAAGACAGTTCAATCTGTCACAAAGGCATAGGTACCATCATCCTGCAGGTATGTGATGTATTTATCCAGAGTGGATCTCGAGAAAGCTCCTAGCCTACTATCATTTGACTGTTCTCACCACTTGCATGACAATTCATCATGGAGCAGCAGCCTACAGCCTGCTTCCTAGCATGCAATGCTTGTTCGGACATCTCAACAGCATTATAAGGACCCGATTCTGGCGGAACACCGACCAGGGAAAACAATCAATGATACGACCACCTGCGCAAGATTGTTATAGATTTTTGCTTCCATGGAGCAAGACCCTACCCAATTTGGTCCGATCAGTCATGCCAGTCATCGGTACTGCCCTCGCCCCTCGAACGAGCCCCTAACCGGTCTCATTGTCGACCTGGCCCCGTGCTTCTACGTCGTCACGACCTATTTAAGCTATACAATCATTCATCTTATCGGTTTGATCCGGGACTTCTTCGGAATCTACTTCAAGGACGAGAAATACCGCCATCTCCGCCCATGGAACGGATACGCACCCTGGTTCACTGCTCGGGAGAGCGTCTATACGCGGCGTATGAAGGTGCGACTAGCGGACTGTCTGGACCGTCCCACCACGGGTGTCCCCGGACGGTATATCACGCTGCTTGATCGAGTGACCCACGACAACAATAAATCCTTCGAGCTCACCGGCGCCAGCACTCAGACCTTGAACCTGGGATCCTACAACTACCTTGGCTTTGCTCAGTCCAGGGGACCCTGCGCGGATCGGGTCGAAGAGACGATTCGCGCGTACGGCATCAGCGCAGGGGGTGCCCGGGCTGACGTGGGAGGCCTGGATCTCCACGTCGAGGTCGAGCAGCTGGTAGCGGAGTTCGTTCGCAAGGAATCCGCCATGGTCTTTTCCGCTGGATTTGGCACCAACGCAACCATCTTCCCCGCATTGGTCGGGCCGGGCTGCCTGATCCTCTCGGATGAGCTCAACCATGCCTCCCTACGGTTCGGGGCTCGCCTATCGGGCGCATCGATTGTGGCGTTCCGGCATAACGACATGCAGGCCCTGGAGGGAAGGTTGCGGGAGGCGATCTCACAGGGACAGCCGGCCACCGCGACCGCCACCAGTAGTGGCTATCAACCCTGGAAGAAGATTCTGGTCGTGGTCGAGGGGCTGTATTCAATGGAGGGCACATTCTGCAATCTTCCAGCCATCATTGCGTTGAAGTGCCGGTATAAGTTCCACCTCTTTGTAGATGAGGCACATTCAATCGGCGCACTGGGTCCGGAGGGTCGGGGCATCTGCGACTATTTTGGCATTGATCCGCGGGAGGTTGACATCCTAATGGGAACTCTCACGAAATCCTTTGGCGCCATCGGAGGATATATCGCAGCAGATGGAGAGATCGTGCGCAAGCTTCGCGCCGTGAATGCGGGCGTGCTGTACAGTGAAGCTATAGCCCCGGCTCTGTTGGCGCAGATCTCCGCTTCGTTTCGCATCCTGACTGGTGAGTCACTGCCGGGCCAGAAGGAAGAACGACTGCAGCGGCTGGCCTTCAATTCGCGTTACCTGCGCCTTGGCCTCAAGCGGCTTGGGTTCATTGTCTATGGGAATGACGATTCCCCTGTCATCCCGTTGATTTTGTATAATCCGGGTAAGATGACCGCATTCTCACGAATGATGCTTGCCCGTGGGATTTCGGTGGTGGTGGTCCCATTCCCCGCCGTTCCACTCGAGCTGTGTCGAGTGCGTTTCTGTGTCTCTGCAGCGCATAACCTGGAGGACCTCAACCGCGTTCTGGCGGCGTGTGATGAGATTGGGGACATTCTAAGGTTGAAGTTCGCCAGTGGCGTTGCGGGTGGTTTGGGTTGTAGAACCAAGCAGTCGGCGTATGGAAACTCAATCCCACCGAGGTGGAAACTAGAGGACGTAGTTCGCTGCGGGGTACAGGACGTACAGCATCCCTTGTATTGAGGAAAGGGCTTTGAAGAGAGCAGCAGCTGTATGTGCAGACAATGTGACCAGATCGTCGGATGGTGGATCGTTGAGGATCGACGGATCACCTACTCGATCCGTTCAATGCTCGTATTTGTGCAAGACAGGTCATATTATGAGGGATGCAGCAGAATTGGACCCATCAAAAAACTAATTTTGTCCGCCATGTACTGTAGAGTACTCAGTACTACATCTAGTATTGTACCTAGTAGCCCGATGTTCTAGAATTTGCAACATTGGTTGGGAATATCAAGGTCTCCGAATAGCTCCGCCGCCTCTACTCAGCACACTCGGTTTATATCTTTAGCATTGCGACCCTCGACGCCAATGGCACACATATTACGACGCAGTTAGATCGACATACACAGCGCATCCGACGTTGGATCCTACCCGTCAGCATCACCATCTCTGTCTATTGTCTGTTATTCCATCAGTCTGTTTGACGTCATGGGTTGGCATTACCGTGGAGCCCTTCTCATTCTCGCCAATGGACTGATACTTGCGTCTACTATTGTCTTCACCATGGGCTTTTTCCGTCCCATAGCCCCCTCAGCAGTGAGAAGAGCACCGGTAGATAGGAGCGTTCCTTCACGAAGTGCCCCCTTTGAGAGAGTGGTGTTTATGATGATCGATGCGCTCCGCAGGTGGGTTTCGAACCAGATGCCGGCGGCGACGTTTTTCAAAATCAATACCAGATACTAAGCCAAAGGTTACAGCGACTTTGTTTACAGCCCACAGTCAGAATTTGCATTCACGCAGGAGTAGGCATAGATCGGTCCCCCACTCCGTAAACCAACAATTGAATTCTCCGAGCTGACATGATATCCAAGACTGATCCGCTCCGGTGCAGCCATACCTTTCACTATGAAAACCGACTCTCCAAGCCTGACTAGGGCATGTATAAAGGCCATGACCGTTGGCTCAGCCTCCATGTTCTTGGACGTCTTTCACAACGCTGATGACGGACCCGGCATACCCGAAACCATGGATACGTGGTTAGCGCGATTGAAAGCTGCTGGAAGGGGACAACTAGTCTTTTATGGTGACGACACGTGGGTACAGCTATTTCCCGAGGTCTTCGATCGAGGATGTCCTATCTCACCGTTGTTTGTGCCGGTGAGTTTCGAAGTCCCAGGAGCCCACCTCTTCTTCCGCGAACAGAAGAGGAAAAGGACCCATCGGTTGACCGGTGCAACGCTGAAGCCTGCATAGGATATTCACTCGTCAGACCTGAATGTGTCCACTAATGTCATGAGAGAGCTTCAACGCGATGATTGGAGCGCACTGGTCCTTCACTTTCCCGGCATTGACCACGTTGGCCACATGGGCGGCGCGGACAGTGAATTCATGGCATCAAAGCAACGTCAAATGGATGTTATCATCAGAGAGATTTATGAAGCTCTCGAAACCGAGGCACATCTAGACTCCACAATCTTCGTGGCTGGGGGCGACCATGGCATGGATCGGTGGGGGGGTCATGGCGGTGCATCGGATCCTGAAGTATCGGCTGCGATGATATTCATCTCCCCGCAATTCAAGTTACTCAATCGGACATATGAATCACCTGCGGTGCCGACGGGTGGTGCCTTTGACTACTACACTGTCATCCGCCAGGTCGATGTTGTACCTACCATGGCAGGGCTGCTGGGTGTTTCCATACCTTCCGCTAGCATTGGAGTCTTTGTTCATGAACTTCTTGACCTATGGAGCAATATCAAAGATCAAGCCAATCTTGTTCTTGAGAATCTCGATCATCTCCAAGCGTTATGCTGCAGGCCTGATACCGGGATGGATGTTTGCCAGACCGACTTTGACAAGCATCATGTACCACAGGAGCCGCTCAATGAAAAGAGCCTAGCAGAGCTTTCCCTGGTAACAAATCCTTTCCGTTGGCAGGCGCATGACATTCATGACTGATATGACTACGAGATTGTGTAGATGAGCAAACACTTTCAGAATGCATTGGACAATGCGACAGGCGGAAATATCCAAGTCTCTGTTCTCCATTACGGGATTGCAATCGCCATGATCGCACTCCTACTTGCCTGGGCTACTTGTGAGTCAATCTCGCCGGTGGAATGGGACTTCTTGGTGTTGAATTGCTTTCAAGTTGGCCACGGCGTTGCTTTACTGGTTCCATATCTGGTGGAGACCGAGCATCATTTTTGGTTTTGGAGCTCTACCGTATGGATGGGCTGGGTAGTCTTCACTACCGGCTGCCATTCCTACGCCGTAGGCCTCCGTAGTTTTACCCCCTTTGTCTTGCATTTACTGTCGCAGCAGTGGAATATCCATGACTGGAGCTCATCCGAAAAGGTATACAGCATTCAAGGTCTCTTCGATGGACGTCCCCTTTGTCTCTGGCTTCTGATTGCAGTGACCTTCCTCCACACCTCCTACACATTCGCAGCGCAGCGCAGGCAGAACGTCACTCGTGATGCTGAAGACAACCCACTTCTTGGACTCGCTCACCGAGCAGTACTGCTAGTCATCTTTGTATCTAAGTTCGCATCCGCGGCGCGAATCCGCCCGGGTCTCATTGATCGCGCTCCCGAACGGCTGCAGGGCATTATTCTGGAGCAACTTCCCCTTACGCAGATCGCACAATTTGTTTTTGTGAGTCTGGCTATAGGGCTTGGCTACGTTGTCCTGCGCTCTCGCATCCGGGACGCCTCGCCGAAGAGCGAAAAGGGTGAGTCAGCAAGGGCACTTTGTCCTATCGGGGATTGTTTGGATTGCCGCTAACATAGGCGATTCCCAGCGACCAAACTTCTCCCTGTGCTGGAAGTCCTGAACCTATACTTGACCATGCAGACCATCCCAGCCAGTATCCCGCTACTTCTCGTTTACCGACTTCAGCTCGAGTGGCTTGGTGCGTATTGGTCTTGTCCTGGGCCGATTGTTATATCCTTGAAAACAGATGTCTCTGACTCCGCTTCATTATACAGTGTCCTCCGCGGCGCACCTCGGGGCCTTTCAAGTTTGCTTCTCCGTCGTCCTATTCACCCACAGCGCATTCTTCGCCTTTGGCAATGCGAACACGATCGCCGCGCTGCGATACACCGAGGGATTTAACGGACTTCAAGCCCACCACTGGCTGCTCAGCCCTGTGCATACGTTCTGCAGCAATTACGCTGGTCCAATCTGGTGGAGTGGGAATGGATTACGACTGTTGATTGCGACCGGCCAAAGAGAACGCAGCATTTATACTGGCCTCTTCGAGCACTTGGGACTCCGGACCGTCTTCGTGGCGTATGGCCTTCTCGGCGCCATGGGAGCATGCTACCTCCTGAGGGAGGAGGCCATCGTTTGGACCGTCATGGCGCCTAAGTTTCTGTATACAGTTCTGTGGACGGTGCCCTTTCACCTGTTGTTTAATATGAGCATGCCGGCTGTGCTATGGATGGTTGCCCAATCGTGAGAAAAAGAATGCACGGTGGAACAGGTTGGCCTTTAACGGTCGGTGCCACTAATGTATGCGAATAACATCGTGGCAGGAGGTCTTTGCTTGAGTGCGCCTTTATCGTGAAATAGTACGTATATCAAGTACCTCACACTTGACGAGACATCCTTTTCCATTATCTTCTACGTCACAGGGGCCGTGTGTTTAATGATCCATTTTGTGGGTGATCCTGTCGAGATGGGTGCGTGGTTCTCTTTATGGTTCCTTGGAATAAGAATAAGCATCCTAGAAAACGTCATTATGTCCCTTACTTTACCTAGTGACGCTTGACTTCACACTGATAGCGCGGCCCTCATAGATGGATAAGGCAACCATGATATTGGAACACGGCCTTCTTTGTACAATGCTTCTGGAGGACTTGGCAAGCTGGAGGCGGTGGTTGGAGGTGTTCGAAATAGGCCCGATTCCGCCTCCAACATTGCAGCACCTCCAAACCACTTCCACACCACTTCCGAACGCCAAGACTAATCCAATGCTTCGCTAGGGGGATGATGACGCAGATATCCCTGACTGCGGGTGGAGAGATCGATTTATCAGTCAGGTCGATGACACGAGGGCCATTGAGGTGCACTGTACAAGCCGCGTGGCAGGGCTTCTTTCTACAGGAGGGGGATCATGCTTGCAAAAGCCGAATCGCCTTACATATATACTGATGGTTATGATGATTCAGATCTGCAAATCATCTCGGCCATAGTACCGTGGAGTACTGTGTACCAGTAGGTATTCGGGAGGAGCCTCCAGCGGAGATCTCCGTTCTGATAGGTTTCAATATTTGAAATCAACTATCGGAAATGAAGTATTGGCTTTAGCCGCTTCCCCTGTCAGCTGAGGTGACATTTGGATTCATATATACTTGATAAACCCGTGGGGGGCTAGTATTTCTGTTGCTCTGCCAACAGCGGTTTTGCAACTACGCAAATTAGAGCTTTTATGTTGCCACGCCCGAAACCCGTAGAGTGTTATTCTGTGGGAGCTTATATTCTCACCTGTCAACTTAGAAGGTGAACTACCGATTTTAGTTCTGTGTATTATAACAGGTCAGACTGTGGCCTTCAAGCTGGATGCCTGCTGACTCTTGACCGTGTATTCTACCGAGGTCCGCCCCCTCCCCCCCCGGTAAGTCCAGGATTCACTCATTTTATCCAACCGTCTAGGACGGTATTGGCGAGCCCGAAAGAACTCAAATCCACACAGGATGTTGTGCAGCCGTCCTTGCCGTTACTCCTATTGTTGAAAATATGACGTTCACATTCACTGTCACCTTTCCCCTCTATCAACCCACCCAGAATCGACTGGAGCGAAAGACACAGAGGACGTTTGTCGCCTGTCTCGAGCTGTCTAAAATTGACAAGGAAATAACTCTTTCGCGATGGATGAATGCTCTTTCATCAAGCTCTGTGAACTGTTGGGTGGCTGTTTTGTTGGAGGGAAATACGAATCCTACCTAAATTGATGTTGGCATTCAATAGGCGGCAGTGAACACCGTCCGAGCTGGCCGACATCATCCGCGTGATGGTGATCTCCTGCACACTGCTTCTCAGTAAGTAACTTGACTATACTACCTAGCCTAGATGGAGGGTCTGGTTCCAGCTGAAAGCCTCTATTTACAATTGAGGATACCAAAGACTCTCCCGGGCGTCCTCGCGGCAAGCCGATTGCCCATAGCAACTTTCGTGACAAGCAGGCCATCGATTCCGCCAACTATGCGTACCTCTCAGCCAGAACAGGGAATTCGAGCTGCAGGGCCAATTTGCATCGTGTCCAGGAGCTGGATCTCCCCTGGTATGTTACCCTGGCCGTGTCCGTCCGGATTACAATAGATCGGGATGGTGCTGGGCAAGACGGGGGAAGGCTACTTTCGCCTGGCCGTCATGCTCGTACAGGCAGATAGTAATCAGACACCCTAATGTAACCTTTCTGTGCCCGGAGTGCAGAATATGTATCTAAAGAAGTAACCTCCCCCCCCCGGGTGGCTGCCATAATGGCGAACCTCCTCGGTAGGATCATCCAGTATGCGACGACATCCTCACCCTAAAGGCCGCCACATACATATGTAACAGATCCCTTGACGATATCATCGAGGGCAACTTGTTCTTGCCGGATATTCATCGTATCCATTGCGACCCGACTATCCTGGAGCTGCTGAACATCATCAAGCACAGGGGTGAGGAAACTATGCTGAAGGCCCATGCGGTCGACTATCCCACCTCAACTGCAGGTTTCACGTACGTTCACTAGAGGCTGAGCGCCCCTAATCTTCGATGCCGAGGCGCTAGTGAGTCCGTCGACGGGGCAGGCCGAGCTTTGGTATTCGTTTTGACGACGATGCAATACACAGTGGGTGTTCAGGTTCAGACACCAACCAGGGGGCTAGGGCTGTCATCGGCTCGCTAGCGAGTATAGTCCGACCTGCTACATCGACCCTAATCTAAGTCTTGGTAAATGAAGTAGTCTCGACCTCTCCCTCGCCCCTCGAGCTGTCCTTCATTGTAAAACACATTCAACCCCTCCATCGCTTGAGCAGAAGAACCGCGGTGCCAGCAACACCCAGGATCGCGACCCACCGAACCATCGCGCGTCGGATGTACTCCCGCCCGGTGCGCGCAATCGCATCCGCATCGTTGATCCGCGGGAAGGGAATGCCGGCGGGGACCTCCTTGCCCAGCGCGCGACACAGCGGTTCCCACCCGTCACGCACGTCGACAAACACCACCCGGTCGGCGGGGACGTTCGCCTCCAGCCAGGCGATATGCCGCTTGTAGACGCCGCGGTGGATCAGTATGTCGCGCACTTGCTGAGCGGAGGTCAGGCTGCAGTTGTCCGCATAGAGTCGGCACCACTGCCGGCGCAGGAGCCAGGTGAAGTCCACGAAGTGCCGCATGCCGGGCAAGGGAAGGAGGAGCAGCTTGAGAAATCCCAGGCGGGTGAAGTTGTGCACCTGCGCGATGCTCTTCTCCCAGGCCACGGGGTCGCGCACCGTGCAGATGACCTTGGCGTCCGGGTAGAGCGCCAACAGCTCGGGCAGGAGCTGACAGCCTGGGGCGTCGGTGATGGCCGCGTAGCCATCGAGTTGATGCCCCAGGAGGCGTTGGCATTCCCGCCGCTGCGGCGACTTCTCCCCGCCGGCCAGCCAGCACCGGAGGATGCGGATCCAGGCCTTCAGCTCGCCGGGGCCGCCGCGCGTGAGTTGCGTGCCGCCGTGGTAGACAGGGCCGTCGAGGAGGATGGTTAAGGCCGCGCTGAAGGAGGCAGTCCCCGTGCGAGGCAGGCCTGCTCCGATGACTTGGAGTTGTGTCCCTGGTTGGGGAGCTGAGGCAGTTTGACCCATTGTGTTCGGGTTGGACCTGAAGGAAGGGTGAGGGTACAAGTTGGGGTAAAACTATGCGGGTGCTGTGACTGATGTCTCCACTTATAGAATCCTCAACCCCGACGACTTCTGACGCAAGGGGGAATGGCGGGCTAGCCGGGGTCGCAGGTGATATGCCAGCCAGGTTTTTAATGGTCTTTTCAGATGACAGAGGCCAGGATGTGACTCGTCTGTAACTCCAGTGTGACACATGCCGGGGTTGCAATGTCTACCTGTACCTCACCATAATTACATACAAGTCCAGTCGGTGTAGCCTGCGCACTTTGGAACTCCACTGCATGCAAACGAGTCTCTGTCCCTGCTTTTCTTTCGCTACCGGTCATTCAATCGCGGGGTCAAGCACGATAGATACAAAGTATGTATTGTTGGCGTTACGCAGGTACAGTACTCTTGATCTACAACTTACGACCCAAGGGCAGTGCCTCGCAGGCTTCTTCCGAACCCCTCGGCGGTTTCAATGCCCTATGGAGCCGAATAAATCCACAGCAAAAGGTATAATACCACCTAGTATTCAAAAATCCCAGTCACTTTCACGCGCACTCGCCACGGCCCATACCTGCCCCGCGGAAGCAGTTTGTCTCGCACGAATCGGACATCCTCCTTCGTTGTCTGGTAGAGTTCCAGATCGAATCGACGAATCACTGTAGCCAAGACATTGTACAATTCCGCGTAGGCTAGGCTGTTGTGCCACGAGAGGTAAGATGTTAGCCGCGAATGACACCGTCCAAGACATAGTAGAATGAGAAAATCGTACTTCATTCCTAGGCAGGCCCGATTGCCACGGCCAAATGTCACCAGATAGCGCAACAGACCTTCCGGTCGCTCCGCGGCGAGGATCCAACGCTCCGGGTAGAATTTGTCCGGATCTGGGAATAGGGTGGGATCTTTGTGCACGAAGTATGCGATCGTGCTGACAGGTGTCTATTTGATCAACGTGAGTCCCTAGTCGATACGGAGCCAGGGAGATGGAGCAATAACTTACACCCGGTGGGATGACGCAGTCCTTATACCTCATGGCCTCCTTCGGCGAGATCCTCTGCTGTCGCATCACGATTCCGGAAAAGCGTAAAGCCTCGTGAATTACTGCTGTCTGTGCCACATAAACACCCCAATCAGAGAAGGGCCTTTCCGCGAATGACCAGAAAGAAAAGAGCAAAGACCGCATCATCAGAGAGATAGTACATTTACATACCAAGTATGGCAATTTCTCAAGTTGGCGCCATGTCACCGGGTGGTGCGGAGTGGGCATGATCTGTTTTAGTTCCGTGCGGAGTTTGCTCAATACCGCTGGATCATTCAGAATATGGAAGATGGCCACCGACAGCGTGGTCGCCGTCGTCTCGGTGCCAGCGGCAAACAGTACCAATCCTTCATCCTCGAGGCGTTTGAGCGTCCGTTCTTCGGGGGGAACGTCCGGATCCGTAAGAGCATGAAACATGGTGGTCGTTTTGGAGCCACCGCCGGCACCCGGGGATGCGCTTCTCGAGTCTAGCGCGGCCAAAGACTGCGCTCGCACGCCCTCCAACAGATCATAGACGCGGGCTCGAGCGGGGAAGACCCGCGCCATGAACCACTTGGGAATCTGGCGCAGGAGAGCGCCCATCACGGGGAAGAATCGGTGCAGGTGGATCTGGTCTGTCCCCTCCTGGACCACCTTGACGATGCCCTTGCCTATGTTATTCTCCTCCTGGAGCTCGTAGCTGTTTCCGTACGCATACTGCGTGATGAGGTCGCCGGTCAGCCCCTGCAGTCGGTCAATGAGGTCCAAGACTTTGTCCTCGCTGTAGGCAGTGCGGAGGGCATTCAGGAACTTCTGCAGCGATTGCTGGATGGTCGGCTCAATCCCCTCGATCGAGCGTCGCGAAAAGAATGAGGTGAGGATCCGTCGGCGCATGCGATGCGTGTGGTGGCCGACGGTGGAGACCATCGCACCGGGGGCACTGAAGATGTGGACGGACTTTGGGTCCTTGTCCCGCATCCCGGTGGCCGGGGCATAGATCTCGTCGTAGAAATAGGGATCCTTGATGTGCACCTCCCGAGGATTGATCCGCACGATGGGTCCTATCATGACGAGATGTCGTGTTAGGCAGAGAGGATTCGTGCACGGTGGGCGGAAATCCGATTTATCCCACCGAATGGAGATTCACGTTACCGTATCTTTGGTGCATCCTTTCGATTTCCCAGACGAACATGCCATTGCGGATGACATCGTAGTAGAACTCATACAGATGGGAAGTCGCGGCCAGCTTTGGGCCAGGAACATGATGTAGCGGATCGAAGTACAGGCGATAGATACTGCGCAGAACGAAGCCAACGAGTATCAGGATCAGGGCACTCAGCACCACGTGCTCTTGGATAAGCGGTAAGGTACCAATCATTGACACTGGTTGCATTCTACGTTGCTTGGTGAGCCAGAAAGGAGAGAAGACCGATCATTCTAAGAATCACTTGCCATGCAAGACACCAGGTATTATATTTGGCCTATCCTTCAAAGACATTTCGACCCGTGGCGGGTGGTACGGGGGCATTGCGCATCCCACCGCTTCCAGCCGTCAAGGGTACGGTGTCGACCGGAGAGAATATTAATAGGATAAGGTGTGTCACATTCAACCAGGCGGTGCCAAGACCTGCCAGGTCTAAGTAAGGGGAGCAAAATTTGTGGTGTCAGATTCTGCATGAGTGTCAATCACTTAGGGCTCGGTGTGACATGAGACCCCCTGGAAAGTCTCCGCATTGCCAAACCCGGAAGATTGACATCCACCACAATCCTGCCAAGGGTTCAAATCTGGGCCGCTGTCTCTGACACATTCATTCTGATCACGCGTATGATAGAGTGTCGATCGACTGCTTCAAAATACCCATAAGCCATCAGGAGTCTGTCCTATGGCATTAACTTCATACCCTCCATCGCCACGAATTTCACAATCCGCAGTGAACTCCAGCAAAATGTTCAAGATCCAACAAGAATGTTTGATTGGGGTTTGATATCACACTATTGCTTACTCTACGTTGTCAAGTCATTTGGATCAAATCTTTGAAGCAACTTTCCACGTCCTTCGGTCTCCAAACACTATTTCAAACCTTCCGTGAGTTGTAAACGTCATGGCGAGCGAGGGTGGATTCAGCATCCATCTGCAGATCGATCAAGAACCTTGCCTGCTCTATTGGAGCCGTGTCCAGGCTAGCCCAGTACCTAAACATGAAATGCATTTGAGGCTAGCTGAGGAATCGTATTTACAGATGGGATGCTTTTCAGAATGAAAAATTATTTGCCGATTAAACTTTCATTAGTGCCTTGAACCTCGGTGACTACGTGTTGCGCTGGTGATTTGGCGCTGCGTCAAAACGAGCTAACCTATAGCTAGGGTATTCCATTAGTCTTGTCAAACTGATCTCTATAGCCTAAGCATCTCCTCACTCTTCAGTCCCCGTAAGCGTACAATTCATTTAAGGTGTGGCTAGGCCTCTGCATCGCTTTTCCCAAGGTTTAGCGGGCCATCTATATTACCACTCCCAGTTTCCCAAAAACTCTTCGAGGCACTTATTCGGCACGATGCGTGACAATCCGGTGGCCATGCTGATTGAGGCAAAGAACCAATGCTTGTTCGAGAGTTTTGCAAACTCGCATCATCCCACCTATGGGCTCGGTACAATGACCGGCAACATCTACGATACCGCATGGATCTCGCTGGTGAAAAAGCCGATCGAGGGAGGCACGCCAATCTGGGCATTTCCCGCCGCGTTCTCAACTCTTCTGCGGCTCCAAAGGCCTGATGGTGGTTGGGGGAATTCCGACTCCGGATTAGATACCATAGCCAACACCATGGCGGCTCTTCTTACCTTGCAAAGGCACACCGCAGATTCAGGGGAGGTCGACGCGCAGAAACTCAACTCTCGAATCTTCCAAGCAAAACAGTTTCTCGATACGGCGTTAAAGGGTCTCGATGACTTATTAGTCACATGTATTCTACCCGTGAGCCTGGAACTGCGGCTCCCGGCCATGCTGGACCTGCTGGAGGCAGAGGGACACACATTTGACTTCGACCGGACCAACCTGACCAAGCTGCAGGCGAAGAAACTGTCCAGGATCGATCTGAGCCTCATCTTCAGTGGCCCACAGTCCTCGCTTTTGCACTCGTTGGAGGCTCTGGTCGGAAGGGTTGACTTCGGCGGGCTAGCAAAGCACAGGGTGCTCGGCGGCATGCTGGGCTCGCCATCTGCGACAGCGGCATATCTGATGTATAGCCCTGTGTGGGATGACGAGGCCGAGGATTATATCCGGAGCGCGATCTCGAACGGCGCTGGTTTGGGATCGGGGCTAGTGGCAGCTGGATATCCGACCACAGTATTTGAGTGGGCGTGGGTATGTCGTTCTCCCCTACTATCATGAGTATTGCTTGGAACGAAATACTGATTCAGCCAAGGTGACCACGAATCTGCTTCGCAACGGAATTGAACCGAAGTTCGATCTACAACAGACCGGCGAGCTGATTGAGGCAGAAATCAAGCAGCATGGACTCGTAGGCTTCGGTGGAGTATCCTGCCCCATATTCAAGGGTAGACTATCGCCACTGTGCCCTTTGCTAATATTTCTGCTTGTAAATAGTCCCCAAGGCATGCCCTGATGCTGATGACACTGCGAAGGCCTTGGTAGCTCTCATGCTCCAAGGCAAACGCTACTCGCCACAAGTGATGATTGATCGCTTCGAGCGTGAAGATCATTTCGCAACATACTTATATGAGACACATAAGAGCATCAGCACCAATGCCAACATCCTCAGCGCTCTGGTGCTGCTCTCCACCGACGACCGCTTTCAGGCCCAGATTGAGAAGTGTGTTCGCTACCTATGCGAAGAATGGTTCAAGTGCGATCGAATGCCTAGGGATAAATGGGTACGTCAAGCGACTGGTTGAGATACGAAGCCTGGGTTATGGTTAACTGGAACTGCTTATAGAACATCTCGTCATACTACCCCACGATGCTGATTTGCGAAGCCCTGATGTCCTACCTTCACCGCTGGAGTGCTGGCAACCTAGCTGCATTGCCTGATGATTTGATGAGATTCCAAATCCCAATCACGCTGTTCCAGGCTCTCATCCGAACGCTCCGCACTCAGAATCAGGACGGTTCCTGGGGAAGCACAGGCTCTGCTGAAGAGACGGCATATGCTCTCCTTATACTGAAAAGTGCGACACCTTTTAGTTATACTGAGAAGATCGCCAGCGAGCTTAACGATGCCGTCAGACGAGGCATCGAGTTTATCCTTTCCAGAGACGTCCGCTCCTCGACCGACGACCAGCTGTGGTTGGACAAGACTTTGTATGCCATTCCAACGGTGTCAGACTCGTACGTCATGGCGGCCGTGACGGCCGGGGAGACAGAGACCGCTGGTGACAAAGTGGCCGTAATGCCATCCATGCTCATTGATATGCCAGCTGCCACGGTTCGCAAAATGGCCGAATTCTTCGCGCGATTGCCGTCGCAGAGGAAAACGCCAAAGTGGGTGGTCGAAGCTTCGGTTATCGAGGCTCTCCTATTCAGCCACAAGCTGAAGCACCTAGATGTCTTCTCCACTGGGAAAGCTCTTGGAGAGAAATACATCAAATTCGCTGCCTGCTTTTGGACCCTGGCCAATAACTCCCGCCCTGAGTATCTCTTGAGTACCCGCATTGTCTATAGCATGGTCGAACTCTCCGTTGGGATCTTCCAGGAAGACGATCTGATGGAAAAGGATCTGATGGCTCTACCTGACTCAGCCTCTGGAGCCATAGCCGACTATATTGAGCAGTTGTGTCACAGCATAACTGGTCTTTGTCGAGATCACCCTTCTCAGGGGAGGCCCACCTCTGAACGGAATGGAGAGTCCAGAGGTGTACTCAGCAATGTCCAACGCAACATCGCTACCTGGTTCCGCTTTGTGCTGGATGAGAACCTCGTCACCGCCAAGCCAAGTCCTGCTGATCGACTCGATCTGCAACAGGAAGTCAGAATGGCGACAATCGCTGCCACACACCAAGCCAAAGGGCATCGATCGCTCAACAACAATACCACTAACAGTCATACCAAAAAGCATCTAGACAGCCTCGAGTGCGCCACCCCTGTCGGTAACGGCCAGTCCTTCTTCACCTGGCTACACACCTCTGCCGTGCACGACGTCAAGAGTGCAGTGGTTTCCAAGTCCTTGGTTTGTAAGCTTGGATCCGCAGAAAAGGGGGACGTCTTTCCCACTGCCCGAGAAAAGTACCTGGCCGAGAAGCTGTGGCGGCAGATCTCGGTGGAGGGCAGGCTGTGGAATGACCTGGGCAGTATCGAACGTGACCGCCACGCCACGAACCTCAACTCCGTCGACTTTCCGGAGTTCTCGTCGCGTCAAAGCCTGGAGGCAGACGGAGATGTGCGGAGGCAGCTACGGCTGCTGGCGGAGTACGAACACGGCTGTACGGTGCGATGCCTCAAGGACTTGCTGCAGATCTTGGAGACTTCCGGTGCTCGCAGACTGTCGCTGTATCTGCAGATGTACTACCTATGTTGTGAGATCTATTCGGAGACATGTGTGATGTATCAATTTGGGTCTACCACGGCGATTTGAAGGGTTAGAAGAAGAGATCAGGTAGTTGATCCCAACATTGCTATTGTGCTGGCTCCTGAAGCCGATTAGGTTTGTGATATATCTTGCTAGAGTAGTAGATCATGTGAAGTACAAGCAATATGCGCCTTACTTGTGATTTTGTGGGTCCTATGCGCTATGACAGATGTCACAGCTGTCAAAGATCGGTCAGGGGTATGACATGTAAAATTGTGAGGCAGCAATCTCTCCAGCATTACTTCATTTTCGCCCTGCCCCATCAAATGCTTGCGGGAACTATCCACTAGCTAGTGATTTGAGTTGCTGATCATTGGTGACAGGGCTCTGACGGTAGATGCTACCCGATATCGGTTCAGTATTCCCTTACCAGGACTCGCATCGTACTCAGCCTCTGTGAAGATCCCCGAATGGGGGACCATGAATTGAACATCGCATTGCTGTATGCCTACACTATGGAATGTGGCGTGAACCCTGAAGTAGCAGACTCCGATCACGCGCCCTTAGGTACTGTTTGAGTAGCAAAAGTGAAAATACACATGTCGATCAAGGTGACACTGCCGTATGCACCGGGGGTGATCGGGAGCAAAAGGAAGTATAAAGGACTACTGTAACCCCCCCGGAAGTGCCTTTCTACACAGATCATTCCATCACAGTCCAAGCCTCCTATTCTATTCTTCCACTGCTCGTCATAGCACTCTACCACCAACAACACTTCGATACCTCCATTCATCATGCAGTTCTCCTCGGTTGTCACCTTTGCTCTGCTGTGCGCTGCAGCCACTGCGTCCTCCCTCAACGCCGGCGCCAATCAGTTGGACAAGCGGCTCTTTTGCAACGACCCAACATGCAACACCCAGGTATGTCTTTCGAAGTCTCTTTGCGTCGCACGAATGTTCTGGTCACAAGCCCATACTGATGCGCCATATTTAGTGTCAGAATGCCAATGCCCTTAGTGGACAATGCGGTGGGACAGAGGACCTGTAAGATCTTTCTTCCCAAACCTCTTCCATACCTTCTTGTCAAGCAAGTGTGCTAATGCTCGAACCTTGCAGCCGCTGCATCTGCACCTACACGCGGCCGCTAGCTGACGCAAAAGATGCTGCTGCCCCTGCTGCCCCGGCCGGTGCTGGTGCCCCTGCCGCCGGTCCCTGAAGGATCTTATTTTTTGGCGACAAGACTTTGGGCGTGGCCACTGCATGACACGCCTGGTTCATCTTCTACCATCTTGATCACTCATTTGTGTTAATTAATAATTAATATCTTATTCCCATCACTGCTTCTAGTCGTAAAGCCTGTAGAGCCGTGTCAAGCAGGCTGTGGTCATGCTGTAAGAAGGGGAGATAACTTGGTAGATTCCCACCACCTACATCAGCTCCATGGAGTCGTGCTGGGCCAGCATGACCATCTGAAGTTGCTAAACTATCGCATATCTCATTCTCGTCCCACATGTCCCTTACAGCTTCGCTTTACCCAGCATATCTGTAATCTCCTCCACCGCATTACCAAAATCCTTGACCCCCAGGTCACACTTGACCTCTTCACACAGCTTTCGCCGGGCAGTCGACTTCAACTTCTCGATAAACTCCAAGCCAGTCGCCTGCTCCAGCACATCCAGCTCGACCTCAAAATCCGCCAAGGGTTTATCACCGCTAATCGCCCCATTGGGCAGCACGAACGCGCCCACCGCCACCTTGCCCCCAAGCAGACCGTCCCCACCACCACCACCACCATGGTGCTCTTCCTCCTCCTCCCCAAGAATCAACTTAAAGAAGTGCGTGGGCACCGCCACCTTCGGCGTCGGCGACCCAATAACCTCATAACTAACCCGCCATTTCCCATCCTCATCCCTCCGCGGCAGATACAGGGGGCCCGTAATCACCCGGACGGACGGGTAGCGGGTGGTCAGGTTCTTGCAGAAGGCCTCGAAGTCCTTCCAGTAGTGGCGGTTGAACCCCACCCCGACCTGCGGACACATGTTGGACATGCGGAAGGTCTCGTCAACGGCCTGCTGCGACCAGCGCGCCGGGTCGGCGGGCGCCTGGTGGCCGCGGTCGTACCCGCTACCGCTGTAGTCCTTGATCTTGGCCCGGAACGCGGCGGGGATACTGGGGTCCTCGCGGAAATTGTCGCGGCGCTTGCCCGGCGCGTTGGCGAGCGAGGCCGGCGTCATGTGCTCCGCGACCCAGATGGGATTGCGCGTGCGCCGGTCGTACGCCCCATACAGGCAGACGGTGCTGAGCTCGTCGTTCACTGGGCCGGGGTGGCCGTATTTCAGGATTCCGGTCGGGTTGACGGGGGGGTTGGGGGGTGAGAGGAGTTTGGGACTCAGCGGTATCGTGCTGGTGGGGAGGGCTTTGGGGAGGATTACCAGGCCTGGCGTTTGATCTGGTTGAAGGGAGGTGATGCCGTCCTGGAGGGCGTGCTGTGGCTTTTCGGTCTGCTGGTCGACGAGTTTGGTCAGCCCCGCGGCGACGACGGCGCTGGGGATGGCGATTGTCGCGATGTTGGCGAGCTTGGATTTGGACATTGTGGGCGGAAGATGCTACACTCGCGGGAAACGGCGCAAAAGACGGACGCTCCTATATGCTCTTTATATCTGTGGTTGGAAATTGTTCTGTCACAGTGGCCATTTTCAGAAGGATGTCATTCGAGTGGGCCTCCCTCCCAATGGTGATGACATGACATCCCCGGATGTAACCCTAACCATGTCTTCAGAGCATTTCCTGCTTCGATTACAGAGGATAATTCAGTCTTTCTCCGTTTGACACACCCAACTCCCATGGTGTAGGCAAGACTAATTATGTGCATTCTTTTCACTTGTTGCTTGCATTTGTGGTGTATGTTTCGAATGTAAGCTGGGGCAAAGGTTTTGGTTCACGTTTGCCATGGCACAGAATATGTATTCGTTCACGCGGTAATGTTTGATTCCGCACCGTGCCACGAAACAAACCAAATACAGTGGGCTGCATAAGATGTGACAATAGGAGTAGAAGTGTAAAGAGCCTCTTTTTGTAGGGGTTCTAGAAAAAAAAAAAAAAAAAAAAAAAAAGAAAAAGAAAAAGAAAAAGAAAAAAAGAAAAACCATAACCAACTCCTCTTACCACAGGAGAGAACAATGCTTACAAAAGGCCCCGAGTATGTAATCTTAATTCGAAACAAAACCATGATAAAAGACGACCGCGACAGCAAATGACCTATCTCATGAGAATCCCCCCTCTAATCAGTAGTCAAGCACAGAAGCGTTTATACTCCGTGCTGAGCCGATCAGCCGTGACACACCCCCAGGTAATACCATTCGAGTCCCTCAACACCGCCGCCCCAACCTCATAGTCGCAGAGGCTCTTGTCATCCCGCACGGCCTTGATATTATTGGACATTACCTTCCCAGAAATCTGTTGATTCTTGCCCTGCACCGCCTGACAATACATGAGCGCACCACCAAACTGCGGCGTCAGGCGAACCGGTTGGCGGCTCTTGAACTGGGACAGGGGCGTCTTCGGCGTGACGAGCCCGGTCAGGAGCTTCTGCATATCGCGGTTCAGCGGACACAGGTGCATGTGGATCTGGTTGTGGGTGATGGAGTGCACGGAGTTGATCACCAGGGCCTGCGTCGCGGGGTTCGAGACCTTCGCCGTCTGACCGAAGTCCCACCCCTCCTCGGCCAGCTGGGGATGCTCGATCTCGAGGGCGAGAATGTCTGCGACGGGGACCGTGACGGTCGCCAGATCGCCGCCCGGCGTCTTCACCCAGTAGGCCGCGCCGGGCGCCGGGTTGGCGTATTGCTGCACGCAGGTGCCTGTTTGCAGACACGTGCAGAGCGAATGGAACCACACCCCGCAGGAGGAGCAGACATGGTTCGTGTCGGCCTGGCAGTGGTGCGTGCAGTCATTGAGGTGGAGTTGCGTGAGGAGGTTGCCCGGGCATGGCGACCCGGGGGGCTGCGAGCTGACGGGACACTGCGTGCTGCATTTCTGGTCCCCCTTAAAGCACTCGCAGTGGACCAGAGAGGCTTTGTCGCCTTTCCGAATCTGGCCGTTGGTGCAAGGGGGGAGTTTGGTGCCTGCTTGCGCCCAAGCTTCTATAGTAAAGGTGTTGAGGAGGACGGACAGAGCGAGACTCAAGTAAATAGCCGGCGAGATCATTTTTGTTTGTATGCCAGGTATGTATATAGCCCTGCTATCGACTGAAAAAGAATCTGGTAAGCGCGGATTGAGCGACAAGGTCATGTTAATGGTTCTTTAATACACATATTGCTCCATTGTCGTATAGTTCCCTAGCTCCATGATCTAGGCCAAGCAACCGAACCAAGGGCATGACCCAATGTCTTTCTCCGCAATTACGATGGACACGAACATCTACGGTCGGTGAACTCTAGCGATGTGAGGATGGCATAAGCGTATGGGATTATAGAATTGATTAGCAGGTAAGACAAGCAGTGGACCGTCTTTGATAGCTTGGTTGTCTACCGGATATAGGCTGAGAGTAAGAATAGGAAAGCACATACGACCACAGGGTGTGGAAAACAGGGCTTCCCGTCCGCTCAGCCGTACTTAAGCCACACGCCGGGAGGTTAGTAGTTGGGTGGGTGACCACCAGCGAATCCCTTCTGTTGTATGTTTTTGTCAAATTACCGTAGAAATCGATTCTGATTCGATGCCGGCCATTATAAATGTTGAGAGACTTGGGCCAACAAACAAAAAAGCATACACGGACATCTTTTAGCAGGCAATTCTCATGATAATAACCAAGACTTTTGGCCCCTCAAGACGCCAGAAATTGCTATAAAGTCCTTATACTGTTAAGCAATCAAGCCAGGCTCTGAGGATTAAAAGACCTTTAGAACCGCTTACAAAAGTTGTCAAGGAGCGGAGAACGTGCATGAGTTATGGATGAAATCTGACTCCGTGAGGCTAACGTCATCCGAGGCATTATGTAAGAATCACCGAGATGGGCGGTGAGCGGTAGCCGGAGGCCACAGGGCCAACATAAGCATAGCCAGTAACCCCAAGGCGGCAAACACAGAGTTGAAGTTTTATAATCTCATTGTTGCAGTAAGACTTAGTGAGAAACTTTGATTCTTTTGCCGGGTGGCCGTTATAAGGCCAAGACCAGCGCTTCCCATTGAAGAAGGCGAGTCCGTTTTGTTGCATCTCCTGTAGAAACGAAACATGAGAAGAGAGGCGTTGAAATATAGCAATGTTTCCTTAACGAAGCATGATTTAGAACAAGTCTTTTCTAGATTTGAAGGAACATAGGTGGATTAATCACCAGAGAAAAAGAGTAAGCAGAACGTCGGACGGGACGAAATCATAGTCTTCAACCTAACGTGGATCGGCTATCAACAACTTGACATCCTCTGTGTCACACCACTGACGAAAATCTCTTATTGGTACCGGATGGTTCTCAATCCAGACCCCTGGCCAGAACTCAGGACATTCCGTGTTGATAGTGAGATCGAACTTGCGAAGGTAGCGTTTGAGAGTATGATCGCGGCGTAACTGCTTGTGGCGCTTGGACTTGCGCATGACCTTCCTCAGAGCCAGGGCATCTGCCCAGCATAGAAAAGGCAGAGGTCCCGCTGAAATTGCTCCTGTGTCGATCTCAAATGCGACGTTCTCCATGCGATGATAGTCTTCTTCCGGCGTCCACTCAGCTCCAGTTTTGACCATCTGGTCTTTGGGAAGATTATGCCAGTAGGGGCCCCAAAGGCACTCGGGGTCCCAGAAGCGGACGATTGAGGTTGGCGGTTGTTGAAGGAGCATCCGCCGCCAGCTTGCCTCGGGGCGCAGATATGCTCTTTCTTTCTCGTCCGAGGCAATATGAGGGCAATACCATGCACCATGTCTCACCCGCGAGCTTAGTCCTGTAAAGATGAATTCGAACCATATCCTATCCACTACAAGAGGATTCTTCCTTGATTTGCGACGGGTCCCTGTGCTATCTGTGTCGATGGGAACGTAAAACAGGGCTTGCTGGATCCTTCGAGAGCTTTGATGCAGGCATTCTATGTAGCACAGACCCGAGCTGAAATCAGCAATGTGTGCATGTCCAGACCCAAAAGAATAGCTTCCAAAATTTCGGGAACAAGGAATACATCGGGCGTTCTTATCGGGCGGGGCATCTCATTTCCGGAGTTGTTGGAACGTTTGCTTCTCCTAAGAGTAGGCATGGCTGGTGATCGAGAAACAGAGGTGTGCGTGTGCGACACCGGTTACTGATTGAACAACTTGGAAAACTGCAAGTCCTGCAAGATAGTTTGCGAGAATTCGACGGGCTTTGGAGATTACTTACAGTTTAGCTTGACTTACCAAGTCAGCAATGCTTTGACCCCCCGGGTCGGAAAATTGACTCACCCTGCTTTAGCATTTAAGGTGCAAGCATCATTACCGCGTCCTTGTTTCGTCACTACATTGAGAAGGCGGAAGAGAATTCCGATGGGGGGGAATTACGGCAGTTGAACTGTACATCATTTCATGTCGTTCCATGACCACAACGTCTTGGAGAACATGTATCATTCCTACTATTCCTGCCTCATTGCCTCCCTCCCCGAAGCGGGTCGAGCTAATTGTACCGAACCTAGAACATGTTTCAATCACGTTTTGCCAACAACAAGGAGTTTATATCCATACACCTATACCACAAGATCCGGGGAAGGGAATCGGCAAGACTACCCCTGTGGGCCCGCTCACTGCCCATCAGCAGTATGTACATAGCCTGTCGGATAGCCTCGAATAGGGATCGTCTTCACGCTCTCATCGACCTGGATGTTCGTCAAGCCATAGCATGAAGAGGCCGGCACGCCTTCCAAAGGGCAAGACGAAGGCGATGCTGTGTCGAGGCAAGACCTGACCGAGTAGATCATACGGGAAATGCGCGTCATGTCCGAAATATCAATTTGCAGACTCTAGGGAGGCTGCTTATTTGCCAAATACATTGCTTTCCTGGCAAAACCACTAACCAGCAGGATATGGACAAGCGGTCAGCCTCCATCTGCTCGACTGACCCTCCCCTGATTGTTACCATTGAAGCCCAGACACTAAACTCTGTCAAAATCAACAAAGAAATAGAGTGGGTCGATTGGGCGCCACTGTTGGTTAGATCGACAAGATGGCGCATCTAGTGCTTATGCTCGGATAACCAACACTGGTACTAGTTTCGCGCCATCTCGAGCGGAATGACATTTGCTCTTACGACAAAGACCCACCATCTAGTTGAGCCAGGCTAGATGACCCAACCTTTTCTATTATTCCTTGACATGCAACTGAAGCTAAGATCTCACCGACTTGGAAATACCACCCAGTGTACCCGGGTAGAGATTTCGTCGTTCGCGCTACGGGCGTACATCTAGCTATGTGAACTGTACGCTCTGCCACAACTTGCTTCCTGTCTTTGTCCCTCAGCGTCTTGTCTTTCCTGGCCTGGCTTGAGGCTCTGTAATCATGGCAGTCACTTTGCCTTTCCTTGCTTCTCTCATCACTGATCTTCTGGTAAGCATTCTTCCACCAAGACCGGTCGAGTTTGACTTGAACCCTATCTAACCGAACCACCAAGTTCCCTATGTTTTCCGCCATCAAGCGACTAATACGCTCCAAACAGCCATCACAGGCATTCTGTTCCGCTTGTTACAAAATCCGACCGTCCTCGACCGTGTGACAAGCGAGGTGCGCGGTGCATTTGCCTCAGCAGGTCAAATGAACGTCCAGACGCTTCTGAAGCTGCCTATCCTCGGCGCTGCCATCAAGGAGGGTATTCGACTCATATCGCCTGTGCCGCTTGGGTTGACCCGTCTTGTTCCCGAGGGTGGGCACACCATCGCGGGGGATTTCTTCCTAGAGGGGGTAAGGAGCCCTAACCCTCCCCAAATCATAACCAAACCGTGCGTTCAATTGAACCACCAAGCGGAAGGACTAATTCGTATCGCAAAATGTAGACCGTCGTCTCCTACATGCAATGTGTCGCCAAAGTGTGCCCGCACAATTACAGCGACCCTAAGGGCTTTCACATCAACCGCTGGTTACGGCCGGAAGGTAAATTCGGGAAAGACCGTCGACGCGCGACCCAGCCATTTCTCCAGGCCCGCGCGATTGCATCGGGCAAAATCTGGCGCGGATGGGGATTGTTCTCATCCTGGGGAAATTGCTGTCTTGTTGTGATCTCCAGGCGCAGGGTAGCCTCGATTGGTGGGAGGATCAGGAGACATACGCGGTGTGGGCCAAGGCGCCGGCTGCCGGTCACGTTGCTGGTTCGGAAGGGACTGAATTAAAGTGCCGTGATATGAAGTAGACATAGGAATATCCCCGATTGGGCATCAGCCATGTGTAGCTGAGAGCGCCATTGCCGTTTAAGGTCGGGATCAATAGCATGCTTGGTAGGCTTTTCGAGTGCTTGGTCACTGCCGCGCAAGCTAGACCAGAAGCCCTTTAGAGGGCGTAAACTGTAAGACAGGGGCACGCATCGAATGTTATTCATTTCTGCAATATGAATTTGGGAATTATTATCTTGCAAATATTCCACTCTACTGCACCTTCCCCCTAGAATCCACCGACCAGATCTCCTCAATAACCCCATTCCGATGCGCATAGTAGAAGTCATGCAAATTGATAGTCGGATCAATATGACTGGGAACCATCTCCACCCGATCGCCAATCTGCAAATCGGTGGTGCCTGCCTCCCAGCTCAAAGCCCCATGCTCATCCCCAAGATTAAGATGGACGTATTTCGCATCCTTGCACTCCGCCAGCCCACTATCGGTCGTCAACGACTTCAACCCGGCATCGATAGTGACCTGCCTCTCCCCCTGCCGACTGATCACCGTCGACAAGATCGTCAGACTGTTTGCATAGAACCTGCCCACCGCGTTGCGGTAGTCCGTATCCATGAAGATAAACGACCCCGGCTGCAACTCCGTGACCCCAGGTACAGAGGCACAGAATTCGGCCGTGCCCGTGCCCCCCGTCGTGACCACCTCAATATTGAATCCTTCCTTGCGCAGCGTCTCAGCAGTGCCCGTCAAGATAGCCATCGAGGCCAGACACTCCCTCTTCCTTTCCTCCCGGCTGTGCAAATGCTGCAAGTGGCCCTCATACCCCTGCACGCCGATCAACTTCAGATTCTTGAGATTATCCGCAATATGTCTCGCCAACTCCAGCGCAGCATCCGTATTCGCCACCCCCGTGCGGTGCAGCCCGACATCCAGATCGATAAGCACCGCCAACGGCGTTTTCACCTCGGCTTTGCCGAGCGCCGCATCGATGGCCGTCGCCCCCACCGCGCTGTCCACCACGATCCGGATCCCCGGGTGCCTTTGCACCAATTCCACCAACCGCTGTACCTTGGGGCCCCCAATGATCTCACACGTGATCAGGATGTCGTCGAAGCCGGCGGCGGTGATCGCTTCCGCTTCGGAGACTTTGGCCACGCAGCAGCCCTTGGCGCCGGCGGCCACCAGTTTCCGGGCCAGGGCGGCGCTCTTGGTAGTTTTCAGATGCGGTCGGATGTTGCGCCCTGTGGGCAGGAGGGTGGAGAAGAGTTTGTGGATGTTGGATTCCATGAGGTCCAGGTCGACGATCATGGACGGGGTGTCGAGGGTGGAGAGGGGGTCGCCGATTTTAGGGTTGTACATTTTGGTGGTTGCGGGGTGTGTCGTGTATAGGGAGAGGGGTTATTAGGTTGGTGGAGGAATTGGTGATCAGGTGTAAGGAAAATAGGTGGGAAAGTGGGAGAGCCTGAAGGGGGGTTTACATTATTTATGAGGGAATTTGGGGAGCGATGCATCTTGCCCCTCGTTTCGGGGATTAGGCTTATCTGCATTGCAGGAACAGCCGTGCACGGCCGCCAAGGACAGAGAGGGGGGAAAGGGGGAAAGGGTCCCTGGCTGATAAGATATCGCGATAAGCCGATAGTGTAGTGTCCAGCAGATGATAAACTGTAGGGTGAGTGTCATCACCCTTGATCTCAATCTTGCATAAGCCCTATGAAGGTCATTTTGCTCGCAGCTCAAGTACAATTATAACAGACATAAGATAAAAGTGTCCCCCCTCTCAAAGAAAAGACGCCAATGCTTTGATTGTTCATGTGTGAGGCATGGTGTAGCAGTATCTTGGACCAGATGCGGGGAAGCATACCAGAGGCACGGGTGGGGCCGATCATGCCTATTTCCGGGTCAACCGGACACACCCCTGTACTTGCTCAGTTGAACAATCCGGATCGAAACAACCCGCATGCGGCAGGTTACTAGGATCGCAATTCTTGGTATTCATATAACTGCTTAGGACAAAGCAGAGCTTCAGAATATTAGATAGAGTGTGCCGAGAATATTACTCACACGCTGCGTAGAATTCTGAGGTCATGTTATTTATTGTGTGATGCCCATGATATACATCGATGCACAGACGTGGATGTCGGTATTGAGCCGCTGAGAATGACATATTATTGCAGATACGTAGGCATAGCTACAGCAGTCTTGGATTCACATAAGCAACTGCTGTATCTTTCATCAAGTGCTACAGACCCTGGAGCCACCCACTATCCCCACGTGTTCTCCGGGAACGTGTCTTGGGTCCCGGGCCTTCCCGCTTGCCCAACGTAGATTTGGGTGCGGCAAATGTCATCGCTTCAAGAAACCCCCTCGCAGACCTGTGAGCAATGCATACCAAACAATAGACAATCTCCTCAAGTGGTCAGAGCACGGCAGATGCTTTACTGAATCTCTTACTACCAACACAATTTCATAAAACTCATGCATTACAGCTGACTGTAGCCTCATCCCAAAGCTTCTTTTCCTTCGTTTCTTAAGCACAGCCAAAACATAAAGTAAGCCACTCTGGATGTTTTCCTGTGACTATAAGTTTTATTCGCAATACTAAATATAAGAGATCATTTACTCAATCTTGCTATGTAGATATAGTCATAATTCGGGCCGCACTGGAGTGTGTGTTTCCTTTCTGCAATGGGACGTTTTCTGTTTATAGTCTTACAAGGCCCTCCCAAGAAGATCGTGGGTCCGTTTCCGTGTAAGCGAAGGATGGGGGTCGGGAAATCCTCTCAAGACAGTGGGATTGAGTATGCACTCGACTAAGTACAAAGTTCAGAAGTAAAGATGCCTGTAGCGGGATCAGGGGCGCTGCGTCGAAGCACAGCCACACGCTGGTCGGCCTTGTCGGTTTCCGTAAGGGGCCCACATTCACCCACGGCGGCCCATCACGCTATGGAGAAGATAACCCATAACCTCAGAGGAACCTCCGGCCAATTTCCGTCATTTCAATAATCCGCCACACGCCATCTTCCTCTTCCCAGCGATACCGTTTCATCAAGAGACTTCCGTGCGCTACGCCCACCACCTTTACGGTGCAATCCCCTTCCTCCATGACTTCTTTGTAGGTTATCTGGTTCTTAGGGCTGGTCCAGTAGTTCACATAGAATTACTTGCTGAAACCCTCCTGGTCGAAGCCTTTGGTCTTGTAGCGGATATTTTGAGACATATTCTTTGACATCGTCAAGGTCTTGGCTAGTGAATGCTTCACCATACTCTTCGAATAGTACTTTGAAGGATAGATGAGACATTATGGGATGAGGGTGATGATGATAGAGACGTCGCCGGGCGTTAGACAAGCAAGATAGTGATTGATTTATCACTGTTCAACTAGGACTTCCTTGGACACAGGTCTTGAATGTAGAGAGAAAGCTGAAGACTTCCTCCCATTGCTGGGTGTTTTCCATGTTGTTTATAGGTTGCAGATAGTTGCCACCGATACGTTGACGTAAGAAGATAAACAGGAGGGTATACCAAGGCTGAAGCTTCGGGAGGAGGGGCAGCTGAGCGTGCCGATTTACGCAATACGTCAGGTTGGCGAGCTGAATATCACTCCACTCCATGAGCAGTGTACACTGTTTACAGGAAATATTACCGATGATCAGCATTACGGAAGTGCGATCGGAAGATATCAGCCAGCCACAGAGTAGAATATCTAACATGTGGGTCCCTACTTGTACCTCATGTTTCGGTTCTCGAATCTCAACAAACCCAGATATCCAGATGCACTAATCTGCATAGTATATTGGTCCAGCTCGTTGAAATAGCGGAATGTCACTCCCTTGTCCTAGATTAGTGTAAACCTTCACAGGCACCAAGTCCCGTGATTACCAACTGCTCAGGCGAAAGCCTGTCTTCATCTGGACAGATCCAGCCGCTGTGATGGTCTTTGCATGTACAGCCGTATAATGTTCTATTACACTTTTCAAAGCATTCGCCCTCACGCTTCCTCCATGTCTGATCATTTGCAATTCTCAAACACAATCTGAGACAGAAAAAGGCATCCCTATGCTATTGAACCGCCCTTACCCTCACCACTGTCGGCTTCTTGTCCCAGAACCACCAAATTGCCTGCTCCTCCCACCGCGGCAGCTCCATCCCCGGTGGCACGGAAAGATCATATCTCCACAATAGTCGTGCAAGCACCAATCTGAGCTCCAACCAGGCCAAACTCTGGCCAGGGCAATTATGCTTACCCAACGAGAACGGATGGAACGCGATCCGGCTGTCCCCGCGGAACCGCTCCTCACCCAACCACCTCCCCGGTGCAAATGCCTCCGGGCTGGTGTAGTTGCGCGACGAACGATAGCTCGCAAACGGGGGGATAGACACGATCATTCCCTCCGGCACAAAATGGCCCGCCACAGTTGCTCCCCCACGGGGCACCTGCCTCCGCATCGCATCCGGGATCGTCGGACACAGCCGCATTCCTTCATTCAGCACTGCGTCCTGAGACGGGACCGACTTCAGCCGTGTAGCTGTGATGTCGCTCTCTTTCTCGAAAGTCCGCCTTAGCTCATCTACCAATGTACCAAGCACATCAGGCTCTCGCAGGAGGTGATTCACCACCCCAGTGATAACAGTGGTGATCGACTCACTCCCCGCGGCAACGAGCAGCATCGCGTTGACCTCCATCTCCTCCTGCGTCATCGCCTGCGAAGCTATCATTGTACCTACTAGATCTGTTTTCTTTGCAGATGAATGGTTAGCAACCCGCTCCGCAACCTTCTTCTCAGTAACCCTCCACATCTCCATGACAGACTTCAACGCCTCAGGCGGCGTGATGGCCATCAGAGCTCGATACAGAAGCGGATAAAACTTCAACGACCCCACGACAATGGCAGCCTTGAACTGGCTGACAGTCTGCACCCACGGATGATACCGTAGGCCATCGAGGCACCCGAACGACGATCCCCAGGTGAGATCGCCTATCACGTCAAAGGCGAGGTAGTTGATCCATTGAACAATGTCCACGTCCGCGCATGCGCTGCTGCTATTAGTGACCTGTGCATCAAGCTTGGTGAACAACCCATCGATGTATTTCTGCACGATGGGTTCCTGCTGCATGGCTGACTGCTCGGAGAACCCCGGGGCGAAGATTTTGCGGAGTCGCGTAT